AAAGGATGAGGATGAAAAGTAATGAAGATGAAGCAAAGGTAAACCCAATCAAAGAAAGGAAATGAAGCGACTATAAGTGGCAAAGGAATGTAATAATAATAATATGAGAAAAGATGAAGATTCATCATGAAAAAAGTAATTCACATGGAAGATGATCAATGTTAACTTTCATCTCACGAGTTTCTCTTTATCTTTTTATTCTTTTCATCTTTATCATTTCTATTTTCCGTTATGATACTTTAACCGAATATTCTTTGTTTTCTCTCTATTTAACTTGTTTCAGTCTATAATAAGTTATCATTTTCTCTTACTTTAAGACCTCAAGATGATAAGATGAAAGATTATCATAGCAAAAGAATCACCATTAAAGTTAACTGTATTTTAATCGGACTGAAATGACCACAACAATCAGTTGCTGGGAAGGAATTACAAGTTGTGATAATTTCTACAGGTAGGTGATGGAAGAGTGAGATATGTTTCAGAACTGAATCTTTTCTTGCAAACCTTGACGAATTTGAATTACATGTTAGGATGAGCTTTTCTATTCAAATGTAATCCACAATGAGGAAATTGTCTGTTATTCATATTTGAAGATTCAACTGTAAACATGATGGTGATAGTGATACACTATCATCTCTTGTCATCATCATGGAATGAGGTGATTCCAGTTGAAGGAGAGATAAAGTTGAGATGAAGAAGAAGAAACTTTAGAAGGAATACTATGAAAAGTAATGAAGATGAAGCAAAGGTAAACCCAATCAAAGAAAGGAAATGAAGCGACTATAAGTGGCAAAGGAATGTAATAATAATAATATGAGAAAAGATGAAGATTCATCATGAAAAAAGTAATTCACATGGAAGATGATCAATGTTAACTTTCATCTCACGAGTTTCTCTTTATCTTTTTATTCTTTTCATCTTTATCATTTCTATTTTCCGTTATGATACTTTAACCGAATATTCTTTGTTTTCTCTCTATTTAACTTGTTTCAGTCTATAATAAGTTATCATTTTCTCTTACTTTAAGACCTCAAGATGATAAGATGAAAGATTATCATAGCAAAAGAATCACCATTAAAGTTAACTGTATTTTAATCGGACTGAAAATGACCACAACAATCAGTTGCTGGGAAGGAATTACAAGTTGTGATAATTTCTAGGCAGGTAGGTGATGGAAGAGTGAGATATGTTTCAGAACTGAATCTTTTTCTTGGCAAACCTTGAACGAATTTGAATTACATGTTAGGATGAGCTTTTCTATTCAAATGTAATCCACAATGAGCGAAATTGTCTGTTATTCATATTTGAAGATTCAACTGTAAACATGATGGTGATAGTGATACACTATCATCTCTTGTCATCATCATGGAATGAGGTGATTCCAGTTGAAGGAGAGATAAAAGTTGAGATGAAGAAAAGAAGAAACTTTTAGAAGGAATACTTTTATTCTGATGATAACTCTATAATTCCCTGAGCACGATGAAGGAAAGAATCAAGATTCTGGTGATAATGGTGGATGATCATCATCAGGGTCATGATGATGATGATAAAGGATAGAAGCTGAAAAATGAATGAATAGATAGTAAAAGATTTAGGAAGCAAGTAAAACGATGAAACGTGAACCTTTGGTTTCTGATATTTTATTTCTTCCACCATCAACTTTACCACCGATGGGAAATGTTGTTATATTTTCAATCCCACCAGAAATATATTATATTTAAAACCAAATAATAATAATGGTTTTTCAATATCATATTAAATATGAAATGGGTCAATTTCTTGGTGGAATATGTTACTTGATGGAGGCAAAAGTTATCCCACTTCCATTATAAACCAATTGATGTTATTCATCATCACCACCCAATGACCATTAGCATCAAAATTTATCCACCAATGAACATTAATTAATGAGCTTTTGGCTCATTCAAAATTGTCATCATCATGAAATATCATTAGGATTAAACATAAATCATGCAATTAGATTTGTTTATTTATTCCCTTGTTTTCTCACATTCAAGTTTTACACTGACAATTATAATCAATTAGACTAATCACGTAGCTAATTATTACCTTTACATTGTATTTCTTACGACACAATGATAATTGTGATGATTATATTAATTTCATCGTTGTTAACATGATAATTTGCGTGATTCTTTTCATCATTATCACTTTTTTCCTCTAGCTTTTGCTTCGTGATTAACTTTTTATTTGATCATAATTGTAATACTAATTCTGTCTTCATGTTCAATGATTATTAATACTCTCAAATTAACTTGATTTGGTTGTTTCTTCAAGACGAAATGGGACTTTTTTAAAATGAGCAGGTTCGCCCTTAAGGTAAGTGGATTAACTCCTCAAATCTTTTTCAATCAATTGAAAAAATATTAACAGAATTTTGATCTGGTGAGCAAATATAATCAGGGGATTAAGTAAAAGTTTCCTTGATCAACTCATTGAAAGTTAACCCGTAGGTTATCAATTCAGTTGCGAGTAAATTATCATTATGGTAAAAAATGACTCGATTTGATTGACTGTTTAACATGAGCAATTATTTAGCATTAGTAATGTTAAAGTGGACTTACCTTCAACTAGTGTATCGAAAAGTCGAGCACCGATTATACTTTGGCGTTTTCGAGCTAAATAGGAAGGGAAACTACGAACGTCGATTGATTTGCGAGCTCTTGCCAATGGATCTTGTTGCGACCAAGGTCCATTTCTTGTCGTGAAAGAAGGAGCTACTGTCATAAATTGTGGAGTTCGTTCTGTGAGGAAACTATTTTTGCGTCCAGTTGCTGCTGAAGGTTTACCAGCATTGGAAACTCCTCCTGACCCACCGCCACCTCCGATCCCTGAGAAAATGAGTGGAGATAAAATATCCAGTCCAGGCACTAATGACATTGATCGAGATCTTGTACCTGATGGTGGAGGTGGTGAAATGGATTGACCTTGTTCGTGACTAGAATTTGCCTGGATAGTTGATGGCGCTGGAGGCGGTTCTGGTGACAGAGATGAAGATGAAGGTAATTTGAGAAATGTCGAGAGCGGTAACACTGAAGAGTCAACTGGTCGTCTTTTTTCATTAATATCTTCATCTTCAGATCGATCACCTTGGTTAATGGAATTGTTATTGGACTGATAAACTCGACTGGGTCTTGATTCTTTGGTTGAGGCACTTTCATCGTTACCCGGGTTCCCAATCATTCTGAATAAGACAAATTAGATGAAAATGTGAGCACTAATCTCAATTGAAAAGTTGAGGTAAATTTCATATCAATCACAACATGACAACACACACCCAATTGTATTAAAATTCATGCCGAGATCGACGTCAGCAGTTATTCAATGGACAACTTGGATTCTGAATAAATCACTATAAACATTATTGGTGATAAAACTTTGATAGTGAAACTTGAAAATGAAATGAACAATTTTCAAGCAAACAAAATGACTATTCACAAAGTTGGATCATAAATAGTGATAATTATGACCAGTGACCACAATAAAGTGACCATGCTCATCACCAATTGGCTTTCCCACCTCCACCTCCTCTGTTCAGTGTAATCGGACTTACCCTGAATGCAATAATTGTTGTTTCATTGAAAAAAATCACTCACGAAGCATCAACAAGAGTAATTAGGAAACAAGATGATAAAAAGAAAGTGAAAGCAAAAAATCACAAGCGTCATTATGATCATGGCTCATTACGTTTACACAAAAGCTTCTCACTCAATAATTCAGTATCATCTTGATGCTCATCATCCACCATCACCCCCAGTGAATGATGTTATCATCACCTTTCAGATCGTAATGATAAGTAAACAAAGCAAAGGAAAATTATATCGTTAGCATTATTATCATGGAGAATTTCATTGCACGAATTACAACCAACATGATATGTGACACAAATTTTTTATCTCTTTTCCCTTTGTTATCTTTTCCTCATGTTATCATGATAACATGTTTGTTTCATTCGTATTATTTTGTCATCAGTTTCATCATCATTAACATCATTGATGGTCAATCGGTAAGTCAAACAATAAATGCATCGGTTATTGTGAGACAATCATCAAAATCGTCATAATCGTAAATGAGAGAGGGGAAACTCATTGATTGTCTTTTCTATTCTTTCTCTCAATCATCATCATATCTTCATCCCTCCAACAACAAATGTGATTGTTCAAGCTTCATTGATTACTATTTAATTGTTCACAATCACAACTACTAATAAACGTTAACTTTGTTCATCGATTATTGAGAGTTTAAGATTTTCCAAGGAAGGAATCATCCACAATTCATTATTAGATTTTCTCCATGTAAGGCTCTCGATTTCATGCATGATACTTGATTACGAATTGATCCTGAAATACTTGAAATAGAGCAAAAGTTTTTCTCATAGACTTTTTTTTTACTTTTTTTCGATTTATTTCAATATTCTTTTCTAATCTCATTGCAAGATAATTATCACAATATCCATGAATTTGGATGAATACTTTTTCTCACCTTCAGAACTTTTCAAAAATTCATATTTATGATCGGATAATTCTGTGGGAAGTAAAGGATTTAATTAAATTAACTATATCTTACCTTGACTATAGTTGATTCTGATTATTTTGCTTGTTTATATACTTTAATTGTGCAAATGTAACGATTATAACATTGTTAATAATAACGATGGACTAATTGACTTGATGGAAGTGGTTGAGTTTATCAAACTGAGATTCAAGAGTTTTGTAGAATTGAAATGATACATGGTGAATTATCACAATTTGGTAATCACATAGACTAGTTAAAAATGTTCACGGTGATATTCGTGGTTATTCATAGAAATGAACTCGAACCATTTCATTCAATGGATAGCAAACATAATAACCGATCAACTTTGTTGTTGTTCCTCAAAGAAAAGAGATGGCGCCACATGTCGAGATGGTTTCTTCGCATCCACCAGGATGTTAACATTAAATTGATTCCCTTGCAACTGTCCAGTCGATTGTAACTCCATCTGGTGGTTTCTTTTTCTTGGTCTCTCTTTCTTCCTCTGTCTACATTTCCTCTTTCTTTTCTTTCTGTCTTTTCTTCGCTCAAATTTTGTTTACAATTTTAGTTGAACCTCGACAATCTATTCTAATGTGTTTTGTTTCCAATATTGACCACAATTAGTGGAAATCTTCTCATTTAGTGTTAACCAAGTAAATCTCTACTCTAAATTGTGTCTTATAATTGCTCGGAAATTGGAAAGGTAAACAAAATGGAGAGAGAAAATGTCCAACTGTCTGATGATAACTGTTCACAAATCGAGGTTGCTTTTAAACGAATGAAAGTTGGGACAAGATGTGCTGGTAAAAAGAGCCTCCATCACATCTACAATCAGCCCAAACAATATCACCAAGAAAAATCGTCTAAAAGCGAAACCATTAGTTTCTCCTCTTTCTCAAACTCACCATTGGCACTCATAGATAATCTCTCCTGCTCTAACCCTACGAGTTCTACTGTTGTATCCACTAACTCGATGGGTCCTTACAGAGATATAACACGCCAAGGCCAAGTAGAAAGTTTTAATCGAAATCATGAGAACCAAAATCAAAACAATAATAATCATCAACAAAACCAATCAAACGATATCACCAAATATGAAGACGGACCACCAGCTGATCCTGATGTATCCGTTGAAGAGTTGGCTGCTTACTTAGATGTCCAATTGTATATTCCTCGCAAAATGTCCTACATGGCCGAACTAATGTACACATAATAACAATATTATCTTCATCTTCACAAAATGCACATTACATAATGAAAAGAGAGAGAGAGAGAAGGAAAACAGTGTGAGATTAACAGCTATCGAATATACAAAACGATTAAAGTTATAGAGAAGAGGTTAACAAAATAACCAATTAAAGATGAAGAGAGAAAGATAAATATATTATATTAAATATATAATGTTATTAATGACTATATATTTTTTTGTTTTTGGCTCATTTGATTTTGCTCTTATATAAATAAAAAACAAAAACAATGACATTATTTCAATTAATCTACTAATTGGTAATAATATCATTATAATTTGGAATCATCAAAAAACATCAAAGATAATTAATGTCAATGTGAAATATTATTTTGTTTGGTATTTTCACACAAGCAAATTGCGAAGCGATAAAAAAGATGTTATTCTTAAAGCTTATGTAATATATAAACAATGTGATTAGATCAACAATGGTAATGATAATTATCATCATTTTTTAATCAACTCTTGGTTGTATTTGATTCTGACACTTGATGATAATAGTGATGATTATTGCCAATCTTTCCTTCTTGATTCTGTCATAATCTTCATTTTGGTGGCTTTTGATTAGATTGAGCCAGAGTTGATCAATGAAGATGGACCAGTAAAAGCCAATCAAGTGGATTCTATAATAATAAATTTGATGCTTTCCAATGATCGAATTGATGATAAAGCTATATATATATATTTAATTTAATTGTCTCCACACGAAGTCGTGATAATGATGATATAGATGGTGGCTGTTGACATGAAAGACAAAATTGAAAATTAATAATTAGTATTTGTTAACCATTAAGAATAATCATTTGCGACAATTGAAACAATAGTTACTTTCATTTCGAAGTGCAGACATTTTAAACAGAAATCGCTTGAGTATGTGCCGTTGGAGTGGTGGATGTCAACGATAGATCGGAAGTTAACCTGCTTCTACTGATCGTATCGGCGATCAAAGTTGCAACCATATCACAATCATCCTATTAGAATGGAAAACAGGTTAACGTTAATATTCAAAGTGTTTGATGAATCGCTCGTTTGGAGCATCGTTGGTGATGATGAAAGAAAAATGAAAGAGGGGATGGTGATGAAAGGAAACAGGATGAGCTAATGATGGCAGACTAGAGTAAATTGTTACAATTGGAAAACAAGAAGATTATTCCTGAAGCACAAACAACAAGAATATAAATAGATTCTCAATAGAATAATAGAAAAGGGTTTGAGAGAAAAAGAGTAGAGTTACTAAGATTGTCCAGAATATGGACACAATCGAATTGATTATCGGTACAGTTTCGTTGAAAATATGAGAGAGAATTGGATGTAGATTAAGATGAGTAAAGTAAAAATGAAAATGACAATGAGTTCACTTTACCTGGTGTATAAAACCAAGATCAACAAGCTCTTTAGCTAAAGAATGAGGTGAATCAGTTTCCGTTATTTCACATGATAATTGACGATTCATTCTGTCATCCATGGTTAACAAGATAGTTAACTTAATCACAAGAAGAGCATCACTTTCAGGTATAGATTTTATGTCACACATCATGTTCATAATTCGTCGAGTTTCCTCATCGTACATGTTATCCGGTGAGTTTGGTTTATCTGATTCGTCCCCTACGGGTGAAGTTGTACTCTGTCTTGTAATTATCGGTGGACGGGAAGTAGGAATGATAGCAGTTAACGGATAAGCACCGTTTCGAACTTCTTCAAAGAATTTTTCCATCTCCGCTCTTGGAGCATCACAGCACTTTATCGATGTACCTGGACGTCCATCTTTATGAATTATTTCGGCTAGAACGTTATCCGCTGATTGAGATTGCAGAAATCTTTGTAAAGCTTCTTCGGTGAGTTGTTCTGGTTGGTAGGAGGGTGTATCGACAATTACATGAGCAGCCAGTAATCTTAATGATGGAACTTCAAAAATAACAGAATGAAATAAAAGTTGTTTCGATGTAGGTCGTTCTAATGGATTTTTACGTAAACACTGTCTTATAAAATCGGCTTGTAATGGATTTTCTAAGGAATCAATTGTCCGGTTAATCGCTTCTTCGGTCACTTGAGCAGAACTACCATTTTCACTATTATTTGATATTTCCAGAGCAGCCATTTCCAGAGCACACATGCCGAATGAATAAATGTCAACGGCTGGTGTTAGAGCGGAAGACGTTTCGCCGGTTATTTCCCCTAATTCTGGCGCAACAAAATATAAATTTGCCATAGCTTGTTCTCGTACTGTTTTGATGTGTCGGTGTATGGCATCAGGAGCCACAGCACCGATTTTGATTAGACCATTGTGACTGAGAAAAATAGTATCGCAAGTTAAGTTGGCATGGATAATAGGAGGTTGTGATGAATGAAGATAACATAATGCAGACAAAATTTGGGTACACCAACGTTTCCAGGCCTATTGAGATGAGATAAACAAATAGCTTTAGTAAAAGATTAAAAATAAACGATGACATTTTCCTGCTATCAGAAAAGCAAAAGATGAAACCGGCAAAGATAAAGAATGACAAAAATTGGCCAAAAGATGAAAATGTTTCGTCGCAATCACATAGATAAAAGCTAAGATTATTCTAGTGAGAAACAAAAAAGTAGTAAAGCAAACTAACTGGAAGGGCCATTTTGATTTGGTTCCGTTTGGTCTTTTTGAGAAATTGTTTGAGCGATCCACTTGAATTGTATTCTGTAATGAATATCACTCTGGGTTTATCCACATCTTTATCCATCCAATATTTATGTAGTTTGACGATGTTTGGATGGTCCAATTGTATTAAACGATTAAAAATTTGACTAATCTTTTCTTCTCGAGCATTGAAATATTTTCTTTCAGAAAATCTAACTTCATTCCAAACGACTTCAACACCTTCCTCTGTATCCATTGCTAGATAAGTCGCTTCTATACCAGGTATGTCTCTCTGTTCAACCTTCATGTTCCCATTGCCGTCACCACGAGTGGCAGATAAATAGACAGGTAAAAGTAAATAGAAAATCCCAATGGAACAGAGAGGAGACAGAGATGGAAAGAAAGAGGAGATGTGATGAAAAGAAGGTAAAGAAAAGGAGAAAGAGAGAAAGAGGTTGAGAGAAAAAGAGGAAAAAAAAAGAAGATCAGTTACTAAGAAGGAAACAAATTCTACCAAGAGCCTTGATTATAGAGATAAATGTTAATTCCTTCAATTGAATGATGACCAACACTAGACACTTACTTGTTCTCGTCTTTTTAACCACCGACCACACGGACTTTCTTCCAACACCTCAGATTCATCCTCGGAATCTTCTTCAGCTGTAGATGAGCTTTTGATATCAATCAGTTTTGGTTCCACCATAATTGTTGCCCAGAAGAGAAAATAAAACAAAAAGGAAGAGAAAAAGACACAAGACAAACACAGACACAATTGAATTTCTACAAAACAGCTTCGGTTAAATTGTACATAAAATCTCACTTATTATGAGAAAATCTCACTGATTACAAGGTGGATCCATCGGCGGAATAAAAGTGTTGTGGCTCCACCAAACGCTCTTCAAACAGCTGATCGACGTTTTCGGCTCGCAAATTTTTCTTTTTTATTTACTCGATTTTTTATTTTGATTTTCTTTAGTTTCCTTAGAAAAGATCAAGTGACTCAGTCAATTATGAAAATTGTTCTAAGGAAGATAAAAGAATTTAATTTGCAAGGAAAAGAAAGACAAGCCGAAAATGAAGCTGTTGAATGAGCGACGAGAGGAAGACTCTTTCTGAAAGAGTATCAGCTGTTTGAAGAGCGTTTGGTGGAGCCACAACACTTTTATTCCGCCGATGGATCCACCTTGTAATCAGTGAGATTTTCTCATAATAAGTGAGATTTTATGTACAATTTAACCGAAGCTGTTTTGTAGAAATTCAATTGTGTCTGTGTTTGTCTTGTGTCTTTTTCTCTTCCTTTTTGTTTTATTTTCTCTTCTGGGCAACAATTATGGTGGAACCAAAACTGATTGATATCAAAAGCTCATCGACAGCTGAAGATAAATCTGAAGCGGTGGAGGAAAGTCCGTGTGATCGGTGGTTAAAAAGACGAGAACCAGTAAGTGTTCAAGAAACGTTGGATGAGAAAGTGAAGGAGTTTGAAAGATTCAACGAAATGCTCTGCGAGGAATCAGAAAAGGAGCTTAAATCGATTCGGCATAAACATCTTGTGGCCACTTTGAAGAGATTACAGTCTTACAAGGAAGAATACGACCAACTGTTCACTGGGATTAACCGACACGAAAATGAAACGGAATCGAAAGGTCGTAGCTATCAGGATAAACTGAGCGAGATCGAGAAGACAGTTAAACAGGCGGTGGAAGAGGCGAAAAAAGCAAACAGTGTTCCAATTGATCAGTTTAACTCGACAGTTGATGTAAATTGCAATGTCGAGGTTCCGTCTAAGGTTGAAGATGTTGGCCAGAAAATGAACGAACCCATCGCCACGGACTCAGTAACTGATGCAAAAACTAATTCCACCGAATCCAGTGATCTCAAAGGCTCAGCCGAAGCTGAAACATTCAGTGCATATGTGAAACTACAAAGATTTTGCATTGACTTTGAAAACTCTTTGCAAAATTTTAACAATGATATCAAATTGAAAAATTATCGAAATGATTTGAAACTATTCATCCGAACTCTCATCAACACCATCGCGAAAAACTCTGTTGAAGATTTACGACAAAAGCCAGCCAATTGAATCGATTGTTTAGTAAACAATCAGTTAATTATCAGAATTGTCATCTTGACTGTAATTCACACCCTGATGCTCTTAATTTTTGCTTCAGTTTTGCTGCTCAGACTTCAGTTGTAAGTAATTCAAAGCCAATTGTCATTTCCGCCTTATACTCATCTCATATTTTCCTTAATTTTCTCAGGCGGCGGTGATTAAACAAGCCTCATCCGGCAATCCAGCAGCAACCGCTTTTCCTACCGGCGCTTTCATCGGAATGATCTGGTCTAAATATCCTACTTTCGGTAAACTTTTCCTTGGTTTACTTCAAGAAAAATGTCCCTTTGTGATCCCTTATTATCCGAAGAGAGAGAATGATGAAAGTGAAACGGATCATTTAATCACCAGTGGCTATTGCATTTCCAAGGATGGAACTCTTGAACCCGAAGACTCATATTTGAAACGAATGAAATCCATGATTGGAATCTACGGAATAATATTACAATCGAACATAAAAAATCACCCTCGAGGTATTAAATATGCGTGGAATTGGTTAGCGAGTGTTTTGAGACTCCCTCCTCAGCCTTTAATCACTGCCGGGGTTTTACTCGCCTTTCTACAAACCACCTCATTTAAATTGTATAATATTTATGGAAAACAATTTGTAAAACTGTTGAATTTCATCGAAACCATTTACACACCGATGATCGCTTCTTCTACCGGCAAAGAGGTTACAAGACAAACTCTGGTCAGTTTGGAAGTGTTTGTCAAAGAATCAATCGATAAGTCAAGAAGATTCAATTGTCTAGATGAACCTTTAGGACTAATTCGAGTTGTTCCGGAAAACTTTTAATTTCAGAATTTGGTCGTTTCTTGTCTCCATCATTTTCATCTTTCCAACGGCCATCTTTGAATCTCTCTTTCTCTCTCTCTCTCTCGCTCGATATTATTTCAGAACAAATCAAAACATAATTCAAATTTTAATGTAAATATATTAATGTAATACTTTCTGATGATCTTCAGTCTAGTTTATGATATGTTATGTTTTTTTTTGTTTTCGTTGATTATAATTGGTCTGAGATCAATTGATTCATTTGAAATTGAAATTATATAAATGATGAGTTCACAAGAGTTATTCGTGTTAATGAAATTCTCCCTTTGAAAATAACTTTCGGTTCCTCAAACATGAGGCAATGCGAAAGTCTCTCTTTTCGGCTTCTCTGCGGTCAAATTTCTTAACTCAGGATGTTCTTGATCTTTCAATCAGTGAAATTAATTAATGAGAAGACAAAATTTTCTCATGACTTGCAAAATTAATTATTTTTTTCCAAATCACAAAACTGTTACCAATCAATAAGGTTTAATGTACATGATGGCGTAATTGTCTGAGCAAAGCGAAGACTATACATCGAAAAAAAATCGCCTTAAACGATAGCGATCGCAATTTTAGCTCGATCTTCACCAAATTTTCAAGATAGGTCTAAATGATGGGTCTGGTCACCGGTATAGTTTTTGGTGAAGATCGGCCCACCACCGAAAATTGGTGATTTCTCTTCACGCTAGATAGCGACAGTGCCTATCACCATAGCAACGAGCAACACGCGCTTCTTTTAAATTTTTGCGTTTCTCTTTCTTTCCTTTCTTTTTTGCTCTTTCAGTCTCTTTCTCTCAGTCTCTTTCTCTCATTCTCTTTCTCTCATTCTCTTTCTCTCATTCTCTTTCTCTCATTCTCTTTCTTTCGGTCTCTTTCTCTTTCTCTTCTTTTTTCTTTTTTTCTCTTTCCTCTTTCTCCTTCTTTAACTCTCTTTCTCGCACGCACTTCTCAGTCTCTCTTTTCTGAGTCATACACGCGCTCAGACGTCACTGCCGCTTGCAGTAAGCCTAGTTAGATAACAATCAACTAATCAAGATAATTCAACAATGAGCCTAATTATCAGAAAATGAGGAAAACAATAAAATCATCCGATACTTTAATTGTTGGTTAGTTAATTGTTATCATAGAATCAGATGTTTTTCTTTTGTTTTTATCTTCAATCATAAATAACCAGTGATAAGAAAAATATGATTTCCTTTATTCCAACGTAATTGTTTCATTTTATTTACATCAAACTTGATTGAACTGTCAATTCATTTTTCATACTAGAAAAAGTAAGTTTGCAACAAAGAGTAATAGCAAGAGAGAGCACTTGGATGTAACCATCGATAAGGTTTTTATCTTCCTTATCTTAGGGAAAAGGATGAGATCCAGGTGGAGCCACTAGTAGGCAAAAAGAGAGAGAAAGAAAAGAAAGAGAAGAAAGAGAATCAAAACAAACAAACATACACACACACACACACACTAATTAACTCTTTTTCTTTTCTTTTCTTTTTCTCTAATTAGGTTATTTTATTAAAGATTATTTAAATTTTTTGGTGAGTTTTTTCTCCTTTTTTTATATATATTTTTTTATTTTAATTATTATGTTTAATTTAATTTGATTCATTTATTTAAAAACCTTATATACATTTTTTTTCTAATTATCGATATATCGATAGTTAACGTTTTTCGATTATGTCTATTTTAACTAAAATTTATCTTTAATCTAATCAATTATATTTACACTTTGAAATTATAAATACTAAGACATTATAATATATGAAATGATGATAATTAATATTTTATTTATTATTTGTCAATTCATTTATGATTTCACTGTTATGATTATGATAATTGGTTGTTTAACTATTTAAAATTTATCTTCAATCTAATCAATTATTTTTACACTTTGAAATTATGAATACTAAGGCATTATAATATATAAATCAGTATTTTATTTATTATTTGTCAATTCATTCATGATTTCACTGTAGTGATTATGATAATTGGTTATTAAATTATTATTGAACCATTACAAAATATGATAACTTGATTGTTAAAATGATTGTGATATCGAGTGATAATCCAATCTTAAAATCTGATTATTGTTTGAAGTATGAAGTTACATTATGGACAAATTCGAGGATAAATCTGGATACTGACGAAATGAGCGTGAGGCATTGGCCGCCTTACATGTTGTGATTACTATTAAACTTCATCTGATGATGTTGATGTTGTGTGTAATGTTAGGGAGCATCGTCCTGCCAAAAGCATGGACGATGTGTTTTCGTTGTTGGGTTAAAATCCCACAACGAGAGTGGTGACCGTGAGTTCACCACGATTAAGGGGGCAATGTAAAACTCGTATATCCTAGTCCCCCGCGCTAACTCACCTTTGTCCGTGTTTTTTAGGGAATGTTAGGCTGTGTATCATCGCATTAACGCCAATTAACGTTTATGCGATGATCTGTCTCGTCTTTCAGCAAAGACAGACATTTTTCTTGTATAATCTCACCAACGCCAATTAACGTTGGGGAGTTCAGTTAGTTTCTTTCTTCTAATAAGCTATTAGTAATTAAGATAGAGAACCTCAGAGAATACAAGTTTATTAATCACAATAATCTTTATACTTTATCATTTAGATTTTCCAATCATATTCACTCTGGTCACAGAAAATCACTCGAACTGAAGAACTTGATTTAGCAAAAGTATGTAAATTTAATTCATTGGATTTAAGATCCTCAAATTATTATATATATATTTTTATCTGTCTTACCAATGATTTCATTCTTTGTTTTTCGTTCATCTATATCCCCAATTTCATGTGCTTTTCGTCATTGTCCAATTCGTATAGTGGTTAATCGTAGATGTTCTATCCTCAATTGTCAATCCAATATTCAGTCTGCATCAGATATTTCATGCTTTCAATTTCCTGTGGGTGCTGAGCTTGCAGAACGTTGGTTTCAACACTTGAGACTGGGACTTCCTCCGCATTACACATTAGAAGATTGCAATGACGTCTAATTTGCTCTCTCCATTTCGATGAATCAAATTTCTATGAATCAGGAGTTTGGAGATTACTTTTTCCGAATGCTGTTCCTCTCCAAATTGATGCACCGATGGAAGTCGATCAAGATATTTTAGAAAGAGACGAAGGACAGGCAAATGAATTCATCGATTATTTTGAAAATGAAGATACTGAGAATGATGATACTGAGATTGACGAACCTGAAAATGATGATAGTCCTTATGTGAAAACAGTTGCTGAAATAGGAATTCAGTGTGACCTCATAAATAGTGACGAATACACTGAATTAAAAAGGAAAGAACCTTACCTCAAGAGAACTCTTCTCAAACTTCAGACTGATCCACCCACTTCTTTCATTGTCAAGCACCTTGATAAGCTTAAGCCTTTGGTTTCTCCTGAAGCATTCACACTTTTTGATAGTGCAATCAGAAATCATAATCTTGATCCTCAAGGAAGACGCCATTCTGATGAATCTAAGAAACTCACCAATATTATCAGCTGTAAAAGTTCTACTGCACAGAAACTCTTTCGTCAATATTTCGCCTTACCATCAGCAAGAACTCTCGATAGATTCAATCAGGATTTATTCACTACAACTGGTATCTCTTCTGAAATCAAAGCTGTTCTCGAAAAACATGCATCATCTTTGCAGCCAGAAGAGAGGTTTGTTGTTATCAGCTTTGATGAAACTGACATTAAGCCTGGATTTACTTATCTTCCAAGAAAAGATTCGGTGGATGGTTATGAAGACTTGGGAAGTTTTGGAAGAACTGCTGAACCGGCTGAGAAGGTACTTGTTTTTGGAATGAGAGGAATAGCTGCTCGTTGGAAACAAATAATATCGTATTATTTTATAAGTCCGAAAAACTTTAATACATGTAGATTGAAGCAGCTTGTTGAAGAAAACTTGAGAGTTGTTGGTGAAGCAGGAATCAATGTCATAGCAACTGTTTGTGATGGAGATGGGAAGAATATAGCTTTAGCAGATGCTTTCGCTGTTGATTCTACCTCTTCTTCATTTGAATTTGAAGGAAAGAGAATCCAATTTCTTTATGATGTTCCTCATATCATAAAATTGATAAGAAATAATCTTATGAAGTATGGACTTTTCTGCGAATTCGATAATGGAGTTAAAGGAATAGTTGAATGGCAAGTAGTAAAAGATCATTTGAAGCCGATAGTAGAAAGTCCACAAATACTATCATTTTGCCCAAAGCTGACGAAACAACATCTTGACCCTAAAGGGTTTGAACTGATGCGAGTTAAGTTAGCAACTCAACTATTCAGCCATTCCGTAACTTCTTCATTTGCTTATGCTGTTTGTCAAGAACATCCAAAGTCAAATGATTATAAGCTGATTGTTGAACTGTTTCGAAGGCTCGACGTCTTGTTCGATATACTCAATTCTTCTTCTACGTCTCTTCAAGATGGAAAGTCTTGGAAAACTGCTTTGACACCAAACGATAAGTTGGTTCCAGTTCTCGAGTCTTTTGACAACCTTATCAGCAACAATCACTTATATTATCTCAAGAAAGGATCAGCAACGGAAAAAAATGAGCAAGTTAGGTGTTTGAAGATGTTATCGAAGTCGATTAGGGGAATTATAACATCAGCGAAGATTCTTTTCGAAAATGGTATAACACATGTCTTCACACGAAGATTTTGTCAGGACATCTTGGAAAACCATTTCGCTCATGTTAAAATGCAGACCAACCATTTGACAACATCTATTTATCATCATTTCATATCTTTATATGACTCAGTAATTGTTATTTGTTTCCAATGTCCACTTAATGTTCCTTTTCACCATATTTCACCATCATGTACTTGTTTCCTTTTCGTTCACCCACTTAATTCATCATTGTTTTTTCCTTAATTTATATTATCTACGTTAATCACTTTTCATTGTTAAATCATCATTCACATTTGCACAGTTAAAAATGTTATTTGTTTCCAATTCCATTCCAAATGTCCACTTAATGTTCCTTTTCACCATATTTCACCATCATGTACTTGTTTCCTTTTCGTTCACCCGCTTAATTCATCATTCACATTTGCACAGTTTAAAATGTTATTTGTTACATAAATTAAAATTATCAGCACATTTTCATTATAAATCGTTCGTTTATAAAGTTAACACAAAGCTAAAATAATAATAATAATATTTAAAAATCTTTATTAATAAACTTTTTCTTGCATTAAATTAGGTCTTCATTGGCTTCTGTACATAATACTTAGAAATGTACTAGTGGCTCCACCTGGATCTCATCCTTTTCCCTAAGATAAAAAAGATAAGACCTTATCGATACATTTCATTAAGTGCTGTCTCTTGTTATTACTCTTTGGTTTGCAATGCAAAAAGAACCCCAGACCCATCTGGTTTACATTATTTAACTAAGAGCGGTAATAGCAAATAAATTTAATTTTAAACAAAATCATTTATACATTACAACAATTTCGGTTTTCCAGCCAATGTTGGACAATTATCGGCAGTAAAAGGAGCAAAGAGTAGATCAACTGGATATTTATCATTTCGAGCCCATAAATTGGCTTGATCTCCGTGGGTCATGATACAACAAACGAAACAATCAGCATCAGAATGATCTTCTTTGGAAACTATGGTGAGAAGAACAATAGAGAGCAAATTTCATGAGAAAGAGAGAAAACAAAAGTCAATAAAGTGAGCGAATGAAAAAAAGAGCGGGAGTCAATACCAAACAAGTTACTCTTTTCAAGGTAAAACTGATACAATTGCAAATCTATTCTTTGCCGTTTAGACAAAATCACTTACGAGCTTTCAACATGGCAATAACCTCAGCAACTGACAGATCATCATAGGTTTTCACATCGAAACCAATTCACCGAAACAAAATCTTAAAGCATGAGCATCGATTTCAGTTCCTTTTCTTTCATTTAATGTCTTTTCCTCAAAAAGTCGATGGTTGAAAATGACGCATTTTCCTCGGCGCTTGTGGTTCATCAGATATTCTTCCCCTGGATCACTGGTCAAGGCCGAATGTTTCTGCTTGAATATGGAGATACTGAAGAAGAAAATAGAATAGAATATAAGTTACATATTTCAATAACATCAGTACCTTCGGACATGATGAATCAATCAAATGAGAAGAATCACCGAATAGATAATTAAAAGAAAACAGTTTGAGATTAATTGAACCAGAAAATGAGGAGAATAAGAGACAAAGAGAGTTGGCAATGAGCTAAACAGAGAGAGAGAGAGAAACCGAGAGATAAAGGAAACAACAACAAAGAAACAGAGGATTAGGATTAAAAGAGAAACAGTTGAATTTAAAGTTGCAAATGAAAGTTGATAAATGGAAATTAGAATTAAATCAATTGCAAATGGTTACGATTGAAATGGGATGAGAAAAAGAAGATTGAAAATTAAAGTTGATCAGTTTTTTTTTCTTTTTCTTTGCTTCTTTCATTCTCTCTCTGTCAAAATTCATGGTTTGTCTAATTCCATCAGTTTATCACAATTGTCAATGGGATTCACCTGTTGGTTTCAAAGTCTCTTTGCAATTCTCACTTGTTTCACTAGTTAACAATTAAATTTAATCACATAACATAAAGATGAAGCTGTTTATCAACATAAATTCACAATTTTTGTTCAACAAGCAATAAATCATCAACTTGAATCAAATGTAAACACTGATTATTATTCCAGTACAAGATTGTTGGGAAACATTGATTATCCTTTATGGCGATTGTCTGGTGTCTCAAGCAATTGAATAAAAGTGTTGATGGAGAGCAATTAATCCAATCGCATTTATATTACACCACATTGATAGACTATCACATGAACCGATTTAATGAGATGCGAAAAGTAAGACTCCCATAAAGTAAAGTGTTGGAGGAAAAAGGACAAAAGAATTTAGAAAAAAAAGTGACCGATGAAAGAAAAAAGTTTCGAATTAGAGAAAAGTTAATCTTAGAAAATTTTCTAGACGATTAATTGATTTGTTTGTTTTTCCTTCATTTTCGCTCTTGTCCACTTGCAATTGACTCTTTTTAGTTTCTCAACTACAAACAATCAATTTACTAATTTAATTTTCTGTTATTCTCACAAATTCTGCTGTGTGAATAGTCTCATAGGTTTTTCTCTGGTTTGTTTTCATTTTTGTTTTCATTTGTTTGAAACTTTGAATCTTCGTGTTTGACTATTTTCATTTGTATCAATCTCGATGAACAGTGCGGAGAACGAGCTCCCTCCTTGTGAATCTTCCCGAAAGTCAATCTTCAGAAGTGGAGGAAATGGTGCTTCTAATGCCAATGTCAATTCAATTCCAATTCCAATTCCAATTGTAATTCCAATGCCCGAGAAAATGGTAAAAAGAATGGCGTTCGACCGGGTAAGAGCACAAAGAAGGGTTTGACCTATAAACTGTCCTATTCGGCGAAAGAGAACCATAATGGTCCACTGTTTGGTGTTTCCATGAATGTGGAGCTGCAAAAGGATGGACACTTTGTGTTCGCTACCGTTGGAAACAACAGAGTTGGTGTCTATGAGTGTTGTCCCGATGGAAGCGTTAAACTTTTACAATGCTACTCGGATCCCGACACGGAGGAAAACTATTACTGCTGCAATTGGACCTACAATGATGTGACCTTTGATCCGATCCTTTTGGCTGCCGGAAGCAAAGGAATCATACGAGTTATTGACCCGGGAACCAATGAATGTGTGAAGCATTACAAAGGCCACGGACAATCGATAAACGATCTGAAAATTCATCCACAAGATCCCAACCTGATTCTCTCAGCAAGTAAAGACTATTCCTGCGACTGTGGAACCTTAAAAGCGACATTTGTGTCATCATCTTTGGTGGAGTTGAAGGTCATCGCGATGAGGTTTTATATGCTGATTTTCACCTGAAAGGACACCGAATTGTCAGTTGTGGTATGGACCATTCGCTAAAGATTTGGTCTTTAGACAATCAATGTGTTGTCAGTAGAATCAAAGATTCCTACGAATTCAACATTGAAAAGAATAGAAAACCTTTTAAAACGTACAAGTTGCACTTTCCCAATTTCACAACCAGAGACATTCATCGCAATTACGTTGATTGTGTTCGCTGGTATGGAAATTTTCTTTTATCTAAATCGTGCGAAAACGAAATAATCTGTTGGAAACCTGGTAAAATCGAAAATGAGAACGACTTTCAGTTGCCTCAAGTCAATTATACGACAGACCAAACAACAACAATTCTCCATCGATTTGACTATAAGAATAGCGAAATTTGGTTCATCAGATTCTCTATGGACAGAGAGCAGAAAATTTTGGCTTTGGGTAATCAAGTTGGTAAAACTTATATTTGGGATTTAGATGTTGATGATCCAGCGACTGCGAGGTTAGTTTTTCACTGTTCTCATCTCATCTCATTCTATCATTAGATTTCATTCATTAGATTTCATTCATTATTCATTTCAATTGTCTTTCTTTTCCATAGATTTACTATTCTCTCTCATCAGAATTGCACTGCCACAATCCGCCAAACGTGCCTGTCCCAAGATGGATCCATATTGATTTGTATTTGTGATGACGCTTCAATCTGGCGATGGGATCGATGTGATTCCAATCTAGATGCTAAAAACACGACCAACAATGGACGTGCTTAATCATCTGTGATGTAATTGGTTCTCTTTCTTTCTAAAGTTTAATCACTGCCGGGTTTTACTCGCCTTACTACAAACCACCTCATTTAAATTGTATAATATTTATGAAAAACAATTGGTAAAACTGTTGAATTTCATCGAAACCTTTACTCACATTTTTATCTTTCCAACGGCCATCTTTGAATCTCTCTTTCTCTATCTCTCTCTCGCTCGATATTATTTCAGAACAAATCAAAACATAATTCAAATTTTAATGTAAATATATTAATGTAATACTTTCTGATGATCTTCAGTCTAGTTTATGATATGTTATGTTTTTTTTTGTTTTCGTTGATTATAATTGGTCTGAGATCAATTGATTCATTTGAAATTGAAATTATATGAATGATGAGTTCACAAGAGTGAAAATAACATAAAACACGATTCAGAAATTCGGGTTGACTGTAACACCGATTTCAAAGGTAATTCATCGCAGCGTTTATCTCATGACGACTTTCAGGAAGAGTGTGCATCCATCAATCTTTTTACCTCGATTGTCCAGCAATTGGAAGTGTCGATAACCTGGTTGGTAAAATAATCCAGATTAGTTTCAGAATTCTGATTACATTTAGACTTTTTCATTACCTGATTTCATCGATGTTGCAGCGATTACATTCCCTGCTAATTTAGCATCTTTACCAGATAATCGTTCATCTTTCACCTTGAAATAAAGAAAAGCCAATTCGGGATATTTCAAGGTAAACACAAAAGTCTCTGACCAAATGGGATTAAAACCTAGAAAAAGATTTCAGATTATTGTTATTTCATGGCAACAATGAGAGTTATTGAACAGACCATTGTTTCTTATCACTTTTGAGGTCATTTTTTGTCGATCTTCTTTATGTCCAATGACTGATATTTTGACGTAAGGGTCAACTATGTCGTCTTCTGGACTAGAATCCGGTTTCCGTAGTTGCTGACCACTGAGAATGGTCAATTCTAACTGTAAAGGTTTCACCTCTTTACCTGTTGACACTCGCATCAGATGATCTGGCTTGAGAGTGTAACCGCAACGGCCATTGGACGCAAAACGAGCCTCGTTGATCAATAAATGTTTACCCAACGTCTGAGCATTTAAAGCAACTTGAAAAAGAAAAATGATTCACAATAAAATGAAAGAATAACGAATCGAGTTAATTGTGATTGAAATTACCCATTTGACAACCAACACTCCAGTGAATTGTTGGGTCATAATTAGATGAATTGATTCGTGATCCCTTTGGATAAATTCTAACAAGACGTCGAGCGGTGCACGAAGTGTATTCATCAGCATAGAAATTGGCCAAATCAGCTGATTTCTTTTCATTGAGCGAAAACATTTCATTGAATTTCCCTTTGATCAGAAAAAGAAACAACGAAAACAAAAGTTAATTTTTAGTTGGTTGATTGCTTTGGAACAATCAAATTTTTGCCTCTTGTCGAGATCGCTGTTGGTACAACTTACATGATAATGTATCCTCAAGGCTACGGAACTTCCGAGCTGAGCTGTAGATTGCTAAATCAGCTAAATTGTTAATCAACTTCTAAAGAAGGGATTCCATTGAGTAATTAGTCATAGAATTGTTTCCAACAGCATTTCAGTTCTTACCGTTTTCACTTTGCCCTTAAGTAACAATGAGGTGTTTGTATTTGCTTGTATTGAATATCGACGATTGGTAATGTACCTACGAGTTTCATTAAGTTCTTCATCGCAGTCTGATGATGAAGAGGAAGATGACGAATCCTCGTCCTCATGATGCTTGCGACCTTTCGCTTTGATCAATATTTTGTTCTGTAACATCTCAGGACTTGGTAATTGACGTTCCGTCGGCATAATTTGTCGCTTGTACAATTTATCTAAACAAAAGAAAAACAAATTAAATCATTTGGCCGCTAATTCACATGGTTGATCTTCACCTCCTAAAATTGCCACTAACAAGGCAGCTATCGATTTCTGTTGTTCATCAGAACAATTAACTTCTAGTGAAAGTATCAGAGGATAAGAGGTCGTATCGAAAGCATAAGCTCCAATGGCCTCGAGCACATCTTTAAGTAATAGTTTAGAAACCATTGTGTATCCATGGTAAACAATTGGTCCATCATCTTCATCGCCGTCCCAAATATCAACTGCAAATCAAAAGTATTATTATTGATTAGCTTAATCGTTGAGAAGAGTTGATATTAAACTTACGCTCAACACAACGATATCCTCTTCTCATAGCATCAATATAGCCTTCGATACTACTGTCCCCTACCAATTGTCCAGCCAAAAGGTACCTTTGATCAAGGCGAAAAGTTAGACAATGGTCAAGTTAATTTATCGCCAATGCTTACGTATTATGTGAAGATTGAATATAATAATGATTCAATGGACGGTTCATTTCTTGGTTAATTTTGTAATGGTCATGATTGAACAAATCAAATTCTGGTGATAAAAGCATAGCTTCAAATCCTGAAAATAGAACAAGAAAAATTGTAACATGTGATGAAAAGTATTATTAAATTGATTGTTACAGTTTGGGCACACTGATTAAATTAACCGGAACCCGTGAAATCAATTAACTCATAAGTACAATGAAAGAAGCTATTGACTAATTCAATTCCATGTTTAAGTCTCCACGTATTTCATGAGAGTTGATACTTTCGATGTTTATAATTGAGCGAGTAGATTATCATTATTTACATTATTTACTAACTGCTAACTTATTAGTGATCAACTTGATGAAGTTGGTTAAGTAAACTTATGGTTTCAATGATTATTCAGGCGTCGCATTGAAGGAAACAATTAGTACTGGAAATTAATAATAACAATATTTCCTTATCCAGAAATGGTAAAAGAAATTAAAGTCAACTAATATGTAATCCAACAAATAATCAAATTGTATTGATAAATAAAATGGACTTTCATTTGATTGCGACTCGTTATCGAAGGCTGAGAAAGTTTCTCACCTTAATTTCCCCCTGTCAGGTCGGTACTTTTTTCAATCGTGATTAAATTGCTTAGACTAACCTTTTGAATTCATGTACAACTCAAGGATCTGAGTGGATGCTGGTAATCGCTGAGATGCTTCCAATAGGTTGGTGGATAATGATGCGTACCATGAAGTTTGGAACTTCTCAATGTACCGTTGACATGTTTCCAAAGGTAAATCAGTTGATTGTTCCGCTTGCAGGAATTTTTGTAGCTCATCAGGACCCATGATGGTCCCTCCTGGCTTAGCGTATTGGCGGAATAACTCCTCGACTTCCCATCGATGTTCAAGATTATCGAAAAAGGTGAAAAATTCATCCATATCGAGAGCCTCTTCTCCTTTAACTTTTTTCATCACCACAATCGATTTCTAGATCACAATTGTACATTAGCTACTCTATTCTATTGTTGGTTTCATGAATATACCTGAAATAATTCCTTGGCTAAATCGTGGTTAATTGAGATGTTGAGTCTATTCAGGATGCTCATTGCTTCGATGAAGTTGATGAATCGATCTCCATCTCGATCTGCCTCTTTGAAGCACCTTTCAATAAAAGCTCGACGATCTCGAGTTTTCTTCGCTGTTTTCGCCTCGAACATGATATATCTCAACTTATTCAGCCAGTGCTCCCTTTCGATGGAATCAGCGGCAATCAAGTCAATTGTTTTATCGGTACCAAAGACGATTGAAAATGAACACTCTTCACGAACCCAATTTTTGGTACCTTCTTGTTTACCTTTCATCCAAAGGTGACGAACTTTTTCCTCGATTTTCTTGAACTTTGTGGTCATCCAACCTTCCCTTAGATCAGTTATGTCTTGAATTGAATCTTAATATCAAAAATCAGATTACAGAAAATAACATTCATTCTGGAAAATATTCAATGTCATCAATGAGAGATAAGAGTCACTTGAGGAAAAGTGGATCAGAGAGATTAACAAACATGATCCACAGTAAAGATTAATATTCTCATCGTACTTACAATAAGATTTTCTATGCAGAGTGAATTTCTTACGATATCGTTGATATTCAATCTGTTTATTTGGTACATCGATGATTATCCGACGATTCATTAATTTACCTCGTCGATTAACTTTTAAAAAGGTTGATTCCATCTTGGAATCACTGGAAGACATTATATCAAAACAATCGTAAGAGTTTCAAGATCACAATTGGAACAATATTCTGAACAAAACAACGTAAGAGCCCAATGGGTGATGGCAATTAAATCCTTGAGTTGATTGATTGAATATTTGCTATTAAAAAGGAGCAAAGGAAAAAGAAAACTACTTAATTAACTAGAGAGTCACTGATGATTTGTTGCTTCATCTCCAGAACAATTTGACCAGGTATTCAGATGCAGAGTAAGAAACGCTGATGAAAACTCACAGGTAATTAACAATTAAACGAAAAGCAGCAATTTAAACAGAGAAAAAGGTTTTGTTGAATGAGAAAAACGTTGGAAAACAAAAACAAAAGAGAGAAGCAAAAAATGAGCAACAGTGAGAGTTGATTGTGACAATCAATATCTCGCAAGTTTTATCAACAATTTAGAAAACAAATAGACACAAACATTTGATTACAATTGAGTTTGTTTAAGGGAAAAGAAAAAGATGATAAATCACCATCATCAAGATAAATGGAACAATCAAAAGAGCTAATTAACAAACTCAGGACCTAATGAGAAAATGGGAAACATTTGATTGGATTAGATGTTGTCTCTTGTTCACTATTTAAGCAAAAATTAGTTAATTAAAACCATATATCCTTAGTGTTATATTTACATGTTCCAAGGTTAATCAAGACAATCATCACCAATAAATCATAATTGTATAATCTGATTAATCCTATTCTCAATTTTCAGTGAACAAATTTGCCACTGGAATTACTATTAGTAAATTGTCTCTCTAATCAAAATTGGAGATTCTTTTCATAAATTCAGAGAAAACTAGACAATTGTTCCTGGAAAGTTTCGTTTTCCCCTGAAAGTTGTTTTTCTACATGAAAAATGAAAATTGAAACATTACAATTAAAAAGAAAAGCAACAGCAAAGTAACCATTGATGAGAATAATTAGCAATTATCTTTATTCCCAATCGAATTAATTACTTTTCCATTTATCAATCACAAGCTAATTCAACGAATAGAAAGTAACGAGAGATAAATTGAGATAAAGATTATTTCATTTTCCTAATCATTTGAAATTCTAGTTGTTATTTAATCTCTAGGATATTAACATGAAGATCTTTGATTTTCCTCATCTTTCTCTGGAATGGGTGTCGATTCAATGGAATCACTAATATGGCGGATGAAGTTTGGACTGTGCGATCTTGCGACTTTTTCGACAGTGAAAAAGGATGGTAAGTGTCGCTAAAAAGGGTCATTTTCATGGGGAATCGGAGAGACAGAAACAAAAGGAGATAAAAATCTGAGTTATTCACTTGATTACCTTCAATTAGTGGTTAGAGTAAAGCGAGAAAATTGTAGTAAAAACACAAATGAATAGAATTACTTGAGACTCAACCTTGGTGACGATCATGATGATAAAATCACTGGAAGATTTTACAAGAGAAAGATTTTGTTTTCTCCATTTAACGAAACTCAGAGTAAATTCAATTATCCAATAGCATGATGATGATGATCCATTGATAGAAATACATGAATGCGGATCATTCGAACAACAGTTTATCACAATTGTCAATGGGATTCACCTGTTGGTTTCAAAGTCTCTTTGCAATTCTCACTTGTTTCACTAGTTAACAATTAAATTTAATCACATAACATAAAGATGAAGCTGTTTATCAACATAAATTCACAATTTTTGTTCAACAAGCAATAAATCAACTTGAATCAAATGTAAACACTGATTATTATTCCAGTACAAGATTGTTGGGAAACATTGATTATCCTTTATGGCGATTGTCTGGTGTCTCAAGCAATTGAATAAAAGTGTTGATGGAGAGCAATTAATCCAATCGCATTTATATTACACCACATTGATAGACTATCACATGAACCGATTTAATGAGACGCGAAAAGTAAGACTCCCATAAAGTAAAGTGTCGGAGGAAAAAGGACAAAAATTTAGAAAAAAAAGTGACCGATGAAAGAAAAAAGTTTCGAATTAGAGAAAAGTTAATCTTAGAAAATTTTCTAGACGATTAATTGATTGTTGGTTTTCTTTAATTTCAATGTTCCTGAATTCGCTCTTGTCCACTTGCAATTGACTCTTTTAGTTTCTTAACTACAAACAATCAATTTACTAATTTAATTTTCTGTTATTCTCACAAATTCTGCTGTGTGAATAGTCTCATAGGTTTTTCTCTGGTTTGTTTTCATTTTTGTTTTCATTTGTTTGAAACTTTGAATCTTCGTGTTTGACTATTTTCATTTGTATCAATCTCGATGAACAGTGCGGAGAACGAGCTCCCTCCTTGTGAATCTTCCCGAAAGTCAATCTTCAGAAGTGGAGGAAATGGTGCTTCTAATGCCAATGTCAATTCCAATTCCAATTCCAATTCCAATTGTAATTCCAATGCCCGAGAAAATGGTAAAAAGAATGGCGTTCGACCGGGTAAGAGCACAAAGAAGGGTTTGACCTATAAACTGTCCTATTCGGCGAAAGAGAACCATAATGGTCCACTGTTTGGTGTTTCCATGAATGTGGAGCTGCAAAAGGATGGACACTTTGTGTTCGCTACCGTTGGAAACAACAGAGTTGGTGTCTATGAGTGTTGTCCCGATGGAAGCGTTAAACTTTTACAATGCTACTCGGATCCCGACACGGAGGAAAACTATTACTGCTGCAATTGGACCTACAATGATGTGACCTTTGATCCGATCCTTTTGGCTGCCGGAAGCAAAGGAATCATACGAGTTATTGACCCGGGAACCAATGAATGTGTGAAGCATTACAAAGGCCACGGACAATCGATAAACGATCTGAAAATTCATCCACAAGATCCCAACCTGATTCTCTCAGCAAGTAAAGACTATTCCCTGCGACTGTGGAACCTTAAAAGCGACATTTGTGTCATCATCTTTGGTGGAGTTGAAGGTCATCGCGATGAGGTTTTATATGCTGATTTTCACCTGAAAGGACACCGAATTGTCAGTTGTGGTATGGACCATTCGCTAAAGATTTGGTCTTTAGACAATCAATGTGTTGTCAGTAGAATCAAAGATTCCTACGAATTCAACATTGAAAAGAATAGAAAACCTTTTAAAACGTACAAGTTGCACTTTCCCAATTTCACAACCAGAGACATTCATCGCAATTACGTTGATTGTGTTCGCTGGTATGGAAATTTTCTTTTATCTAAATCGTGCGAAAACGAAATAATCTGTTGGAAACCTGGTAAAATCGAGAATGAGAACGACTTTCAGTTGCCTCAAGTCAATTATACGACAGACCAAACAACAACAATTCTCCATCGATTTGACTATAAGAATAGCGAAATTTGGTTCATCAGATTCTCTATGGACAGAGAGCAGAAAATTTTGGCTTTGGGTAATCAAGTTGGTAAAACTTATATTTGGGATTTAGATGTTGATGATCCAGCGACTGCGAGGTTAGTTTTTCATTGTTCTAATCTCATCTCATCTCATTCTATCATTAGATTTCATTCATTAGATTTATTCATTATTCATTTCAATTGTCTTTCTTTTCCATAGATTTACAATTCTCTCTCATCAGAATTGCACTGCCACAATCCGCCAAACGTGCCTGTCCCAAGATGGATCCATATTGATTTGTATTTGTGATGACGCTTCAATCTGGCGATGGGATCGATGTGAGGCTAAAAACATGGCCTCCAATGGACGAGGTTAATCAATCGTAATTCAATTACTATTCATTTTCTGTAATTTTTTTTATTTACATTTCGATCGACTCATATTCGTTTGTCAACACTTTATTTATACAATTTATATAATTCATCTACATTCATGTGCACCATAAGTTGAAATTACTTATGATGCTCAGTGCAATTATCACCTAAGCCGAATCAATTTGTTTAGCCTTCTTTTTTTCTCTGTCTTTAACTTTTTCAGCTCCTCTTTGATCGGAGTTGAACTGTTGATCATCGCTATCGAATCCATTTTCGCTGGTCTATTCCAAGGAGGTAAACCGGTGTAGTCCCCTGTCTCTGACGCAGGTTGATACAATTCGAAAGCTTTAAAATGTCGAACTAAATTAGCAGCATCTTGTTCCTGGAGGTCATACTTTTCGGCGATTTCGGAAGCGCTTGGGGTACTTTGGATGATGCATATTCCATGACAAGATTGGTTGTTCGGGTTAATGAAATTCTACCTTTGGGAATAACTTTCGGTTCGACTTCGCCAAACATATTTTAACTCGAATCTTCTTTAAATTTCTTAACTCAGATTGTTCTTTATTAATTAAAGAAAAAAAGATTCAATTAGCAAACTCAAAATGAGATTAACAATTAACAATTAATTTCGTCTGTGTATTAACCCTTTCCAGATCATCCAGCTTAAGTTTGGTTCGCTCAGTTTACGTTCTAACCTTTAATGTTCAAAAACTTCGCTTTCCATTCGCCCATTAACGTTCATCTTACCAAAGAAAAAATAACTAACAAAGTTGGTCAATTAATTAATTTCTATTTTCTTCAGTTATTCTCACAAAAATTTCAGATGAATAATTGATTGTTTATTTTTTAAATTGGCTCATTTTCACTCACATTTCGATTTCTATTATTCGATGTCTCTTATTGTCTCCAATCACTTGTTCCCTTCATGTAACAATTTGGGATAATAAATTCACCATCTGATCACAGCCTTGATCTACTATTATTATCGCGTAGCAAATATGTTTTCATTTCTGTCTCCCTTTTGTTGATATTGTTGATTCATTGTCACTTGTTGCCAAGTTTCTCGAGATAATTAGTCTCAATTGTGGATAATAAAAGAGCAAGACAATTGAATCAACGATCAACTCAGTCCCTCGAACAGGAGCCACACTAATCTAAGGTGAGTCCATTTCTTTTTGTTTTCCCTTTTTCTAGTCTTGGATAATGAAGCCTAATTTTCCGTTAGTTACTATTGCTTGTTGATTACTATTCGTGAGAATAGTCATTCCAAATGGTTGATTGCAGTTAAATCTCATTGAGATCAATTGATCAAGTAATTGATGTTTTTGGGTTTAGTCTGAAACATGTGATCGGTGAATGTGTTGAGTTTATTCACTCATTTCTACTCTTCGTTGTGTCCAATGAATTTTATCCATCGTATCTCATTTGGAAGTTTGTTTTTCTCTTCGACCTCAAAGACCTAATGAACTTTATTAATCTCCAATCGATTGGTCAAGGTAAGAAAGGACAAAGCGATTGATTGACAATTTAGAAAGTCTGACACCAATTAATATTTCTAATCAATGACAAACAATTAAATGGAACAAGCAACAAATACTTCGATAATTATGGTTTTTAGAGGAAACAAATAAGCGAACGAAAGTTGACTGCTTATCGAATCAGCTTAACTAATCGGCCAAACGAAAGGGTCAATTAAATTTCCAAGAATCGAATAGAAAATTTTATTATCTTTCCCTATTAAAGAGAATAAAGTTGCGCCATCTTCAGGATGGAAAAGAAACTTTTTCAATTGTTCTTTTCTCCTCCTCTTCTAGAAAAACGTTTAAATCTCGATGATTGTTATGAAAATTGTTCTTGTTTAGCTGATTGTTAACGTAATCAACAAGTTTTAATTTGCAATCATGTCTTTAATTTCTAGTTTAATTCTGTTCTTTTTGATTGGTACACAGTATTCCAATTGTGAAATGTCTGCCAATTCATCGGATTCACCAATAACCCAATCCCCATCCCAATCTTCACCTTCACCGACCAACATCGTGTTATCTAAATTAAGTGGACCCACAAATGATTTTGGACTTCGTTTCTTGGAACAATTAAACACCGGCAATGCGAATAAAAATGTCCTCTTCTCTCCTTTAAGTGCCATCTTAGCCTATGGTATGTTATTGGAAGGTGCAACCGGCAGAACTGAACAACAGATCAAAGAGGTTCTCCAATTATCTTCTCTTGGTAATCAAACATCGGATGTTTCTCAAGCCGCTAAAAAGGTATTTCATTAGTTAATTTCTCTTGGTAAAACAGTTAATTGTTCTTCTCTTACATTGAGGAAATTGATTATTGTTTCTGTTTTGGCTTATTGTCAAACTATTTTTCAGTCAAATCAATTTAACCTCACTTCGTGTCAATTTATACAATATAATTTATACACCTTCCATTTGTTGTGAAAATATTTAAATGTGACCAATTAGTTACAATTGCAAAGGGAGATAAACAAAACAGAACATTGAATTGTAATTGATTGTTTTGTTTACTGTTAATTTTAAAAGAAATGATAATTTGTCGTCTTTTTCATTTATCTTCAATCATCATCGTTGCTTTCAACTTTTTTGTATTAATTGTCCCTTTGAACTCGTTTTCCATTCTTCCTCTTTTCATTCAGTTCGTTCACTTAATCACGATCGCGCTCTTTTCTCCCAATTGTAACTATGTTATTAACCTTTTTCTAATTGTTGACATTTGTAGCTTCTCACAGGATACAAATCGATTGAAGATGGTTCTAGTGGTCGTAACTTCTCTTTGGCTATTGGTAATTTGGCGATGGTCAATAAAAACGCTACTCTCAAAGAGACTTATGCTCGTAGTTTGTTGGCCAATTATTTCGCTCAAGCAACAAATGAAGACTTTGAAAATGGAACCGCAGTAATGAATAAACTAAACTCATGGATCTCTGAAAAAACTTTTGGAAAAATCAACAAGATCTTATCCAGTCCACCAGGCCCAGAAACTATATTAATGTTGATAAACACCGTTTACTTCAAAGGAAAATGGGTCGAACCATTCCCTAATTCGTCAACAATCGATGACACTTTTACCAATTCTGATGGAACCATAAGTAAGATCAAAATGATGTCCATTCGAGATAAAAAATTCAATTATGTTCACAATCAAGCAAAGAAAGTCAAGGTAAAGAAGTAGTTTTTTCTCCTTCTCATTAATCTCATATTTCATTCAGGTGACTCAGATTAATCATGGTTATTATTTCATAATTGAACAAGATTAATCATAAATAGTCAGTACCATTAGGATATATTGTCTAAACTTGAAAACGATTGATAGGTCTCATTTATAATCTACATGTATATCGATTGCATAACTTTTTAATTGTTCATCAATTCCATAACTCTAGTTGATACATTTCTGAATTATCTATTGAATTTCTGTTTATTATTTTCAATCATTGGCTATTCATCTGTCAGAGTATGTTGATCATGATGATTTCTCTCCAATTTCTTGTAGCAATTAATTTTATTTTTTGGGTCACTCATTTTTCTCTTAGTTTTCATTAGCAAAATTTTCCTATCATGATGATTCGATGCTTTAAGAAAAATTTCTCAGTTTCTCAAGGACGGATAAGTTTATCATGAATCTATCAATTTCTTAACTTTTTTGAGTGACGCATCCTTTTTCTCTACAATAAGAGAAAACAATCGGAATAATCCTTGGATTCTGTTATTGATTTCATCTGTTTGTCAGAATGGAAACTACCTTTGCGAGAAGATCATTCATTTTCCATATTTCTTTCCATATGGGACAGAATTATAATTACTACTACTTCAACACCTCCACCCTTTTCTTTCATATAACCAAATTGATTGTTCACAGATAATTTCACTGATTCGTATCAATCCTTTGTGTATTTATTATTTCTCCATGTGAAGCCATCAAAATTGTAAACGTCGGATACTATCAATCAACTACTGACAGATTATTCCGATGTCTTTCAGTTGTTTCTTTCTCTTGTTTTTTAAAATAATCAATTGTCCAAGTATTCACATTGATGAAAATCTATTGTTAACTATTGGGAAAATTTGATCCTTCAACAAATCATCGTCAGAATAAATCAATTGGGAGATTTTGTCAATATTACGTTCCTTAAATAAGCTTGTTAATTTATAAATAGCAGTTATCAGGTAATAATGAATAATCGTATAGATGAATAAATATCAAGGGTTTCATAGTAACTAGTCGATAATGTTTGAATTGGCATTCAAACAATAGTTAGGGAAATACATTAAAACAGGTGTGAATAATTGATTTATTTCTGATTGATTGTTCTGATGTTCATTGAGCTTAAATTAACACAGTCAAACTTTTGACTGTTCACACTACACTCACTTCCTAGATAACCTGAGGTCAATTAATCCAGTGTCATTGAGCTTTAATTGGTTTTTGCCCATAGGACTTATGAGTTTATTGAATGAAAGAAAATAAATTCACTTAATCATCTTTTTATTTTCTTCCCAATCACAGGTTGTAGAGCTTCCATACATTGGAAATGTCAGCATGATCTTCATTGTACCCACCGAATCCAACACTCTGTCCAGTTTGGTTCCTACATTGAATTCAACGGAATTAGATAATCTTTTGAGTTCCATGAGTTCAACGAAGCTTCGAGTTGTTAATATTCCCAAATTCAAACTGGAAGATACCCACAAGTTACATGAGATTTTTCCTCGTATGGGAATGGACTTACCATTCAGCGATTTGGCTCAACTTCCCAACATTGCAGAAAACTCTGAATTAAAAGTATCACAATCAATCCAAAAGGCTCTGATTGAGGTCGATGAAGAGGGAACTGTCGCTGCAGCTACAACACTCATTATCACCGTCTTAAGAATGAGTTACTTCCCAGCTGAAGATATTGTCATAGATCGTCCTTTCCTCTTTATGATTCGAGACAATTTATCTGGAGTTAACCTTTTCATGGGTCAAATGAATAAGATGCCGAATCTTGATACGCCAACAGTATCCACCACCGCTATTCCAGCACAATCATCATTATCACCAGTGCAATCCACTCCACCAGCCAGTAATCAAACTACAAACTCATCCACAGCTTTATAATCAATTGAACGATTAATGCGATTCCAAGTTTAATGCACAAATCATGACAGTTAATTATCTTCTTTCAATTCAATAACTGATTACTTTGCAATAATTTACAGATACTAATAGTATAAATCTCGAGCTTATTGTTTTTGTTTTCTAAATTAACATAAATTACATCAACACTGAAAGTCAATTGTCTTTCATTTCCTCTTCCAATGTTACCCTTTCTGGCATTTTTATCTATTAATTAATCAATTGATTTCTGTCCTAAGCTTTTTGTAAGCTCAATCAAACGCACAATCTTGTTCTGAAAATCATTCGCAATCAACCATCATCTTTAATAATCCTTAATTGGATTCTCAAGTCTTGAAGCTCTTTTAAGTGTCAATGAAGATCAAGATTATTGTTGACTAGTTATATAAAAGCTTAATTATAATAATAAAAACATAAACAAAACTAAATCTTCATTTCAATATATGATCAATATGATTTCATTTCTATTAATTATTTTGATTCTCAAGCATATCCAGGGATCAATTTCTTGAGTGTCCTACATTTTGGATATAATCAAGAAAGTTAATCTTAATTACCCAACCAACAGACAATTTACTAATCACTTTTGCTTGTTCAATCATTTTCTTGTTTTTATTATTGATTATCAAGTGTCTAATTGTTTACATAGACCATTGGAATTAACTTGATTAGAGTGACACAAATATCAATTGAAATCAATTTCCTTACTTTGAACATTTCAACGATAATCAACTATGAAAATGTATTTTTAATTTGTTTGCAATTTTGATCAATGTGAAGCAATCAAATTGATTGTTTCGTATCAAGGCTAAGCTTGCAAATAGATTGGAAATACAAATGATTTCCTCTCTGGTGATTTAATTATTAGTCTTCTCGATTAACTAATATTGTTTCCATGTACAATCGTTGTCATGAAAAAGAAACGACTATCAATTAATTGGTCAATTCGATTTACTGTTGATAATATGCAAATATTTGCTCGCAGCAATTAAACTTTAATTGGCCTACGTGCATTTAATTGTGAGCCACTAATTGTCAACCTTGATAGATTTCATTAGGATTAAGATTAACCCATAGATGGAAGGTCATTTATCATTAAGATTCATCAAACTAATTTAGCCATTTAATTGGCCTCACAAATCTTAACTTTTTTTTATACATCACAATTAACCAACCAACTTACTCTAGTTAAAATCGCCTTGAATCAACATCATGATTATGATTTTAATTGTAATCGTTATGCACCTTGGATCAGATGGATGAGTGAATTTACAACTCGCAACAACTTATCCCAAGATCCGGTTATGAATTTGAGTCTTTTTTTATTCCACCCACTGTAGTTTACTAGTCTCTCTCTCTCTCACCCAATTTACTCCCACAATTAACTGATTCTAATTTTAACAATATTTAGTTGGTTTAATTCATCGATTTCAATTCGGAATTGTATTTGTACAATGATCTCATGGTGATTCTCATTGTGTTTTGTTTGTAACTTAAATTGTCCACTGTTTCTAACATATTTTAATTGTATCATCGATTTATTTTCCTCTGTTTGATCAACTTAATTCAATTGTGTTGGAAAAGTGAAAATTTGGTCAGCTAAATCAATCAGTTGATCAAATGAATGAACAGCTTAACTGAATTTGCCATAAACTATAATTAATCCAAATAAAATTAACATGGTAAGTTAATCTAACCCTCATTAATTATTAACAATTTGCAATGGCTGAAATTAATTGAACAATTGATTGTAGCAATTAGAGCGTTGTTAATTAATCAATATTCTCTTACGGTAATTGGATCAATTTCAATTTGAAAGACAATTTTCATTTTGATTAACCTGAAAGTAATTGATTTAATATTACAAAGGTTTTAATTTTCATTTGTTTATTTTGTATTTTTTGATTCTTTGAAATGTTTCACCTCACTGATTTAGTTAACTAATTGTCACCTTGAGTTTAAATTGTGGTGTTAAAAGGCGACTTAATTAAAATCATAACAAAGGTGTAGAGCTAAAACTGCAACAATCAAGTTAAATTATATCAACTGTCCTTGTATGTTTACGACTAATCTCAAACAATTAAGATGGTTATGATTTATGTTGATGTTCAATTAACTCATGGAGCCATTTGATATCAGATAATTTTGCCTGACGAATTGGATTAATTTAACTAAAATGATTTGTTTTTTCATTCAATTCAATGATCAGATTATTATCTTGACCAGTTTTCTGGTGATGATCTTGATGATTCCGTTGATTGATTGTAAACCATTTTCAAAAGATGATTGGAAATCCCCACCATATCCTGATGATACTTATTTTTATTCTGATTATAAACTTCCAGCCAAATTAATTACAAATCAAATTCACTCTCCTAGTCCACAAAATTGTCCTGAAACTGGTAAAACTTTATGCAAGGACGTTGATCAATATCCACTGTAAGTTATTCAAATCGATTTAGTTAATTACTCAATTAAAATTAGTTTTCTCTTGTGCTTAATAGTGAACAAATTTTGGATATTGTTAAATCAACCAATTCAGTCAATTTCAACTTCACCAGTATTTTTTCAGACGAGTCAACAAATGATCAACAGCCAATAATCAATGAACTACCAGCAATTAAAAGTAACACCAAAGGTATTTATGATTAAGAGTAAATCAATAATTTGTGATAATGATTTGTTTATTTGAATTTGAATTTTGTTTCGATTCTTAGGAATTAAAAAAAATGAGACTCGAGTGAGAATCAAATTAAACTCAAATGGTAACAGTCGCCGATCAGTTGGTTCAAGTTCGTTACCTAAACAAATTTTTGATGCTTGGAAAAGTGTCCATGATGGTTTGCCCGAAGTAAATGTTAACGATAGTCCTTCAATAGTTGACCTTAAAACAGGTAATAAGACTGAAAAGACTGTTCGATTAGGATCATCATCTTCGCCATCCACATCCACATCACCATCGACAATATCTAAAGGATTGAACAATAACAATACTGCCGTTAATGTTGAGAAGACTTATCGAGTTCGAAGAAAGCTCGAACCATCCGAAGATAACCTGGAAAAAGAGGAAATTTGCGCTTCAAAGACCATGTACATCACTCCAAGAGCGGCTTTGAATGATAGATCTGAGTGGAAATTCATTGTTAATCTCGGTGAACAGGATACGCGATTAAAGCAGATTATCAAAGTTGAAGTTTGTCTGTAAGTACTTATGATCATTACGAATTGAGATGTTCGAGGAAAAAGTTGTAATTAGCTAAATCATTGGCAGGAAGTCGTCGAAAGGTGATTTTTGAAATTTTGATCATTTTCAATGAGAAAATTGAACTTGACTCTTAAATTGAAGGTTCAGGCTGAACCTTTTTGAGAGACTTGGAAACTAACAGATGACTGATTGATTAACTCTGAATTGAAAAAAGATTGGAAAAGTTAACCGAAGATATTTCTCAGGAAATACTTGAGTTTCATTGATGAAAATTAATTTGTGATTTTAATTGTGCTTTTTAATTATCAGAAAAAGTGGATCCTCATGTTCATCGTCGATTTCACTTCCATTTGGATACAAAACGAGATGCAAACAAAAGTATATAAAGAAAAAACTTTTAGCATTGGACGCGAATGGAGTGACCACATCGACGGACAATTTTTTCGTTCCTTCTTGTTGTTCCTGTCAAATTTATCGAGAAATTAAAAAAACTAGAAGATAGAAAGACGTTTTAATGTCGATTGCAAGTATTAAACAGAAAATACAACATAATCTAACTGCCATTTAATCAAAGGATCAACAATTAACAAAGATTGTCCAAATTCTCAAATGTAATTTTGATAACATGATCTATTCATAAATAAACCATAGAAAACTTTATACTTAATTACGAGAATAAAAATTAATGATTTGATGATAAATGTACGAGTAAATGAATGTGTGAACATGGACAATCGATAAACGATCTGAAAATTCATCCACAAGATCCCAACCTGATTCTCTCAGCAAGTAAAGACTATTCCCTGCGACAGTGGAACCTTAAAAGTCAATTATACGACCGACCAAACGTAATTCAATTAGCTTAATTTTCTGTAACCTTTTTATTTACACCTCAATCGGTTCTTATTCTTATTTACGACAATTTATATAATTCATCTACTTTGTAATTTACACTTAAGCCGAATCAATTTGTTTGGCCTTTTCTTTTTTCTCTGTCTCTAACTTTTTCAGCTCCTCTTCGATTGGAGTTGAACTGTTGATCATCGCTATCGAATCCATTTTCGCTGATTTATTCCAAGGAGGTAAACCAGTGTAGTCCCCTGTCTCTGAGGCAGGTTGATACAATTCGAAAGCTTTAAAATGTCGAACTAAATTAGCAGCATCTTGTTCCTGGAGGTCATACTTTTCGGCGATTTCGGAAGCACTTGGGGGCACTTTGGATGATGCATATTCCATGACAAGATTGGTTGTTCGGGTTAATGAAATTCTACCTTTGGGAATAACTTTCGGTTCGATTTCGCCAAACATATGAGGCAATGCGAAAGTCTCTCTTTTCACTGGTAATTTCGATTTATCCGTTTTGATCAAGTTTGTGTCAGGCGAACCATAAGATGTAACTCGAATCTTCTTTAGCCATTCAAGCAGACTTTTCGGCTTCTCGGCGGTCAAGTTTCTTAACTCAGGGTGTTCTAGATCAAATAAAGAAGCAAAGATTCAATTAGTAAAAACAACTAATGAAAAGACAAAACCATTTACCTTCAATATATTTGAAAATTTTCTCTTGTGTTGTCAAGTGTTTAGGAGCCGCTTCTCGTTTAGTCACTGAGATCGCTTTGTAAGCTCGTTCTTCAACATTATAGTTCTGAATCGGTCGTTTGATTAGTGTGTCAAAAACACTTTTGACCAATTTTCTGACTCGATTCATCAGGGAATAAGAATAAAATCAACACAACAGTAGAATAACAAAAAACCACAAAACAAGAGAGAAAAGTCGGTTGTCTATTCTTACGAAAATGGAATCGATCATCAGCTGTGAGATTCGATTCTATCGATTCCTAACTAATCGAAAAAAGTTCAGCTCAAAGAGTAAAAGTTTACCTGATGAAAACCATTTGTAATGAGAAAGAAAAGAAAAGAAAGTTTGAAAGACTCGAACTAACGAAGGATCAGCTTTTAGAAATGTTCTCTTATAATCAATTCAAAGTCCGAATTCTAAATAAAAAAGTGAAAGAAGATCGAACATCAGTTTATCGATGTGTTGCTCATATTTACAATACACTTATAAATTTCATTCGAAAAGAGTATCGTGGAAGAGGATTCAAAGAAGTTATTTCACCAAATATTTATAACACTAAACTCTGGGAGACTTCGGGCCATTGGCAACATTACAAAGATAAGATGTCTAGGAAATTGTCTCATCTTCGATTCTCGTACCCGATCTTGGAAAGAATTACCAATTAAATTCGCTGAATTCGATGTTCTCCATCGAAATGAAGTCTCTGGTGCTCTTTCCGGGTTAACGTGAGTCCGTCGATTCGGTGAGCTTGAAAATTGGAATAGCGCCGAAGAAGCTTTGAACAAACGCTTTAAATGCTAGTGGGCACAAATGGTAGCTCAATCACGGCGATGGTGCTTTCTATGGACCTAAAATCGATATAACTGTGAAAGATGTTCTTAAAGGTGGACAATTTAATGGAGAAATATTCCGTATTTAAAGGTTTTAAAGCAGAAGAAGCTTTCTAATCGTTGTAAAACTTATCATCATCCATTTTCTTTCTTAAATTGTATTGACCCGATAAAAGTGAATATAATTTGTTTCGTTTTGTTTGATTGTTTGATTTAGGAAAAATAAATAAACTCTTTTAATTGACGTTAAGAAAATTCATTCACATCTCAGGTTTTTGAAAACGAGATCCTATTAAAATATTAAAATTCTCAAGATTCGAGCCATCTTAATTCTGTTAATGTGTGATTCGATTCAGCTCCTGGTTCAACTTTGGTTCCATAACTTAAAGGGGAGAAGAGGTAAAAACTATGAACAATTGATGAAAAGACGACCCCATAGGTTTTGAAGTGACCTCCCCTTCCTTTGGTTTGAGTCCAGCGTTTCCCTGGAGCATAACTGCATGAGATTCAATCAATTTCTCGAGAAAAGAAGGAGCATATTCTCTGAAACTCGCATTCGGTAAACGCGGGAAAAAATTATCTTCGATATTCCAGACAGAATTTTTTTCAAGCACATTCGGAGAACAAGTAACTTCCATCTGTTCATAGCCCCATTTAGGTAATTGCTTCGAGTGAGAGTGAAGAGCACAACCTACAAAGTAATGTACCAATCGAAATTTAATGGTTATCGTCGACAAGATTTCTCCCTGTTTTCCTTTGTCGATCTCTACTCTCCAAACATCATTTGCATCGCCAACACCATTTTCTCCATAACAAGTGACTTGATAGTGTTTTTTGGTTACTGGTGCTCGTTCTCGATGGCCATGTAAATTTCGAGTTGTCACTTGGTGTTCCAAGCGAACCAGATCTCCATGTTTAACAAGCTCGATTTCATCCTTTTCTGGATTCGGCTCTTTGTCATACTTTTTGACAATCCATTTGTTGTTTTCATCTTTATGTGAATAAGCGGTGACTTGTTGTTGTCTTGCTCCAACTCCATCAGGGTAAAGGTGCCAATGAGAGTGGAGATAACCACCGCCAGTGCGATGGTTTTTAAGAGTAATCACAGCCCCATAGGCGACATGACGAGGCATTGATGTGTTGAACAATGAGCTACCTTCTAATTGCGATTGAAAGGCTGAACTGTAGAACCCGTCACCAGGTCCACTTTTGTAGAGCACAGCCAAGTGTATCCAGAAAAAAGTGACACAAAACTCATTCACTGACCCCATAAACGAACCAACTACGAAAAAGCAGAAGAAAAAATACAAAATTTGATGACATTTGCAAGTCTTTCTTTCACTGAGTCAAACAAGAATCAGATTATTGCAAATTACTCTCAAAAGGTGAGATGAAAAAAGTAAATGATATGAGCGGATTAATATTTTCCATTTATCAAAATTTAGGCAAAAAACAAGAAAATTTATGAAAAAGGAAAACGTTGGCGCAAAAGTTAATCGTTTGTGAGCAAGAAAAGACAAGTTGACGAAAGTAACAGTGAAATAAATGCATTCGCTTGTTTTTTTGAATTTCGCTTCGATTATTGTCCTTGTCTATCATATTGTATTGACTTGGCTTGAGATCGACACGAAACATTTTGATCGGGAACAGAAAAACTCCTTTTTGATTTGTACTCGGTCCCATCTCTTTAATTTTTGATCTGTTTTTAATATAAATCGGCTTTACAAATAATTTAAATTGCTACGTGAATTTACAGTTACAGATCAACTTAATGTTTGCTGAAAAGCTTCAGAGTAATGAAGTTTGTGCTTAGTGAGCATATCAGAGACTGCGACCAGTTTTCTGAGTGTTGTCTGTTGCGAAAAAGAAAGTATAAAAATGGTTGAATATATTAATCAAAAATTAGAACGAAAACTTACTCGATTGTGACTAAGACTGTAGATTTCATCCTTATACAATTCACACAGTGAATGGACTGTTGCTAGTTCTCTAGCGGCATCTCCTCTTGGAATATCTTCTGGGTCAGGGCAATCATGGATACTCTGAATAGTGAGATAAATTTAATAAGCATCAAGATTGGATGTAACCATTTAAACTAACCGATAAATCATTGAGAAACTTGATCATTCGAGCTTTGTTTTTCAGAATAAACGGATTGACAACTTCCATCCATGGCTCCTGGATGAAGAAATTAATAAGCAAACGATTAGGTGAATGACAAACAAATAGAAAACAAAGTTAAAATCAAAATAAAATTTGGAAATTCGATCAAGATGAGATGTTAATGGTAATTAGAGGTACATGCAAATGATAACATGTACGAACCCTTTTGTTAGGAGGAATTACCTCTCCGAAGCGATCAGAGTGAATAAGATTCTGGTTTGTATTTAGGTTAGTAAATATTTAACAATAGATTAGTGCTTATCATCAAGATTAAGTGTTAGTTGTTGTATGGAAAGTTCGTTATTAGATTGGACAAGAACGCAAATTAATTCAATTTAATTTACCTTAACACCGAATTCAACCAGATTTGCCAAATTCTGTAAAGATTTGGCAATGAGAATAAGACTTCTTCCGGCTATTTCAGAAGGTGTTTCTGTGAACAAAAAGTGTATATTATAGAAAAAGACAATTCAACAAGATTGAGATTCCTTGTCTTCTTCTTCTTGGTTGGAAATTATCTTCTACTGAAAGTTTGTAAGAAAATCTATTCACTGAATTGGGATGAAAACACGAATTAGAAAGAAAATCTGAGTTAAAGTTTTCTTTCGATAAATTCATGTGTAAGCTTGACTTCATCTTTCACAGGAAGATGATGATTATTGATGAGAAAAAGACTGAGAAGAGGAAAAAGAAGATAAGGATGATCATCAAGATAGAATTTAATGAAATTTATCTATGCTGATGAGATAAAAGTTACCACTACGAACCATTTATAATGTTGAATACTCGTGGATTGAGAATAGCAGGACAAATAAGACGAAGAAAGATGAAACTTCTGCAAGAGATACCAAAATAGTGATGAATAATTTACGGTCGATTGATTATCAATAGAATGAAAAAATGGACTGATTGATGCTTACCCGACAACTTGTGTTTTAACATAATGATCATTAGGCCATTTAGCGGCAACGGCTCGCTGCAAACACCCACAAATGTATCTGAGTGTAGGTGGACAATAATCGACAGAACGGAATATTTTCTCAACAACATCATCAAGAAGCGATAATAGATGTTCAGCGTTGGCACACGCTTCTTGTAGACTGTCCAGTCGACTAGGATTGAGTTCACATGATTGTCGAGTCTCAAGAACTCGTTGCAAACTGTCTTTCAAGGCTTTCATTAGAAAAGTATGACACGTTACCCTCATGTATTGATCCATTAGAGTCGTTGTCAGAGAGTTCATGCGAAACAACGTCGATGTTTCGTTTTCTCTTTTAATTTCTCTTTCGATCATCGACTTGAGCAGAATAGCTTCTTTGGATTCGTGTTTGAAAACACGTAACAGCGCATTTCCTAATGGAGCACGGTCGCGGTGGCAAAACTCTTCTAAAACTGAGATAACTTCAAGATCTTCAGACATGAGCAACTCTTTCAAGGCATCATACTCGTGCAAAGGCATAATCAACTCGTGGACATAACGTATTCGTACTCTCAGTGAGCCCCATTCATTGTTCATCGGTGGACATATACCAGTCAATGGAAACCAATCTTCAATTTCAATGCCGTTATTGAGCTTATTTAACTCAACTAACATCTCGGCCACCTCCGTGTCCTTTGATCGTTTCCCTTTCGTGTAAAGATTGATTGAAAATGAATTCACATCACATGGTATGTCCTCGAGAATAAAATCCTCCTCCCAAATGGGATCGGGTGGACACTTGACTTGAGTTCGACAAACTTTCACTTGATTAAGTGATATGATACAGAATGGATGAGGGACTAGTTTGATAGGTAATCGATGAGCTTCTAATAAGGTAACGAACAGAGTTCGCACTTCTGTTGCATTAGATGCCAGAGATTGGCCTTTCATCATTTGTTGAACACAGAACGGTTTGATGGCTTGAACCCATTCCTGTTTAAGGGGAAAAATTAATTGCAAAATAATTAATAAACTTATTAACTGTAATTTACCTTCAACCAAAAAAGTTGATTACTAAGATTGGAGTATAAAAACAAGTTTACAAATGATATACAAGGCGATTCGTTTCGTTCTTGTTAATGAGTAACATCCTGCTTCGTGATGAAAAGGAAGCATAATGACAGAAAATAAAGTAAAATTGAAGAGAAACTGAATTAAGATACTGAATTTGATTCAGTTCTTTGCTTCTAGAAAAGTCATCGAAATGAATATAATAAATTAACTATGGTGAAAATGATATAATTGCTGAATGCAAGTTTATATCAAAAGTAATGTGTTGGGTGAGAGTTTGACCAAAACTGATTCGATGAAAATTGTTATCGTCAAGAGCAATAAGGAAACATGAGAGTCGACAAAGAAAAGAGAATCGAAATTATCAAAATAAGGTAAATAGATTTACCTGGAGGATTTCATAAGATGGTGCACATAAATAATAAACTGTACTCATACAGGGCAATGGTCTTTCGACTAATTGAAAGCAATTCGGCCGGTCGAATAAAGAATCGTGAGCAAGATATAAGAAACTGTAATTTAAGTCAACCAATCCCTTTGGTCTGGTTCGACGATCGTTCTCGTAATAATAAAGATGCTGTTCCTTAGAGTCCAAAACAAAAAAGTAGTTTTTCCATTTTTTACTCTTTGCGCCTGAAAGAAAAAAGAATTGTCATTAACATCGAGAATTTTCATCATTTTTCATTCATAACTTACTCTTCTTACTAAGGAAACCTCTCATTCGGACACTTTTATTTGTCTTGGACATTTCTCTGCTCTCTCTCAAGGTGACGTAAACATCTGACGATTTGTTTCCAATTTCTTGAGATTTTCTCGACACAACAGAGGCTTCTAAAGGAGATTTGAGAACAGGGTCCCCGAGGCGATATCCAGCAATTATCTGTTCATTTCGATACATAAGAACAATATCCTCTAGAGTCTCAAACATTCTGTTTCCCATTATGTATCTGGATCCTCGTTTCTCAATTCGAAATCGATGAATGGTATTACTCATATAGAAGAACAGGGAATAGTGACCTGGACTATTGTCACTATTTTTCACTAGAAAACTTCCAGATCCCACTAGAATGACAAGAGAAAAATGATTCTAATCTTGTTTAAATAACAAATTATTAATACTCACTTTTTCGTAACTTTTCAACTGCTTCGTCCTTACTGATCGACCCATGAAACCACGGATAGATATCATTGGGATCACTATTATCCTCCTATTATTCAATCAAGAAAATAATTAAAATAACAAGATCAAGTTGAACCTAAAATAACTAACAAGTTCTTCGACAAGTTGTTTGAAAACAAGTCCACTTTCTTGTGTTCTTTCAAGAGTACACCAAAGCCAACCGTCTCCTAGATCATTATGGACAGTGAAAATATCGCCTCTTGAAAAACTAAAGGTAAAAAATAGATTAGCCAATGAAGAAAATGTAAGTTGAATTGAAAACTATCGAAAGGAAGCAGATTTTGTCTTTAATTACCTTAATTCGTCAGTCTCAGGTAACTGTGAATACGGTAAAACAGCAATGACTCGTTTTTCTGCACGAAAAGGCTAAAAAAGATGAGATAACAATAGAATTTGCAATCAGAATGTGTGATGAAAAGTAAACTGATGGAAGAAAAAACCAAATTGTCGTGAGTGTTTGTGAAAATTTCTTCTACCTCTTTGGGTACAACTGGATGAAGAAGTCTTTCTTTTTTGAGTAAATCACAGAAACTGGTATAAAATCCAATCAAATGCCGAAGAGATGAGAATTGTCGACCACCAATGTAATAAGCACCGAAAAGCGATTTAATTTGGAAATGATTGATTCCAGATTCACCCGCATATGATAGTACAAAAAGTCCTTTTTTACGGTCACTTTCGCGAACCAGATAACTTCCAACTTTATCATTTCCAAGTAACAATTGTTCAGCTGTAGTACGATTCATCTTACGATGTAACCACCTATTAAAATGTCGAGAGTAAAAAGATAAACAAAAACAATGAGAAAAGAAGCTTTGAAGAAATTCAGAAAGAGAAGGGATTCCAATAAGAACCAAAGGAAATCAGGTTAAATCCTTTGCTCTATCATCTTATGGACATTGAATCCATGAGAAGATGATTATGATAAGCAAATGAGAAATAGCGCAATTTGCGTTTCAAGGGGTTAAACTAACGGTTTGAGAGTTATTAAGATGTGGAAAAGGATAAAGGAAAAGAAGATAATTCATACATAGCTTCAGGTGGAGAAAACGAGGCCATGTCAGTTCTATCGTCCACTTCATCTCCATCAAATGGATCAAACTCTTCATCGCCGGTAACATCATCAGAGAAATAGCTTTTAGGTCGATGATTTCCACAGAAACGATGATTATTTTGTGAAGAGTGGCGGTCAATCAACCGTCTATGGAAGTGATCACTCATCGTAGAGAAAAAGGCAAAGTAAATGAGGAATGAAAGAATAACAAGAGAGGCAAGAAGACAGAAGAAGAGAGACGAAGATGAAAACTAGAGAGAAAAAGAGAAATAGAAAACAAGCAAAGAAAAGAGATGAGATTATGAGAAAATGGTCAAAGATGAATAAGTGAGAGAGAAAAAAGAATCAATGAAAACGTTAACGAATTTCAATTAACATGGAAGAGAGAAATGAACAATGAGATATGAGAAATATCAACACACATTCACGGTTCCTCTTTTCCAGGTTCAGCCATTTTGAGATGATGGAAATGTGATGACATTTATTGGGAGAAAACAAAACAAGGTAACAAATTAAATGGTTAGACGATACGAGTGTTTGTCAGCTCAACATTTTCACTTGCAGCTCATTTTTTTCGGCTGATGGTTCCAGCTACAAATGAAAATGGACTGAAATGTTCATTTATTGTGTTTGTTTAAATTGAATTAGGTTGAGTTTTCACGTTTAAGGGTCACTGTGGAAGGAGAGGCCTGGAGGTCCTAAGACAGTCAAACGGTCACACAGTTAGTGTCAAGGCAGCTAATAACCTCTATCTTTACTAATCCCTTATTTTTACCGTTATGTGTGGACTGATTTGTACTTTCTATTACCAACAAGTGTAAAAAAATCATAAATTGTCCAATTAATGGACCAGTTCATCAGAACATCAGAAAACGTTGAGCTGACAAACATTCGTATCGTCGTCTTACCAGCTAAATCATAAATACTGACGATACACTTGGAAACAAGATTAGAGTAAATTAAAATAACTGATTATCAATCTCGTAATTTGCAAATCTCTGGAGACCAGAAAAGATAGTGAGATAGAAAGAAGAAAAATGTAAGAGGAACCATTGATCATGTTACCAATACAGAAAATGGTTCATGTAGAATGTGAGTATGCGTTTCCCAATAGCTCAAAGGAAAGTAATTGGCGATCAAGAAAATTATCGTGAAAAGGAATAGCAAACTTGCACCTTTGTCGATCCATTTTCATAATTATTAAGCTTTTCAATTGCACTTTCAGAGTAAACAACAATCGATGCATTAATTGTTATTCATCTGGAAGAAAAGAGAAGATGAATGTGAATGTGATGATAACACTTACCCAATTGTTTCTTCTCGGTTCCTAGACTCACAAGATCTGGTGGGGATGAAGTCGTTCACCAAGCTGGACAGACAAACTCGAACACATTATGACGTTGGTGGGTTTGGGTTGATGATGTAGATGAAATAGTAAAAATAATAAGAATAATAAACTAAAATTGAGGAGAAGATGAAAGAAAGATCTTGATCAAGATGAAGGTCCACTTGATGAGAAAACAATTTGGAAAAATGGACAATCTGTTGTCTTTTTTCAATCTTCTCCTACAATAGAATTGGTCACCAAACTAAAAGGAAGTATAATCTTAAATTGTTCGTAACAAAAATCAACAATAAATTAGAAATCAAACAAATACTGAAAAACATTGATTCTCAAGCCAATGAGCTCAAATCGTTTCTCTTTACCAGAGTTGTTCCGATCCGAAAAATGATCGATCAGATCGATTTGTGAGCAAGAAAAGTTGATCGATCTCAACTTTCAGAAAATCGATCACTAAAAAAACCACGTGACTTTCGATAAAAATTTAAAAGTCGAAAATTAATTCATAAAAGAGAACCGGCACAAATGATAAAATGTATATTCATCATGTATACTCTCATCGCAATGATCTTTCCGAATATCATATTATAAATTGTATTGACCCGATAAAAGTGAATATAATTTGTTTCGTTTTGTTTGATTGTTTGATTTAGGAAAAATAAATAAACTCTTTTAATTGACGTTAAGAAAATTCATTCACATCTCAGGTTTTTGAAAACGAGATCCTATTAAAATATTAAAATTCCCAAGATTCGAGCCATCTTAATTCTGTTAATGTGTGATTCGATTCAGCTCCTGGTTCAACTTTGGTTCCATAACTTAAAGGTGAGAAGAGGTAAAAACTATGAACAATTGATGAAACGACGACCCCATAAGAGATATGAAAAATGGTCTTCGCAAGGTGAGGCCAAATCAATTTAGGGACATTTCTGATAACGTAATCGACTACAACAGCTGATAACATGCTACTGAATATTAAAGCTGGAAAATAGTGATGAAAGTACAAAACTCGTCCCATTGCGAAAAACGGGAAATAGTGAAGAGCCCAACCGATGAGTAGCCAAACTGAAGCACTGGTCAGTTTCGAGTTTTGGTCTTTGATATCGGCTTTTTCGGTGCATCCGCGCTGTTCCCTCACGAGAACTACGACCTGGAGGATTAAATAGATCACCATGATAGCAATGTTTGCCCACCAGATGATTGGATTACCAAGAAGGTAAATTTTATATTCGTTTCCAGAGAAAAATTGTCCTCGATAATTAATCGGCCATTGCCAGGGCCTTGAAGTGACCTCCCCTTCCTTTGGTTTGAGTCCAGCGTTTCCTTGGAGCATAACTGCATGAGATTCGATCAATTTCTCGAGAAAAGAAGGAGCATATTCTCTGAAACTCGCATTCGGTAAACGCGGGAAAAAATTATCTTCGATATTCCAGACAGAATTTTTGTCAAGCACATTCGGTGAACAAGTAACTTCCATCTGTTCATAGCCCCATTTAGGTAATTGCTTCGAGTGAGAGTGAAGAGCACAACCTACAAAGTAATGTACCAATCGAAATTTACTGGTTATCGTCGACAAGATTTCTCCTTGTTTTCCTTTGTCGATCTCTACTCTCCAAACATCATTTGCATCGCCAACACCATTTTCCCCATAACAAGTGACTTGATAGTGTTTTTTGGTTACTGGTGCTCGTTCTCGATGGCCATGTAAATTTCGAGTTGTCACTTGGTGTTCTAAGCGAATCAGATCTCCGTGTTTAACAAGCTCGATTTCATCCTTTTCTGGATTCGGCTCTTTGTCATACTTTTTGACAATCCATTTGTTGTTTTCATCTTTATGTGAATAAGCGGTGACTTGTTGTTGTCTTGCTCCAACTCCATCAGGGTAAAGGTGCCAATGAGAGTGGAGATAACCACCGCCAGTGCGATGGTTTTTAAGAGTAATCACAGCTCCGTAGGCGACATGACGAGGCATTGATGTGTTGAACAATGAGCTACCTTCTAATTGCGATTGAAAGGCTGAACTGTAGAACCCGTCACCAGGTCCACTTTTGTAGAGCACAGCCAAGTGTATCCAGAAAAAAGTGACATAAATGGCGATCGGTAATAAGATTAAACCAAAGACACGAGCGATAAAATGCTTTCCAATTGCGACCATTGGTAAATCGCAATCTCCTAAGAGTTCCCAAAGCTCAAAGATCGTTCGTAACCCAACCAGAATGACAACAAAAAGGCCAACAAATTTGACGCTCATTGCACAGGCCAGAAAAGTGCCGGTCCAGATCAACCAAAACCACCAATAGAGACTAAATGGTTTATCTTTGCAAGAGCCAAATTTCACTGAGCCCATAAACGAACCAACTACGAAAAAGAGTAGAATTGGATCGAGTAAAATGTATTGTGACAATGTGAGAAAACCAATGTCGAAAGTAATTAAACCAGCGGCCAACATTGATGCACTTAATGATCTTGTCAATTCCCAAACGATTACAAATGAAAAAGGGATAATTAAAGCTCCAAGTGTAACACAGAAAAGTCTCATTCCAAGATAATGGTGATCACCATATTTGTCTCCTGGTTTATTAAAGGCAAAGGTTCCATTGTAACCTGTCAATTTACCTGATAAACCGATGAGCATCTAGATGAGAGTAATTAGAGAATAGAAATTAAAATCAATGATCAAAATTGATTCCAACAAGAGAAACCACTTACCTTACCGAGCGGTGGATGAACGTCAAAGAAAAAAGTGTTGTTTATGTAATAAGAACCCATTTTACCAAAATGTGTTTCATCCCAACTGATTAAAGAAAGGTTAAAGTTAAAATTAATTCTATTCAATCAATTAATCAACAACAAACAGAATCAATACTAACCATACATGATCAGGTTCCTCAATTTTATACAGTCTCGTAGTAAATGCAAGTAGAAAGGCCAAAAGAAGACAACATCTGAAGTTCATGGGTCCATTTTGATTTGTCGATGATTTCGTGGAATCCTGTTGATTATTGTCCTTTTTATTTCCACCCTTGTTCATGGTGAAGTCACTTGATTAAATAATTAACGGAAAGATTAATGGTCACATCGGAATAAAAGAAATTACCAAAACTCTGATGGTTGAAAATGTTGCCACTTTCAAGTGAATTCTGGTAACTGGTCCTACAAGGGCCAAGTCATCAAAGAACAAGAAACAATTCAGCAAATGAAAAGTGAGAGAACAAAATTCAAATATTTAACACCAATGAACAAAAAGAAAAGAACAATTTAATCAACAGAAAGAGAAAAAAATCTAAGCAATAAAATAATATTTTCTCCAGGAAGAGAAACAAACAACCAACAAGGAAAAAATTCTTTTCATTTGGTGATTGACAACAAACGGTGCATCCGCGCTGTTCCTCACGAGAACTACGACCTGGAGGATTAAATAGATCACCATGATAGCAATGTTTGCCCACCAGATGATTGGATTACCAAGAAGGTAAATTTTATATTCGTTTCCAGAGAAAATTGTCCTCGATAATTAATCGGCCATTGCAGGGTCTTGAAGTGACCCCTTCCTTTGGTTTGAGTCCAGCGTTTCCTGGAGCATAACTGCATGAGATTCGATCAATTTCTCGAGAAAAGAAGGAGCATATTCTCTGAAACTCGCATTCGGTAAACGTGGGAAAATTATCTTCGATATTCCAGACAGAATTTTGTCACACATTCGGTGAACAAGTAACTTCCATCTGTTCATAGCCCCATTTAGGTAATTGTTTGAGTGAGAGTGAGCACAACCTACAAAGTAATGTACCAATCGAAATTTACTGGTTATCGTCGACAAGATTTCTCCTTGTTTTCCTTTGTCGATCTCTACTCCAAACATCATTTGCATCGCCAACACCATTTTCCCATAACAAGTGACTTGATAGTGTTTTTTGTTACTGGTGCTCGTTCTCGATGGCCATGTAAATTCGAGTTGTCACTTGCGTTCCAAGCGAATCAGATCTCCGTGTTTAACAAGCTCGATTTCATCCTTTTCTGGATTCGGCCTTTGTCATACTTTTGACAATCCATTTGTTGTTTTCATCTTTATGTGAATAAGCGGTGACTTGTTGTTGTCTTGCTCCAACTCCATCAGGGTAAATGATGAGATAACCACCGCCAGTGCGATGGTTTTAAGAGTAATCACAGCCCCAGGCGACATGACGAGGCATTGATGTGTTGAACAATGAGCTACCTTCTAATTGCGATTGAAAGGCTGAACTGTAGAACCCGTCACCAGGTCCATTTGTAGAGCACAGCCAGTGTATCCAGAAAAAGTGACATAAATGGCGATCGGTAAAAGATTAAACCAAAGACACGAGCGATAAATGCTTTCCAATTGCGACCATTGGTAAATCGCTCCTAAGAGTTCCCAAAGCTCAAAGATCGTTCGTAACCCAACCAGAATGACAACAAAAGGCCAACAAATTTGACGCTCATTGCACAGGCCAGAAAAGTGCCGGTCCAGATCAACCAAAACCACCAATAGAGATAAATTCTTGCAAGAGCCAAATTTCACTGAGCCCATAAACGAACCAACTACGAAAAGAGTAGAATTGATCGAGTAAAATGTATTGTGACAATGTGAGAAAACCAATGTCGAAAGTAATTAAACAGCGGCCAACATTGATGCACTTAATGATCTTGTCAACCCCAAATTACAAATGAAAAAGGGATAATTAAAGCTCCAAGTGTAACACAGAAAAGTCTCATTCCAAGATAATGGTGATCACCATATTTGTCTCCTGGTTTATTAAAGGCAAAGGTTCCATTGTAACCTGTCAATTTACCTGATAAACCGATGAGCATCTAGATGAGAGTAATTAGAGAATAGAAATTAAAATCAATGATCAAAATTGATTCCAACAAGAGAAACCACTTACCTTACCGAGCGGTGGATGAACGTCAAAGAAAAAAGTGTTGTTTATGTAATAAGAACCCATTTTACCGAAATGTGTTTCATCCCAACTGATTAAAGAAAGGTTAAAGTTAAAATTAATTCTATTCAATCAATTAATCAAAAACAAACAGAATCAATACTAACCATACATGATCAGGTTCCTCAATTTTATACAGTCTCGTAGTAAATGCAAGTAGAAAAAAAAAGACAACATCTAAAGTTCATGGGTCCATTTTGATTTGTCGATGATTTCGTGGAATCCTGTTGATTATTGTCCTTTTCCACCCTTCTTGTTCATGGTGAAGTCACTTGATTAAATAATTAACGAGGAAAGATTAATGGTCACATCGGAAAAAAATTACCAAAACTCTGATGGTTGAAAATGTTGCCACTTTCAAGTGAATTCTGGTAACTGGTCCTACAAGGGCCAAGTCATCAAAGAACAAGAAACAATTCAGCAAATGAAAAGTGAGAGAACAAAATTCAAATATTTAACACCAATGAACAAAAAGAAAAGAACAATTTAATCAACAGAAAGAGAAAAAAATCTAAGCAATAAAATAATATTTTCTCCAGGAAGAGAAACAAACAACCAACAAGGAAAAAATTCTTTTCATTTGGTGATTGACAACAAAGAGAATCTCTTTTCGTTTTTTCCTGTTTTTTTCTCTTTGTTGATTTTTGAATTTTCTGTTGATTGTTTTTTTTAATTTGTTCTTTTCTTTTTCTCTAAATTTTGGTGTTTAATTTTTACGAAACAATCACAAGAAATGAGTTTTCTAAGAAAATATCAGTTGGTGAATCTTTTCCGTCCAGAGACTGACCGGACCTTTGTTATGGTCTATTGTTTATGTTTTAATAATCATTTTGAACCAATCAAAAAGTTAATTGTCTCGATTTCAATCATGTATCATGATAAATTCATTGGTGTTTTCAATGTGCTTCAGTATTTGTTTTATTACTAATTTATTATTGATCTCTTGTTGCCAACAATTTGAGATTATACTTCCTTTTAGTTTGGTGACCAATTCTATTGTAGGAGAAGATTGAAAAAAGACAACAGATTGTCCATTTTTCCAAATTGTTTTCTCATCAAGTGGACCTTCATCTTGATCAAGATCTTTCTTTCATCTTCTCCTCAATTTTAGTTTATTATTCTTATTATTTTTACTATTTCATCTACATCATCAACCCAAACCCACCAACGTCATAATGTATTCAATTAGATTATTTAACTTATTATTAATTGCCTTTCTTGGTGGTGTCGAGTTTGTCTGTCCAGCTTGGTCAACAACTTCATCTCCACCAGATTGTGAAATTAGATTATTTAACTTATTATTAATTGCCTTTCTTGGTGGTGTCGAGTTTGTCTGTCCAGCTTGGTCAACAACTTCATCTCCACCAGAACTTGTGAATCTTGGAGCCGAAAAGAAACAATTGGGTAAGTCATTTTTTACATTCATCTTCTCTTCCTTCCTCTTCACTGTCCAGCTTATTCCCATCTCTTTGCTTCCAAATGAATAACAATTAATGCATCGATTGTTGTTTACTCTGAAAGTGCAATTGAAAAGCTTAATAATTATGAAAATGGATCGACAAAGGTGCAAGTTTGCTATTCCTTTTCACGATAATTTTCTTGATCGCCAATTACTTTCCTTTGAGCTATTGGGAAACGCATACTCACATTCTACATGAACCATTTTCTGTATTGGTAACATGATCAATGGTTCCTCTTACATTTTTCTTCTTTCTATCTCACTATCTTTTCTGGTCTCCAGAGATTTGCAAATTACGAGATTGATAATCAGTTATTTTAATTTACTCTAATCTTGTTTCCAAGTGTATCGTCAGTATTTATGATTTAGCTTTTCGGGTTAGATTATTTATTCTTATATCAATAGTTTATCGTGTAAAAAATATAATCTTTGACTCGATCACACGATTCATCTTTGTCTTTCTGATTAGTCTCTAATGAGTTGATTTCTATTCTCAACAACAATGTTATCTTCAGTTTCCATCATCAGATCTCTCTCTCTCTCTCTCTCTCTCTCTCTCTCTCTTTCATTTTCATTCATAAATTATGAACAATAATTGCAAAGTCTATGATTTATTGAATGAAATCATGCTTATGGAACTTTTCAACGCTTAGCAGAGAATTCAGAATGTATTCCAAACGATGATCAGTTTACTGTTCCGCTATTTCGATAGTAATTAGATTACTATTAATTAGATTAAGAACCAAAAGTTTATAGGGACCATGAGATCTAAAAGTAACAAAATTTGGATCAACCAAACAAATATCAATTGATTCATAATCAGCTGTTAATCGATCAGTATTTGTAACATGATTGAATAAACAATAGACCATAACAAAGGTCCGGTCAGTCTCTGGATGGAAAAGATTCTGGTGTTTTCTCAATTAACTCGTATTTTAATGTATATTTAATGGTTCTAAAAATCATTGAACATGCAAAATGAATCAATGGTCTTGAAATGTTGCCTTCTCTTGCGGTTAATAATCAAAATTTGCCAATCACCGGATTTGAAGTATTTTGATAATTTTGAATTAAATTGAAATGAATTAACACTGAAAACTAACCGATCTTATAATTTTCACTTATTGTGGTGCATTCATTTATTACCTTTTCTCTCCTTTTCTCTCCTTCTCTTATCCAATATATTTGAATAGTTTCGTGACTAGAATTTAATCATTACTTTTCATCTTTCTCTTGACAGCGGTTTCAGAATCTGGTTCCCCTCCACGAGATGTTCAAGCAAGAGCTCTAAGCTATACAACGGTTGTAGTAGATTGGGAGAGACCGGAACAGCCCTTAGGACAGATATCAGGATATCGTGTTTACTTTACATCTAATCCGTCCCTTCCTTTATCTTTATGGGAATATCTCGATGTTGATGATAGTCAATTGACAACAATAAGTGAACTTCAACGTGAAACCATTTATACCATTCGTGTCTCTGCGATAACAACATCTCGTGGTGAAGGTCCTCTCTCATCACCAGTTCAAGTCAAAACGAAACAGGGTGTTCCTAACCAACCTTCTGGTTTACAAGCTGTAGCTTTAGGTCCTCATTCAATCAAATTAACATGGAAGAAAGCACAAAATGTCGGTGAAAATATCCAAAACTATGACATCTATTGGAATGACACATTCGAAAACAATGAGGGTAAACAGACCATTCCAGACTCTGACACTTATATCATTGAAAATCTTTATCCTGACACTTTATACTACATTTGGATTGCGGCTCGATCGAATGCTGGAGATGGGGCAGCAACTCCTCCGATTGCTGTTCGGACTGAGCTATTTGGTAAGATTTTTTTATTTCTCGCAACACAAATCACTTATATTGACAATTTCTCTTTTCCTAACAATATTCGACTAATTATTACTAATATATTCGTAAAGTTTAGTTATCTTATTTAAACAAAAGGGTTATTCAGATTGAGTTTCTTCAAGTTAATACACAGGCTAAATCGATTTTTTTTCTGGGTCAACTTATTTGCTTGCAATGGAATCGCTTCAGATGAATTTAGATCAACGGGCTTGCATTTAAATATTTTTTCTTTAGCTTCTATTTGCTTAAACTCAAAATCGCTTCTAACAATTTCAGATGATAAAATCACAATTATTTCACCATTGCATTCATGTTTGATGAAATTTATCGTTGATTTCATGTTGAATCAATTTTTGAACTTCTATTTATCTTTAACACCTCAAAAATGACATTTCTCATCACAATCATCACACGTATTTATATTTACCATTATCGTCATCACTATATTTATTCAATTATTTTATCTTTATTTCTTATTTGTTTACTAAACGGCACAATCATCATCATTATTATCACCTTTCATTATTATTTCATATTCATTTTTTGTTTGCTTATTCATCATAAATTTTTATCTTTTTATTTTATTTTCCGTTGAATTGGTGTTATTATTATTTCAGGCGCCCCACCACAAGAAGTGCACGGTCAAGTAGTTGATTCCCGTACCCTAAAAATTTCCTGGAAACCACCACCCCCTACCCCTGAGATGCCCATTGGTAATATAACATATTACAAAGTGATTGTAACCCAAGTCAACGAGGATTCTAGTGATATCAGTGAAAATAATATTGACACCGATGACAACAAAAACACCAACTCCGATAAAGTTAACCTTGGTTCCACTAACGAGGATCCATCAAACACCTCAAATCTCAATACAACTTTCAACAGTCCGAATTCAACGAACTACTCTTATCCCAATGTGACCAATAGCTCAACGGGTAACATTGAGTTTACTACACAAGGACCAGATAATAATTCATTTATTATTGAGAATCTAGAAGAATGGACTTCCTATTCAATTAAGGTTCTAGCGGGAACTTCCATGGGTGAAGGCCCAGCATCTAAACCTATCATACTACGCACTGAAGAGGCTGGTATGTTATATCAAATCGTCAATATCTCTCGTCAATCGATCATAAATCGTATTAACTTTCGAGTTCCAAACTTTCTAACTAAATTCTTCTCTGGTTAAAATATTTGTCTATTGTCTCTCTTTTAACTGTCTCTTGTTTCTCATTCTTCATCTTCTAAACAAATCATCCAACTAACAAACTCACACTCAACCTATTTAATCAGTGATATGGTGATCAACTCATTTGTCTTCGTCATCAAGTATTCGTCCATGTAAAAACTCTTGTTCTCCTTTTGTCTACCTCATCTCTTATGCATTAGTGATAATATCTAGTTAATTGTTTACATTTTTCGACATTTATTGTCTCTTCAATCGTTTACAAACTTTAGACTCAGTTAATTAGTTACTATCATTTATAAGAATCATAATTCATGATTAACGAAAATTCTCTAATCAATTACTATAAATTATCGTTACCAAAACGAGCAAAACATGAATATTATTACAAACCTTTAAGCTTTAGTCGAACTTTTATTTTCGTCATGAATTAACCAATTTCTTAATGGAACACATATCAAATCATTCTTCTCATCGTTTGAATGTCAAGATGCCAAATCGATTTTAAACCTTTCTCCCATTTCCGTCAATTAATCTCACTTTCGCCATCATATTTGTCTATTTCTCTAACACCATCTCATAATCAATTTATCGTCTTCCTTTCCATGTACTCTCCTTGTTGTCCTTGTCTCTCTGCTTGTTTACATTTATAATTTATTTTGCCTGCTTAAAGCATGTTCTCAAAGCTTATACAAATCACTCAGTATGATTAATCTAAACACTAACACGATTCATTGTCCATTGTCTAAATTATCCGTCTCTGTTCCAGGTCAATTAACAAAACATCGAATCTAATCATTTCAATTAATGTAGTTAACTCATAAATGTTTCAAGGCTAATCTAAAATCAAAGGAAATTCAAATAACATCTTATTCGCACATTATTTCATATTGTTGATTAGTGTTGAATGTTTTGATTTGCTAATATCTTTCTAATCAGTTTCTCAATCATTAAGTGAAATCAGTTTATCTATTATTTACCTCACAAATGATCAACGTAGTTACAACCAAATCTATCAATTCAACACCATTCATCAGTGATGATTATAATGATGTGATTCTCCTTAATGATTTTATCTTTCTTTTTGCAGTTAATTTCTTTTTCCCGTTAAAATGTCTTCTAATAATTACTTTTTCCTTTTTATTTTCATGTGTTTATTTATAATTAAAGTTCCAGGTGAGCCTAGAGACGTAAAAGCCGTAGCAATTAACAGCACTGCCATACGTGTTGAATGGAATCCACCTTCCAACATTGATCAACATGGTGTTCGTCGTGGTTATCAAATTTATGTTCATGAAATGAGTTCCGGAAACAGAGAAGAATTTCTTAATGATCCAATTAAATTCGATGTTCTTGATCCAAATGCTAAAGAGTTTAATGTGACATCGCTACAACCCGACACTTCATACAATATCCAAGTTGCGGCGATAACTCGTAAAGGCGATGGAACTCGAAGCAAAGCCTATAAAGTTACCACTTTAGGTGGTGTTCCAACCAAACCGGACATTTTAATAAGGTTAATGAGTGACGAACCACAAATGACCATTGAGGTTCAATGGACTCGACCAAAGCATACATATGGAGCTTTATTAGGTTATCGATTGAAATATGGTAGAGCAATCGACACGAATCTAGATGAGATTGAAATTAATCCTCAAGAGCAAAGTAAGATCATCAAAGATTTAGATCGTGGTATCAAATATGTTTTTCGTCTTGCTGGTAAAAGTAGTATGGGCTGGGGCCAAGAAGCGATAGCTTATATTGAAACTCCTGAAGGAGCTCCTGGAGCTCCACCTCAGAATATTTCTTATCGGTTACAAACACCAACCACTGTTGTGATAACTTGGGACTCACCTGCACCAGAATACAGAAATGGTCGAATCACCAATTATGGTTTACATTTCCAAAAGCCTGTCGACAGTTCACCTGAAGAACGATTTACCAATGAAACCCGAATGGTTTTCAGCTCACTTTCTGAAAATGCAGAATACACGTGTAAAATCAGAGCCTTTACATCTAAGGGTCCAGGGCCTTGGAGTAATCGTATTCTCATTCACACTCCAGGTGATGTTCCTCCCGCGCCAATTAATGTTCAAGCTATGGCAACAACTGAAAAGTCAGTTGAAGTTTGGTGGGACCAGATGCCTTTCTTTGCTGATATTTTGGGATACACAGTACTTTATACACAAACTACTGCCGTTGAAGATATTGACTTTTGGTACAATAAAACAGTTGTTCTTACCTGGTCAGTTGAGTTGACCGGACTTAAGCCTAATGCAATGTATGCTATTCGAGTAGCTGCTTATACCAGTGCAGGTTTAGGCCGTCTTTCAGAGTTGATCACAGTTCGAACTACTCCCGTCGATGTTCCCATAAGCCTACGTGCTTATTATGTTACCACGCACACCATGAGCTTATCATGGAGACAGCCTACAAAATTGAATCCCGTTGGATACAAGATTACATATGAAGCTCACAAAGAGTTTTATGATAGCCTTAGTATGCTCAAAACTTTAACAATTCCACCATCAGACATTAGAGTTAATGCCAGTATCACTCAATACACGATTGAAAATCTAATGCCTTTCACGAGTTACCAAGTCAATGTTACCGCATTACCTGCTGATGGTACTTATCGATCTCCAGCTCGTAAAACTGTTACGACCGCGATGGCAGCTCCTAAGCCTATGGTTAAACCGGATTCAATTAATGTTTTGAATAACGAAATTAATGTTATACTACCTCAAGCATCCGAAGAATATGGTCCGATCAGTCATTATTTTCTTGTAGTTGTTCCCTCGCAATTCGCTACCAAAGATCCAGATTTATATTCTATCGAAGAACTTACAAGTACACCAATGGAAAATTTAGGTCCATATATTGCAGCTAAATTCGCAAGACGAGCGGTTTATAATCAATTGCTCTTGGTGATGGAAAAAGTACCTTGGTTATCGAAACAGAAGACTCAAGCCAAATGTTTTTTATAAGATATTTGTTCGAGCAATTGTAGATGCTCCTCACAAGGTAAGAGTTGAAAAGAGTTTTGTTATTACCGCTAATTAATTGATCAATAATATTAATTTGATATTTTTTCATCTCCTTTCAGAATCTTTTCACCAGTAGCCCTTTTTCATTAGCTTTGAGTATAAACGCACCTCTTGAGGCAAGTTACAGGCCAACAATTAAAAAAACAGTTAGTGCGGGACCAAATATCGCCCAAATGTCACCAAGTATTGATGGACAAAAATTCCTTGGTATTGTTGCTATTGTAATGATCACAATGATTTTAATTATTATCGTTGTTGTTTTGGTTTACATCAATCGACGTCGTCAAATGCTCAAGGCTTGTAACATGGATACCACCCTGAAACTTTTAATGAACACTTCCGATCCTCGAGATACTGTTTCTCATCCATCAGATCCCGTTGAGATGCGACGTATCACTTATCAAACAGCAGGAATGATCAATCATCCTCCTATACCAATTTCTGAGCTTGCTAATCACATGGAAAGACTTAGAGCAGATGAGAATCTCTTGTTCTCCCAAGAATATGAGTCAATTGAACCTGGTCAACAATTTACTTGGGAAAATTCAAACATGGAAATAAACAAACCTAAGAATCGTTATGCAAATGTAATTGCATATGATCATAGTCGAGTTGTCCTTCAAACGCTAGATGGTATTCCTGGATCAGATTATGTCAATGCAAATTATTGTGATGGTTATCGCAAGCAAAATGCTTACATCGCTACTCAAGGACCTTTGCCTGATACCATTGGAGATTTTTGGAGAATGATTTGGGAACAGAAAAGTTATTCTATTGTTATGATGACAAAGCTAGAGGAGCGAACGCGAGTCAAGTGTGACCAATACTGGCCATCCAGAGGAACTGAAAATTATGGTGTCATGCAAGTTACATTAGTTAATGTAGAAGAGCTTGCTTATTATTGTATACGAACATTTACTCTACAAAGATATGGCTACATGGAATCGCGCGAGGTTAAACAATTTCAGTTTACCGCTTGGCCAGATCATGGAGTTCCTGATCATCCGACACCATTTTTGATGTTCTTGAGACGAATCAAAATAATTAACCCACTTGATGCTGGACCAATGATCGTTCATTGTAGCGCTGGTGTTGGTCGAAGTGGTTGTTTCATCGTAATCGATTCAATGTTGGAACGACTCAAGTATGAAAATTCTGTTGATATTTATGGAAATGTAACCGTTTTGAGAGCTCAACGTAATTATATGGTTCAAACGGAAGATCAATATATTTTCATTTATGACGCGGTGCTAGAAGCTGTCATTGCTGGTCACAACGAAATTTCAATTCGAAATCTTTACAACCATGTGCAAATGCTATTACAAGTTGTACCTGGTGACAGTATTACTGGAATGGAACTAGAATTCAAGAAAATTGCATCCATGAAAACTCCAGCAAGCAAATTTATCAGTGCCAATCTCCCTTGTAACAAATTTAAAAATCGTTTAATGAATATCTTACCTTATGAAAATAATCGGGTATTCCTTCAGCCATTGAGAGCAGTCGAAGGCTCAGATTATATCAATGCAAGTTTCCTCGATGGTTATCGTTACAGGTCGGCTTATATCGCCACCCAAGGACCTATTCCAGAAACGACTGAGGATTTCTGGCGTATGTTGTGGGAACATAATTCCAACATAATTGTGATACTTACTAAGGTTAAAGAGATGGGCAGAGATAAGTGTCACCATTACTGGCCTTCAGAACGATCTCAAAGATATTTATACTTTGTAGTTGATCCAATTACTGAGTACAATATGCCTCAGTATATACTACGAGAATTTAAAGTAACTGATGCAAGGGTAAGAGATAAAGAAATATGTAAAAATTACTCAATCTAATTCATTTCTTAATTTGGTCTTTCAGGATGGACAATCTCGTACGATTCGTCAGTTTCATTTCGTTGAGTGGCCAGAACAAGGGGTACCTAAGTCAGGGGATGGTTTTATAGATTTTATTACTCAAGTTCATAAAACCAAAGAGCAATTTGGTCAAGAAGGACCGATAACAGTTCATTGCAGGTAAATATTCAATTACATAACTAAAGTTATCATTGTAATCACCATCCGAGTAACTCAGCGAGAAATTCAAATCTTAGGAAACGTGATGTTGGTAATATGTTACTATATAGTATGTACACCATTTGATTGCATGTGAAACAGATCAAATAATCAATATAAAAGCTCAATGATTTGCTATGACTGAGAAAATGTAAACATTGAAAAATTGAGCAGTTCAAATGAGTTAATTAGATGGTGATGGTGATTTTGTTTACAAAATAAAAATTGTTTGATTAATCTGGTATTACTACTCTAATTGCTTTGATTTAACTAACTTAATGTTCATCTCTCTAATTCTAGTGCTGGAGTCGGAAGAACTGGTGTTTTTATAGCTTTAAGCATAGTCTTAGATAGAATACAGAACGAATTAGTCATTGATCTATTCCAGACTGTTCGAACTCTTCGTACCCAAAGACCAGGAATGGTCCAAACTGAAGATCAATATCAGTTCTGTTATCGTGCCGCTTTGGAATATATCAGCACTTTTGACTATGCAACATGATCATTTTCGATGTTTTTGTGAAAGAAAAAGTTTAATTAATTTACCTGAGCTTAATCGTCACATAATCAATATGACATACACTGAGCCCAAATCTCGTCATCAACATGTATAAATCTCACTAGTCATAATACTTTTATTTGGTGGGTCCGTCGAATGTCAGATCCATTTATCTCATCAAAATGAACACTAAATGACGTTCCATATTGGAGAAAGTAAAGGTAAACGTTTATCCAAAGACCTAAGATCTAATTAAATTTCATATTCTAATGCTAAATTTTATTTTATTTCAGTTTCTTTTGTATCAACTCCTTTCGCATCTCAACATCAAAGACTGTCTTTGCGAGGGTCTGGTCTTAAGCCGGGACTTTTGGGTGATCAGAATAGCCTCCGGGCATACCTAGCGAAAGAAGTTTGCGTGGTAGTGTGTTTGAAATTGTTGGTGTGCAATTTGATATTAATTATGTGAGTCCGGAGGTTAGCCTGGTGCCCTTATCACCCCAACTACAATTAAAAGCAAAATTTGATTTTGGATTTGAATTTCTCTCAAATTAATACTTGTAAACTAAACTATTCCCTCAAATCGAAGGCACTTATTTGGACTCAGATCTTAACTGAACAGATACTTAATTGTAAAAAATTTCTATTTGATGTACACTATTTTCTAATTTTTCCAAAAACTGACAAATTGTAATTGTCAATATTGAAAATCTTGACAACTTCTCAATAAAAAGATTGCGTTTTTAACGATTAGCTTAATGTTTTACACTTGCCGTCTAAACTAAAGTTCTGAGATCACTTATGCTTCCAATATGTAACAATTAATAGTTAAAATTTTAATTGGAATTTAAGATTTAATCAAATGACTTTGATTAATTGTTATCTTTTAAGCTAATGAATTCGATTGTCACGTCAATCATTGATTGGGAGTAAGTAGTTATTCCGTTTAACCTAATTATCTGAACTAATGCTAATCAAATTAATCAAAATAAAAGGAAAAACTTTCTGATAGTTGATTAGAAATTATTAAGAGAAACTAATTGAATATAATCAATGATTACTTTAAATTAACCCAATCAAGAATTGAATGAATGAAAAAAATTGATTAAGATTGATTACAAACTCATAAAAGTAATTAACAAATCACTGTGACCATCAATAGTTTTAACTAATACTTGGATAACTTAATTAACCAAATGAACAATCAAGCTGCTATCAAATTGATTAATTAACTAGAAAAAAAGAAAGTAATAATTAGCATCCAGTTTACTAATGAGATCTATTGATATTATTTTCAAGAATCACAATCAAACGTTAAACAATCAGCCAATGATCAAAAAGTATATCGAGTTAATTTAATTTGTCTTAATTAAATTGTGGTAAATTGCTTTAATTGTCCTCGTAACAAAAACAAATACAATATTGATAAAGTTGAACATTGGGTTTGTTTTTAATTGACTTATAATTTTGTTAATTGTAGAAATCGTAGTTGGATTAATGAATCAATTAAGATTTTACGATTGTTGAAATAATTTCATTAGAAATTTAATCAATTAAACTTTTCGTGATTGACAAAACTTAATTTCAATTAAATTTTGTAACTTGAACACGAAATCGTTACTTTTCAACTTCGTTGAAAAGTTATCATTATTATCGTTAATTTGATTTCTTCAACTCAATCAAACTTAAATAATACAAGTAAATTTGTCTTGGCTGTTTAAGTTTGACTAATTTAAGTGTTGACAATTTAATAGGTTGATGTCTACACGATTCTGTTGATATTTATCATTGTTTATTTTGTTGATTGATTGTGGCGATTGAATTAATTAACCATTTCGAGTGTAGGTTTGAAAAAATTGACACAATTTGCTAAATATCATTAATTCAATGTGTTGGTCAATAAAACTAAGAAATGGTTCTGTCCAGTTCCAACAATCAACAATAGTGTCAGCAATTAACTCAGTCACAACCTCAGAATGAGAAGGATTAAATTTACAATTAAGGGTTGAATCAAGAGAAATCAATTGTACTCGGAATACAAAAGTGAAATCAAAGTAAATTGAATTTTGTTATTTTTTTGCAAAAACTTTTACGTCTCAAGTAATAATATCATGATAGGAATTTGATTGCAAACAATGGGAATGACGATGAAGATACTGAATCATGATCATTGTGAACTTTTGCTAATTGTTTACCTTTTTGTCAAAAGATAACAAAAACTTTCTTGCAGAGAAGCAAAAAAAAAACACTAACCATGGTGTTTATCATCATGGTGAAACTTGAATGGATTCCTGTTGATGATAATGATATGGATGATGATGCAAATCTCAATGTGACTGACAAATGAATTACAATTGTGAATTTATGGTAAACACAAAATGATCGGTTATTAGTTTCTCATTTATTATCATCGTTACTTTGAATTTCGAGTCTAAAACGTTTTTGTTGTTATTCTAATGTTGCGGCTTGAGAGAGATGATGATGGAAAACCCGATTCTCAAGCTTCTCCTTCTCTTCCATCTTCCAGCCTCTCCCTTTCCTCCTCTTGTTCTACCTTTCTTTTCATCATCTTCTCTTTTTTTTCTCACTCTTCTGGTTACTCACTCGCATCCATTTCTCTCCCTTCTTACCTTTACAAACATAGAACCAGTTTTTAGTTGTAAACTTTTCCTTCGCTTCACTGCGATTAGAGTCTCTCTCTCTCTCTCTCTCTCTCTCTTGTTGATCATCAACATCAAGTCGACTGTTTTTTCATCTTCTTTATCATCTTCTCATTGCTTGTGTTGTTTTCTCTTTCTTTTCTCTCTTTACCTTCTAAATTCTTTTACGTTTTCCTCTCCTAATCTTTTCTTCTCAGCAAAACAAAACTCTAACCATCTCCTTCCAATATCCTAATATTATCAAGTTAATTACAATTAAGATTGAATAGTTTACCCGAATGAACGTTAATTATCATCACCATGACAATCATCTTCATCATTCGTAACAATAACATGATCGTTTGATTACTAATAAACAACGTAAACCCAAACAATCAATCAAATCAAACATCATCTTCACCAAGTATCTCATCTCATTCATCCAAATCCAACATCTTCAACCACCCAACGGTTTCTTACCTTTTGTTTTTCACCCTTTCCTGTTAATCATAAACACCTTAATCATCATCATTAGCATCATCATCAACTAATTTTCATCTTCATCTTCAGTCATGTTAACCACAACTTGCTGGTTCCAAATGTGTATTCCGTTTGCTCAGTAACATCAAATGTGTGTTACTTTTTGTTTATGTTTCTGTGGATTACCAATTGTTTAATCACCAATCAATTTATTTAATTACTAAAGTTTTCAACTCAAACTAATTGGATATCATCATGTTAAGATCAATTAATCTGAGTAACTTCAGTGACGATGAATGTAAAAGGATAATATCAGTTATTCAAAGAGATGCTCAACTTCATGCCAATAATCAAGATAAAATCAGGTAAGAAACAACCACAATTTAGTTAATTTGTTACCCACAATCAATTTCTATCAAATTAATTGTCATCTAATTTACAGTCTCAACTCTCTGTTGTTAGTTTTTCAACAATCAAGTGTCTGAAACGACAAATACATTTACAGGCAGAACAAAATAAAGATCAAGATCAACCTTTAGGTTATCATTAAGTTAATCAATAGCGTTAAATGATCGTTGTCATTAACATTTAAATTGTGATTATTTTGATGACAAAAGAGTAATTAAATTAAACACAATCATCTGATCAACTGATCAGTGAACCAATAATCATTAATTGTAACCACAAACACAACAATCATATGTTAATCTGTTGGTTAATTGCTTTAGGGTAAAAAAGAGACACTTAAAAGCTGAACAATCAAATTAATTGAATCAATCAATTGATGACTTAATAGATTTACCTTGATTCTAATTTGAATAACAATCAAGTAAATTTAAATTTTCATCGACTCAATTTAGAGTCTCAATTATATGATATTGACGTGACAATTTAGTCAATTTTGCAACGAAAAAGAGAAACTTGAACAAATTAAATTTAATTGTGATGATTAAATGACAATCTTACAAATGAAAATAAAATGGTTCATTGATGGTTAAGGTAATAATAATAATTTGATTAACGATACCGATGACAATTTAAGTCGACAATTGAAAAATTGAAACACGATTAACACAACAATTAAACTAATCATATCCTCGTTAACGGTAAGATAATCAACAAATGATAATCCTTATTATGAGAGGGATGATGATTATTGTTGAAAATCAAACAATTAAATTAACGGAAATACAATTAATACAAAAACATGATGATTAACTTAAAAATTTCAATTAGATGTGAATTTTTTCCTGATTCATTTTCTTAATTTTTTCCCAATCCATCATATACCAAATACAATTAAGTATCTAAGCAATTGGGTGTGTAGATTAGTACCTGGGCGTAGGTTGATTGTTGATGATTAACCAACAATCAGAATTAATTTACAACACGGAAAAGTGATTCGGTCGCGTTAAATATAAAAAACTTAAAGTCAAACATTTAGCAACAATTAACTAGACATAAACCATAGAACTTGATTCAATGTTAATTGTGTTGTTATTGTTATTGTGATTGTGATTGTGATTGTTGTGATTAACAATCAGATAACAATTAAAGGTATATAACAAAATTGTCCATGAAATTATAAGAACCTTCAATAAACCAAGTTAATTGTTACTTTCTATTGGGAGACTTTGATTAAAGTTTTTTTCCCCGAATCTCCAGATTTTCAATTGCAATTTAGTCTTAATTGTGATGTAAATTATTGAGATTTTCTGAGCTTCTTTTAAAATCAAAAATCAGTAGTTTTGTTAAATTACAATTTAATGAATTAAATTGTTACTTCTTTTAATAGTTAATCACATTGACCAACCTACGCTTGACAATCATAATCGTAATTACCTGTTGATTTAATTTGATTGTCTCGTAATAGTTAAATGTTGTTCAACTTGCATGTATGATTTAGGATTCTTAATCGCAATCAACAATTTATTCATCATGACAATTTAAATGTTGATTAGGTCAAGTTGATTGTTGTTGTTAACTGTTAACTGTTGAGTGTTAAGATTGCAAATATGAACATGAAAAGCCAAGGTAACAATTTAAAAAAACTTTTCAAAATCAAACGTTGTTGTCAAACTAAATTGTTGTTAAATTTAAATTGTCTCGAGTTGAAATGATTTAACTTTAAACTCACCAATCAAGTGGATAACAATTAAGATGACAATTAACACAACCAATGGCTACATTTTCAAAGCTCAGTATCAATATTTAATCTGGAAAAGCGTAAATTTAATTATTATCATTTGATTACAATCTAAATTGTTACAGAAACTTTTTTATTACTTTAACATGATGAGACCTCACAATCAGAATCTACATTATATCAAACAATTAACTTTTATTGCCATCACAATTAACTTAATGTCTTCCTCTCATCCATTTTTCTTATGCTTCTTTCAGATGCTAACAATCAAACTAATCAATTTTACAATTGGTTAGTTTGATTGTGATGATTAAGATTAATTTGTTTGATTGTTAACAATTTGTGCTTTATCATTATAATATTTCATTGGACATCAAGATCAGCAATTTACTAATTGCTACAATAATATAATCAATACCTTCCGGTTAACCGGTCAGCTAATCGTGTCTTGTAGTTAAAATGTTGAGCAATTTGATTGTTAATTATGATTTAATTACATTTCAAAATTCAGTGTTAAATTAAACACCAAAATGACTGATTGTTGTTAGTTAATAAATTGTTTTCTTTTTGTTTTCTTATTCATATCTCTTAATTAACACAATATATATGAATTCATGAAAAGTTAATTAATTTGAATGTTGATTTGTGATTAAATATTTTGTCAGGTCACTGTAAACATTACCATGATCAGTTAATTACCTTTAAGGTCAGACAATTAAACTAATCAATATAAGTAAATTGTATTGAACACAGATCGTGAATGATAATTTAGTTAAGGTTAATTTACGGATCTCAGTTAATGATAATTAAATTGGCAACAATTTGAATAAGTTTGATGGTCTAACCAATAGAGTAATAAACTTTCTAGATTGCTAATCAATCAAACTAATCATTATTTTGGTTAATTGTTATTCACCAGAAATCAAATTGCCATCAGTTGAAGCTATACAAATGTGATGATGATGCTAATCAAATTTAGCTTTTAAATTAAATCGTCTCAAGAGAGACTCTTAATTGTTGAGTTAACATTTTTGTGGCTTAAATAATAACCAGTAAAAAGATACTGGAAAATAATGACAATATTAATTGTAAATGATTACGAATTAATTTCTAATCAACCAATTACTTCAACCTTATCATTATAACTATTAAAGGATGAGGATAATCAAAGAGGGAAGATGATTTCAAGGAAATGTATTAATAAAACTGAACCAAATTAATAATCATCTCCATCCTCATCCCGATCATTATCTTGAAATATTAATATATATTTTTGAACCAAATGTAACAATTAATATTAATTTTTGAAACTGGAAAAGTAAACAATCAAAATAAAACAGAATATTTATCAATAACAATCAATTGGAATACAAGAAAACAACAAATAGCATGTTGGTTAATTGTTAATTAGATTTCTCAGTTGAACAACAACAATAAACAGCAAAATCTAATTGTAATTACGATGATAATTATCGTTAAAAGGGGAAAGATGAAGTTGATCATCATCATGATGAGAATCACAAATTGAATACAATTCGTGCTGATACATAGATTCAATGTTGATCATTGTAAACTTTAATCTAATTACTATTTATGCTCACGATGAGATGATGATGATAATGATGATGATGATGAAGATAGTGAGCAGGTAATCTCATTACCTGGGCTTGTCTTTTGTGGTTGATGATGAAAAGGAAGAGAGTAAAATAATTGATCACAATTTTTTCAGTTTTCATGATAGTTGATTCATATTTTCATTCTGATTGTGATTCAGTTGAAATGAAAAGTTGTTTTTGTTTTATTAATATTTTCCATTCATCATTATTATCATCATCATCCCATTGATTACATTTAGATAATTTTGTTAATCAGTTACAGGTAAAAATGAGATTATCTTGTTACCTGTTTTTTAATACCCTTCATCATTATTATTGATAATAATACTTTTTAATGTGTCTGTAAACTTTATTTAGGTCACTTTGATTACGATTTATAATTGTTACTAATAATCATAATCGTATTTCTCATCTTAAAAACAATCTGTAAATTGTTATGATTATTATTGGTTAATTGTTTTGATTACAATTAATTGGTCCAAATTTCAACATTCAAAGCAATTGGGATTAGTTTTTGTTAACCATTTATCATGGATTTTATTGTTTAATTCAATTGTGGATTAATTTGTTAACCTTACAATCAGAAAACAACAGGTAAGTTAATTATCATTAATGATTAGTGAAAATGATGCGTAATGATTAACAACAATGTTTTAGTTTTTTTTTGTTTCAATTGAAAAGTTGATTACAACAATTAACTAGGTCATAGTGGTGTCTGTGTATCTGTTGATTAAACTAATTGTCTAGAGAAAAAAGCAAAAACGAATCCTAATCAATCAATAATTGTTGATTAACTTAATGATAATCAATCTGATTTGCATGATTCAAATCGTTTTACAGATTAGCCTTGATCTTTTTTTCTTGTTCAATTTGATTACTTACAATTTAATTTATTGTTGATCACAATCAAAAGTCAACCGATTGAATCAACCTACAATTCAAAGTGAATACATATTCAGTTGTTGAGAATCAGTAAATTGTTCAGTAATTTAATTTCTAATTTGATTTCAATTTGTTGAAGATTCTGTTTGTGGATAACGATTAACATTAAACATTCACGATTCTCATTATCATTTATAATGATTAATCTTATTATATAATTTTTATTTCCATCGCTTCCTCATCTCTTCCTCCATGATGATATGATTTTACCCTGAAATTTTCTCGGAACCATGATGATAATCCGGGTTCTTCAATTGAATCAGAAATTTGTTATTCCAATCATGCCATTGGCTTTGTAAAAGTCAATTAAATCACTTTGGAAGTGCCAAATCAACCGTAACCTTACCTAGTTTCAAAGGTAATTATCCAATTAGCACTAATTGATTTTACTATTATCAATGGTAAACTAATTGTTTTCAATTCTCATTCATAAATGTAAACAATTTAAATTCACAGATAAGATTGAATCTGGATACGAATCAATGTCAACAGGAAACGATGTTGACACTTTATCTAATTTAAATACAGTTACTTCAATGAATACACCTAATCAACGTCAAGGTAAGATGAATAGATGGAGTTAATTGTTAGTTAACAAGAACAACAATTAAAATTATTACGAGAATTTTTTTTTTGATTCGTCATTACAATTATCATTTAACTGAACAGAGTTTCAATGACAATTCAATATTAGCTAATTGTTAGTTTAGGTTATTGACTTGATTGTATAATGATTGTTGATGAATTGAATCAAAATAACATTTAATTGTCCACCAATTGATTCATTGAGTTCCCGCATAATTAGATAGTAATTACCTCGGTTACTGTCAACACTAATTAGTTAATTGTTAACCAAGACACACAATTTTGTACAACATTAATAGTTTTTCATTTGATTGTAACATAATCACTGATCGTGGAAACATTAAAATAGTAACAATTTAAGTTAATCATCAGTGATGATCAAGATGTATTTTTTATCCCTGATCATTAGACCAACTGTTACCACGATTATTATCATGATTTAAATTGTAGCCAAATTATTTCAATCATTAGCAATGTCTCAGATACACAATCATGATGATTAGCTGATTTTCATGTTGAACTTGAAATATGATTGAAACTTTGCTTATTGTAAACATGAATGAAACAAAACTCATAACGTCTCAATGATTCCGATAATGATTCCGATTTTGAATGAAATGTTTTGTATCAATATTTTGATTAACTCAACAATCAATTGATTATTGTCTCTTTTTTATAACCACCTTCACCTCCACCACCACCACCACAGAGCACGGAATCGTGTTAGATGATTGTGATGAAGAGGTTTTAATTAAAGTCCGTGAAAACATTGAAACGTTAATTGAAGGATTCATTGGTTCATCATTGGATCAAGCTCATGTCAATAAACCTTATATTCATGATAAATGTAAGTAATAATCAGTTAATCATTTTATTCACAGTTAAATTAACAATCAAAGCCATTCAAGGTACCCAACTAATTTAATAACAATCAACAAACAACGAATCAGTTTTGTCAGCCCAATGATAGACACGATATATTGAGAGAGGTTCACTTTAATGAAGACCTATTAGCATCATGATCATTATCATCTTCATCATGATTGCTAATCCATAACAGATTAATGATAATATTTAAAATTTCGCGAAAAAAAATCATAAAAGAAACAGGAAAATATCAATTAACTCAAATTCAATTCATTTGGACTTTAATGATGGTCAGTTTTTGTAGCTCAAACGTAATTGTTATTAAAATTTTCGTAGCCTCATGATAATATGAAATTATCACCATGGTTGAACTTTTCATTGGAAATCTAATTTACTTTTACCATTAACGTTGATTTAAGTGTAAATTGTTGCTGTTTATTACTGAATCAGTCTAATATTGCAAAGCATTGAGGCTTTTGCAGAGCAACAATTTGATTCAAAAATGTTAGTACGATGATTACAATCAAGAGCAATTTAGCTTTTAATATATTTTTTTCCAGTTGAAATATAAAAAATATAATTAAAGCTCGAGTTACAGGTAAAATTGACTTAGTCCAAAGTGTATCTAATTAGTTAATTAAGCTTAATATGAGACTAGAATGGAATTGAAAGTTAATTGTAAATAACAATCAAGGTGAAAGTGTTGAACTGGTAACAGTTTCTATTTGATTGGAAATCAATACAAAAACTGATGATGTTTTTATGCTTGTTGATGTCAATTGTGATAATGGTGATGACGATGTTGATCCTGTTTCCAAATGATTTCCGTTGATTGTAAAAGTCAAAGTCAATCAAGTATAACACAGGTAGAAATCAACAGAGTCCAGAGAAAAGGTAGAAACCGATTAAGATTAGTTGATTGTTTTCATGTCAATATTTACGAAACAATTGAACAAATAGCTTGGTGAATGTTGATAGTTGAGTGTTACCATTAAAACGGAAATGAATTTTGTTTACAGGGTGTTAGTGTATTGCCATGATGACATGAAAAGTGTCACACCCAAGAAACACTCAAACGAATTACTATTAATAGAAAAAAACTAATCACTCTTGTAATTCAATATCAGAACTTTTTCTTTATCCCTTAAACTCCTAATTTGCATCTTCATTTTTCCGAACAAAAAAACTGAAAATATCATGATAACGATGACAGTTTGGTGAAAACTAATTGAAGCTTCTGATTCACACCTAAAATTGTTCATTTTATCTCATCTCTCTCTCTCTCTCTCCTCAGATGACCGCATCTTGGATGAATACCAGACTCCCCTGGCTCAGGCGATTCTTGATTTAACGGAAGCATTATTTTTATCCCTTCAAAGTAAATATTTCATTCATTATTTTCTCATCTTCATCATCATCATTATCATCTCTCTCCTTTTATCTTGATATCCTCCTCTCACTTTATCTTCATCATTTACCTTGAGGCGATTCTTACCTTGAACTCTCAATGCTTCTAAAAACTTCTTGAATCATTATTTCTTTGAGATGAAAAAAAGGTTCATAATCATTAGACTAATTCTTTAACTTTGATAATTTAGTTTCAACACATTGATCTTGACCAAAAGTAACCCTAAGCTCCTTTCCAAAGTTCTGAAAAATGATCATGATGAAAAATTACAACAGAAATTTTTCTTCTTTTTTCTTCTTAATTTACCTTTTCTCTCTTTCATCATCATTTTCATGTTCTCTTCTCTTCTCTTCCATCTCTCATTCTCCCTCGATTTGATGTTCCAAATCAGATCAACCATTTGTTAATGGTAACATCCCAACAAATGCCCATTCTCACCTGAAAAAGTTGATCCATCACTTGAATCACATTACTGGTCAATTGCCAAAACTTCCGGTTCATTTGGAATCATCAGCATCACTATCATCAACTTTGGATGAATCTCAAACATATGAAGATCTTCTTGCCATTGCAATAATCAATGAGGTAATTAATACACACAATTAGTTATCCATGACAAAAAAAAATACTGACATTTATCAAGATGAAAAAAGTTTTCAATTCATTTGCAAAGTCATTACAAATCATTCAGCTGTCCACTGACTTGTTTACCTTTGTTACCTTTGCAAATGTTTTCCTTTTCCGCTGTAAGTTATATCATATAAATACCTGTAGCTAGTTGCATGCAGTTAAATTGTGGCAATCAACACAATCCAAGACGATGACTTTGCAAAGTTGATTACAAACAAGAGAAGAAGAGATTGCAAAAGTTAATTGCTTTTCTTTTCCTTACCAACAACATTTTCCAACGTTAATTAGCATTAACAGGAACCAAAACCAACCGAATATGAATAACATGTTACCTGTTAGATTTTCGGTTAATCCATTGGACAATAGAATGAATAAGAAGAAGAGAATTGAGAGAAAAAAAAATGGAGAATAGAATATAATTTATTCCTATTTTTGGTAAAAATATTAATAGAAAACCGAAACCAAGGTAAAAGTCAATCTTCACCTTTTACTATGGTTAATTAAGCTTGTGCTCTAATTGCAGTGAAAGAAGCAATTTATCAATTGTAGTAATTGAATAATCATCAATTGAAACCAATTGTTTATCTCTACATGAATGAGCCATTAGACATGCAGTCGATAACTGGATTAGAACTGAATCTTAAATCAGGAATGACATGTTATCACGTTGATCTATTATGTTGTGAAAACAACAATTTAATTACTATTGTAAGAGAATAGCAATTAACTGTGAAAGTGAAAATAATCATGTTCATATTTTTTACTTTCCTGGATTAACCTGAATTCAAATGACATTTAATTTCATTTTAATGTGTTGATGTCACTTTCTTATAATGAAAATTGTTTTTCTTTCCTCTTCTTTTCTTGGAACTGACCAGTTAATTAAAGTTAACCAGGAACGTAATTATTATTCATCATCGTCATCGTCTTCATCATCATTACCTTTAGAGACAAATGGAGAGACCCGACAGAGTAAATTAAATGTCCATTCAAACGGAAGTGTCAACGAAGATGATAAATATCATCATCAAAATTGCCCATCAACTGTGTCCATCTCATCAAATGGATCTGCAAGTTCAATGAATCATTCATCAAGAATCAAAGCCAATGGAATTAATCATCACTCTAATCATCATGAATCTGTGAATGAACATGAACATGATGATGATGATGATGAAGATAATCGTATGATTTATCATCGATCGGAAGTGTTTCCCGAAACACGTTCCAGTGTAACGATAAGTGACAAAACTGCTAATGGTGATGTCGATGACAGTGAATCAGATGTTGGTCATCACCATCAGCACCATAATCAACAGCATCCTCAACATGAGCCCGTTAGTATTGTCGATATTATTAAAGATCGTGAGACAGCTTATAAGATTGAGGAGCAAATTGAGGAGATAACAACAAGCACCATAGCAGCGGATGGTGATGAAGATGGAGAGTGTATTGAACCAGCAGGAGGGAGTGTTGGAGCTGATTCAGTTGATTCTGGTGAATCAGAGAGACGTCGACAGGTAGTTGATTCAGTTCTCGATCCTTATGGATTAGACTTATCAAGTAGAGGCTGTGCTCGAGTTGCTTTTCCAGAGTTTGGCCTGGACATAATGGACTTAAATTATGCTGAAAATGCTAAAGATTATGCAGATCATGATGACCAGTTTTATGGTGGTGATGGTGTTGAACACCCTGAGAACCAAACCACTGAGAAAATGAATGATAACCGTGATAATGGTAAAGTGAAAGTGGTCGATGCGTTTAGTTGGGAAGAGAATTGGCTTTTCCAGAAGAAACGGAAATCGGAAACGGATGTTGTCCCAATTTACTGTCTTCTAAATTTGTCCGAATCAACTGACCCTGTTTGCATGTTAATACCAAATCCTAGTCAATTTGTGCCTCCCCAAATTGGTTCAACATCAATTGACCAATTATCTGACCTTACAGAACGTAATTCAGTGGGTTCACTTGAATTTTCATCTTCCGAGGATGAAGATGAAGATCTGGAAGGTGAAACTGTTAATCAAATTGATTCAATCAACCATAAAACAAATATTATCAACAAGTTACAAGTCAACTCATCAACTTCATCTTCTTCATCATCACCTTTACCAGCATCAACATCATCATTATCATCATCTTCATACACAGTCAACAAGAAGCTACAACAATCAACCACAAAATCAAATCTAAATAAATCCATTACTGCCAATCAACATTCATCATCATCTCCTTTACCTCCCCTGAAAATACCTGAATTTATACCCAATAATAAAAGGCCATCTTCATCTTCAACTAATCATGTTCATCATCTGTCAAATTCACCGTCATCCTCATCATCTTATCCATCACCATCCTCATCAAATGAACTGTACACTGAACTTTCTGATCCCATGTTCACCCTTTCACCTCAACCCGCCAACGTTCAAAGTGACATTTTGGTCCAATTTTGCTGCCGAGTCAAAGGTAGTCAACCACTCGGTGTAGCCTGGTATCGAAACGGCATCTACATTGGTGGAACCATTGAAAAAGGAAAGTGTAGAAACGATCATCATATTCAGCATGGTGATTCTGGTGAAACCGAATGTGATAAAAGTTTATTGAACGTTATGAAAATCGATGTTGATACAAAAGACTTCAGGACATTCAAACATTTTACCGATCATATTTTGGAAATCAAATCAACTCGAGTTGATCTCTCAGGAACCTATTCAACCTGCGTGTACAATCATGTTAATCAACACTGGATCGATTTCAAAGTAACAATTAATGCCAAAAATGATTATCATCAACAGAAACATCAACCAAAACCAATGATCAAAAATCGTTCACATCATCAGCCATCAGCATCTTATCAAAAGGTAAGTTAATTGGCCAGGTACACAATACAATTAATCTAATTGTGATATCATTGAAACTGAAACTTTTGCTCAATTCAATTTACTGACAAACAATTAAATCCTTGAAGGTGATTTGGTTAATCATTAAGAGGCTACACTCGTGACCAATTGTTTGTCTTTAATTGTTCCCATTATTAAATATCATTGTCTAAATGCTCATGTTAATTAATTTAACTTAAGGTCATTCTCATTGTTTTTTGTAAATTAATCATTTAAATGGTTAATCATCATAATCAGATTTTCCCAGAATCGAAAGTTTTTCAACTTGAAACTTTCACAGTTACAAAATCATTTGCAAACAATTTATTAATCAACAATTAACTTAATACTGTTTAAACATAATCTTCAAATTGTTTTGATACATGAAATTGAAAATATTTTTCCAATACAACAATCAATTGATTGTTGTTACTTGATTCCTGGTTTTTATTATTATACATCTTTTATTATCATTATTCAATGATAATCCAGGTAAACTAAACATTCAATTAAAAGTTAATTGTGTTCAACTAAATGATTACAATCAAATTGTTCATAAACCAATAAGATTACTTGTAACATTTAATTCAAAGTTACTTCCTTACAACAATCAACTTGACAATCAACTGTTGAGCTATAAGATGATTTTACAGATTAAGGTTGACCAGGACAATTAAACAGCAATTAATTGTGTGTTTTCAATGATTTAATCAATTGTTGATGAAAGATTTCATCTTCCGGTTAACAGTGATATTAAATTATCAATAATTTAAATTCACTCATTGAATTGTGTTGATTAAAAAGACTCGGAATCTTTTTTTCTGCAAACATCATGTTGACAATTACGATTAAAATAAAATAATCAACTTACAATGATGATGGAAAACTTTAAATTTCTTAATTGTTTCAATCGCAACTTATCAATTTCAGCTACAATCAACTCATTATACTTGAACTTCAATTATTTACATGATTATTCATAGAAATTCATTGAGTAAACAATTTAAATTGAAACTTGCATTACTTTTATGGTTCAGATGTAAACATATTAGTAGTTAATTGCAATGATACACTTGATAGTTTGATGATTACAGAAAAAAAACTCATTAAATTGTTCATCAAATACCGAACTTTGTTCAATATCATCAACCTTAAAACTGACCTTTTGTCTGGTCACTTGATGTTCATGTTTCAAGTGTAATTCATGATAAAACTATTATTCTTATGAGTTATTCAGTGTTTGGAACGCGTATTCTGAACATCATGTTATCATTATTATTATCAACAAGTTGAGTATAATATTGTATCACAAACTGATGTTCAAGCTCACAATTTAAACTGAATTAAGTAAATTGTTTAATCATGAGCAACAGAAGGGCAAACAAGTTACAATAGAATCAAATTTAATTGAGTTTAGGTTAATTTGATTTGATGTTTGTTTGCTTTCAATAAGCTGAATGAAAACCTTTGGTTGAATAATTTTCATCTCATCGACCATCAATTGATACAAGATGATTGAGTTAATTATTAATAGTTGCCTTTATTGTCCATCAGTTATAATCAATGATATTACCAATTAGTTTTAATCAATTGTACATTTCATCCAATAGATTCTAATTGTATTCAATTCATTATTTCAGAATGTCCTAAGCCCCCCGCCAATCAAACAGCGTTCAACTAAATCGACCTGTAAAAATGACACTAACAATAGTCCTAAGGTGTTATCGGAAAAACTTCATTCTCATCACCATGAAGATGAAATCGATTCATCTGTGCCACATCCAGGAATCATTGCTGAAAGAGAGCATAGAAAGTGGGAAGAATCAACGGTAATCTGGCCTGATAATCCGTACACAATTGAGAATGTGACTAAACGGAAACAATATCTCGACTCCCTCGAACCAACGGCAACATCGCCAATCGACAAGATCGAAGACGATGAGGCCAATCTTCACGCTTTACCGTATATTTCACCTTCCAAAGACATGGGAAGGTACAAGAGAGACTATTACGTGCCAAATGTGCCAAAGGAACACGAAACTTGCAATGGTGTCGATGAAAAGGTAAATTGACTTAAATTGTCAAAAGGAAAATGCATTTTGACATGACAATAATCATCATTATCGTTTAATAGATTTGTTGATAAACTGTTGAATGCGATGGGAAAATGTTGTTCATCATGATAATCACACAATCATTATCAAAAATCATTCTCTTATTTTCCAATAATAATAATAATAATCTTTTCTTGCAATAATTTTGATGATCACCCCGAGAACTCAGAGTATCACGAGAAAATGGTTTCTTTTATCAGGTTGATGATATGATTTCATACAATTCTCAGCAACAATCGTAATCATATTATTTATCTCGTTGCTAATCATACACAGCCATTTCTCCATATATATTATGCGATTGAAAAGAGCTGAAGATTCAGAAAATGATTCAATTCATTTGAACACAATTCCAGTTGAAACTCTTTCTTTTACTCTTTTTTCTTCAAGGTGTTTCTATTCAGTTCCATCATGTTTTTACCTTTTCATTAATTTCTAATGATCATATTTTGATTCAGCTCTTTTTTTCTTGATTTTGCCGATTTGCCATTTTTGAGACAATGAAGATAATGATAACTTTCACCTTCTTTTATCATCAAATTTTGATACAAAAGCAGTTTATCTGTGCGTGAAGTTGATGCGGTAGATCAATTGGATTCATTGTTGATTCCAATGTTGAACATGAATTCACCTTGAAAAATATTAGTTCATTATGGTGATGATGATGATGTAAAAGAGGAAATGAAATATCAATTGATAATTAGAAACCCTGGTAACCTAAATTTCATGTAAAATTTACAATGAATTCCATTCATCAGGGAAATGAGTTGATGTTCATCATAATAATAAGGGCTAAGTTTTTAATGATCATGATGAAGTCTCCATCTTTCTTGTTTGAATAATCGTTTAATCACCTAATTAACTGATTAATTTATCTCCTGACAGGTTTACTCCTCTTCGAAATATTTTTCACCCTCAATTTCACCCACAAATCTATCAGAAGATTCTGGAGCGAATGTAATAAATCATCAGGCTCCATCACAAGCAGTATCTTCATCATCATGTTCACCGCTGATTCCAACAGTAACGGTGACATCTTGTTCATCTACATCATCTTCACCTTTACCTGTTTCAAGATCATCCGGATTATCATCTTCATCTTCGTCAACTCCTGGATTACCAAGAATTGTCAATGAACATCATCTTCATTATAAACACGCTGAGGCTCAGGTTCTTGAAAATTTGGGAAACATTACATCCTTGGTATCGGTCAAGGAATTGATTAATCGCTTCTCAGATTTAAATGAATCAAATTCATCGACCAATGGTCAATATTTAAGAGGATTAAATGATCATCATAATTATGGTAATAGTTTAAATCGTGATGGTACCATGATTAATGGAGGAACTGGAATTAAGCCTCGTTTAATTACAGATAAACATCATTATCAAGTACCATTCAAATTATCATGTTGGCATGATGATGATGATGATGATACTGAATTAAAAGATGAAACAAATGATAAAATTATTAATGATAATCATCAGCAGCATAATTCAAGTTATCATGATGAAAATGATAATAATGTTGATCAGGACAATTTGAATGATTATTATGAAAGAAATGATAAAATAAACTGGCAGCATAATAATAACAACGACAACAACAATCATGGTAATCAAATGAACAGAAAATGTGATGATAATCATCATGATCAAGATGCTTCATCTTATGGATTAGATTATTATCAAAGATCAAATTCTGAGGCCTCATTGTCCACTCTCATGTCACCACCACCACCAATTTTACCACCTCGAGTTCAGCCTCGATTATCAACAACTAATAATAACAATGTTAATCCAGTCAAATCTAATCGAGCAAAATTTAATCCAATTAAACCTCAACATCCACTGGCGGTAAAGTCTCATAATCAACTTATCTCTTAATCCAATCAACTAAATATATTCCAATTCTCAATCAACAGGTTAATAGTATCACTGGTCGTTGTTTGAACAAAGAATATCGTAATTGGGCCAATAAGAATCATCAATCTAATCCATCATCATCATCAACTAATCTTATGGGAAGTTTAAGCTTATACGATATTAATCAAGTTTCATCAGCTGAGATTTCAAATAAATCCGAAAATCCGGAAAGTCCATCAAATGAAGGGTAAGCTTAATTATCCAGAATACAAACAATTAACTTAAATGACGATGATTAATCTTATGATGATGATTAAGGATAGTTTTATGGGATAGTTTACAAATACATATATTAACTTACAATCGTTAGATTGGTTCATTAATTAACGATAGCTTTCAATCAATAATCAATTGCTTATTATGATTAGTAGCTTATCACCATGATCATAATTCAGATGATTATTATCATCATGACTTTTCACCAATTTCAACCCAATTTTCATCGGTTTCATGTTAACCTCTTTTTAATCAATTAATTGTTACCTTTTTAAATGATGAACAATATTTACCTTTTAAAAGTATCATCATTAATATTGTTAATCATCAACTAATTGTCATTTTCTCATCTTCTCTCCCTCTCTTATCATCTTTATGTGGATTCCACTACAATTAATACCATCCTTTTGATTTCCTTAATTATTGATCATTTTGAATGATAATTTTGCTCCAATTGTTGTAAACTACTTTACAATAACTCCCACAACAAACTACTTACGATCATTAACTAATTACAATTATCATACTCATAACTTGAATCAACTTTTGTTTGTGTGTGTGGATTGATTGTTTATAATAGTTACATTTCTGATGATAGTAATTTAAGTGACCGAATCGGTGATGGTGGAAAACAATCAACTCCTTTTGGTGGTAAAAAGCACGTTCGTCGTATGGCTCCATCGATAATGAAAAGAGCTTCTTTTTGGGAGAAAAAGTGTGAACAGGAAATGCCAACAACATGAACTGACCAGTCGATTGTCCACCATGGAAAATGAATCTGATACAATTATCATGAAAAAGAAAAGAAAAGAAAACAAACAAATGAATCAAATTTTCATAGTCCATCAGAAAGTATTTATTGATTGTAATTGCGATATCGCTACAATTTATTGTTAATTCAAGTGCATGTGTAAATAATACAAGTGAAAACAATAAAAAAATGAATTAATCTCACCTTGAAATACAAGAATTGATGATAATCAAGCATTAATTTACTCAGGTATAAATTTCATCTTAATTTGTTATTTATTTGTTTTAAACTTTCACATAAGATTACCGTTCAGTTCAATGAACGGAATGCTCGGAATCGTTAGATAATGCTGATGGCTGAACCGCTTATTTCCTGATCATTGAGAATCAGATTAATCTGATCCTGAATTTTTTAGTGAGAAAAAAACTTGAAACAAGAAACAAGATGTTGATAGTAAATGAATAAACTGGAATTATGAGTCAATCTGAATAACTTTGATACTAAGAAATTGATGATATGTGTAGTCTTGTATCACGATGATGAAGATGAGGATGAGGATGAAAATGATGATGATGATGACTAAGAGGAAGAAGAAGCAAGTTTTTCATGGAAAAAGGTAAAGGACTGGTTACTTTGATTAACTGACTACTATTTAAATTGTTCATAAATTGTTGGGTGAGGTTCAGTTGATCCTCATCCTTTTATTTTCATTCATCTTATTCACATAATACAATCAACTGACTGGACACTAATACAAACTATCAAAATTTGACCCTTACGGTCTTGATTAACTCCAAAATTTGATCTATTCAATTTTCACAATCAAATATTTGATCAACAGTTTCTAATCAATGAATCTATCATCAATACCTGTCGATGTACACACAATATGAGCATTGGATTGATTATTCAGCTGAACTTTCAACCAATTGAAACATGATGATGAAACTATTCATTGAACAATTTATCAAATGATAAGAATGAGAATCAATTTGAAAGATAATTAATTGTGTGGTGAACAAAATTTTCCAAGTAAATTGAATGAATCGTTTCATGATAAATGAAAACATGGCTCATCTTCAAGTTCATTTTCATGAGCTCAAGGGTTTACAATTAAATCAATTGTTGTGATGATTATAATTATCGTTGAGAATCAGAATGGATTAAGAAAACCTTGAATATCAAGATTAAAAGATGATCGCATGTTAACAATAATTGTAATTATAATTATAATTGTTTCGCTGATTACTTCACCTCTTTCATTCATATCATCAACTGGTTGATTAGTTTGATGAGCATAAATCATGAAACATGATGATGACAAGGATGAAGATTGAATTAGATAATTAAATGGACTTGATGATTTACTTGATATCAAATACGATGACCTATTATGGTTTGAACAATACTCTTCGATGGCTTTGATTGAATTTAATTCCTGAATGAATGGATACTCTCATTATCTGCATCATGGTTTAATTAATGAATTTAAAGTTCAGTTTTCATTAATTATAGAATTGGAAATTTTATCTTCTTCTTTCTTTTTCTCTTTCTTTGGAAGAATAAAAAATAGCAAATTCTTTAGAAGTGAGAAGATTAATTTTAATTAGGAACAGATTAATTGTCATGATAACTTGAGAAAATGAGATAAGTGTGAGAAATTATCAAGGTAATAAAGATGAAAAAGTTTCAACATCAGAATCATCAAGTGAGACAATTAACTTATCATTCTGAAAATAGTATCAATGGTTAATTGTATTATCTCAATTCAATTTAATTCATCTGAAAAGATTGAATTGATAATGAAATATTTCAATCAACGGGTCACTATTGTCATCTCTCCGTTTATTATTATCGTCATGTCCCATCATGGAAAGGGTGTGGCTCATGGGAAAATAGTTCAATTGGATTGAGGATGAGACTGAAAATGGAAATTAAATTCATTTGGAAACTTTTTAAACAATTTCCGCCTTTTTTCAATACGAATCCAACAAGAAACATTTCAACGGTGATAAATTATCACTATAAATATTTTGCTCGATTTGAAACAATTAAGTTAATAGCAGAATTTAAGTTAGAAAATTAAACTTTGTGGTGACATCTATTGTTAAAGAAGGTTATATTCAGAAGAAATTAATTTCGATGGAAATTGTTTGGAAAAGGTTCAGTTTTAGTTGGAATTTAATTTAATTTCTAGAGTTTTGGAGAAATGAATTAAGAGGTGCTTCGATGTGCTTTCGAATCACATTAGAACAATTTTCAAAAAGTTCGAATTATATCGTTAGAACAAAAAGAAATTGATATTCGCCAGTAGATGGCGTCAACTTTTCTCTCTCACTAACGATAATCTCACTTTCGTCAACGCTCACTAACTTGGATGATAATAGATTGAGAACTGACGACTTTTCTTACAATTCGAAATATTTTTGTGAACAATGTTCAACTCTTCGTTAAACTATCAACCTATTCGAGACCGAATTTGTATAAGCGGAATATTTTTATACATGAGCTTAGAAACGGCGCTAGTCTTTTCCATTGAAAAGAATCAAAAATAATATTGTTATACTTTTTCTCCTCATAAATCTAATTGATTTGATCACTTTAATCATTTACCAATTTGATTGTTGTTACTTAATCACTTATCATTGTGATGTTCATTAATTTAGATTGTTCTCTGTGTTATTATTCGGATCAAAACCTTTAAACATCATGGAAATACTCAAGTTAATCAGCAAAGATTCTCACTCAAGATCTAATAGATTACCGGAAATTTTCATCTCTCTCATCGTCTTAATCATCACCTTTTCTTGTAAAACAACAGGAGAAAATGATCTTTCAATTTTAGATCATCTTCTCAAAGGTTATGATCGACGAGCTTTGCCCGAAAGTCTAAAAGGTAAATATACTTAATTGCGAATGATTAACTTTTCAAACGAGATTAACTAATTAATTTGTTACAGGTAAACCAACTCCAGTTGCCTGTGAGATTTATATCAGATCCTTTGGTTCAATCAATCCAGCGACTATGGTGAGTTATCATTATTATCATTCCATGTGCTCAGATTTTTGGTTGATATTTTGATTGAGATATTAAATTGAACATTGATCCTCGAGATTGATTTATGTTCATTGTGAATAACTCACTTGAAAAGATTTAAAATCAGATCTAATTCATCATCAACAACTTTCTAAAATCTCATAGTCAATGAGATACGATTCGTTGAAAAGTTCATGAATGAATATCATGTTTAGCAAAAAAAAAGATTCTATGTATATTATCATGATACTACCGTGGTAATTTAAGATTACATTGAATATAAGTTGGTTTGTTTTTCATGATGAAATTCTTGTAGATTTAACATTCAATTTAATTTGATCACTGTGATTAAGATGATAACATGGTTCAGTTTCCTTGAGAAACAAATCACTCTGAGCCATCAGAACTTTTGTACCATGAAACTGTTCATTCATCGTAAAGATTAGTGTCGCTTATGTGAACAGAAAGTTTATCGAGGTTAAATTTCAATATTCATAACATTGTTTATGAAATCTAATTAGTCTATTATGTTTATACAGTTGATTCCAAGATGAATGTTTTTTGTATTCAATTGAGTGAGAAAAATGATATAAATTGTTACAATGTTTATAAAAGTTAATCCTCACGTTAATTGCTTCTCGTTTAGGGAAGAAAGTTAATTGTTTCAAGAAGATTCAATTAGTCTTAACTAATAGTTATCTTTTTTATGCTATTTCTATGAGAATGATATCTTTACATGTAACATACTGGCAAGTATGAAAAACTCAAGGGAATGCTCAGAAAAATATTGAATCATCTGAACAAACTATCGATTGATATTGAAATTATTAATAATCTTTTTGCTCAGACTGATTAACTGATGAAATTTGAATTAGATAAATTGATAGGAAAATGTCTGAATAGTTATTCATTGACATTCACCTGATTAGATTTTTATTTATCAGAACAGTATTTATGTATTGAAATTAACTGAGCTAATTGACGATAATCAAATGAAATCCGATCATGAAATTTATTGAACCAGGCAACAACAATATCTTCAACAGAACTGATTTACATTTAAATTTTATTAATATTTATTAATAAATAAAATTTTTCTTCTACTTTTGATCACAATGAAGTTTCATATTAACTCAGAGATGGAATTGAATAAGAATTGAAATAAAATATTAGTCAATCGAGTAAACTATTCAGATAATCTGAGGATAGGATTTCATCAATTCCCATGGTGATAATGATTATCATCTAGTTTCTTTTCATAAGTCTTACCTTAAATACCCTGACATTTTCATTGGAAAGTAAGTTTGCCTACTCAACGTAGGAGTCGATATAATCTCTTTGATAAAATGCTACATGATATTATTTCTCAATTATCGACAGAAAATAGTGAAAAAAAGATGAAACTTTTTCTCTAGCTTTTCATGGTTACAGAAATTACCAGGTAACTGGTCTATGTACCAGGTCTTGTTAATTATTGGTTTTTTCATCAGTGAACCAGGTACTAGGTCACGTTTATTAACCATGATTAAAAACTACACAATGGAAACAATTATTTTAATGATAATGATTATGATGAAAGCTTAGCAATGAATATACTCATTGCTGTCCATCATAATTATTATCTGGGTTACATTTCGAGTCACTGGATTGTGATGGAATGACGGAAATAGCAATAGTTTTACAAGGCCAAGCAGTTTACTTTCTTCAGCAGTGTGTAAGGCAATCAATTCGTGATGGACCATCAGTGCTATCAGCAAAAACACACTTGTAATAAGAATAAAGTAAGGGTGGAAATTTGAGTTCATGATCCAAATATGAAGTCTTTTCCGTAATTTTGTCTTTTATTGTAAATTAAATATTAATACCAATCCCAGGAGGATATTTCTTTATATTTTATTTATCGTTATTCCTGACGATCGGTGATCTAACGATTTTATTGTTGTCACATTTTTAGTGTCGAAATTTACTCAAACTGTCTCTCGTGTATTCGCAAGTATTTTCTGTAAATATCGTTGTGATAAGATATCCCAAACTCAAGAAATTGGTAATTTCCTGAAAATTCTCAGACCTTTCACCCACAGGTCAGAATTAAAACTAGTAACAAGATCGTTTGAGTCCATTCGTAAGGATTTAATTCGTGGAAGACTAGCCAATAGATTAATTTAATAAGCTGACACGCGACAATATCTGAGTATCTAATTTTTCACCTTTAGTCACCTCCAAATGCAAAGAACAAGATTGAATAAAATATTTTGTATCAATAATAAAATAATAGTTGTTAACTATTCTGATCATGTTAACTTTTCTGTTTGCACTTGAAAAATCTGGATAATATCATATGTTATGGTGGGTGGAAAAATCCACAGCATTTACAAAGGAGTATTTTTATTGGAATTTCAAATTTTAGAAAAAAAACTAAAAATTGAATCGATCAAAGATTAAATTATTCTGATATCCACTCGCAAGTTTGTCAATTTCAACTGATCATTTCCAATAGACTTCATTGATCCAGAAAGTTGATTGTCGAAAGCTATAAATGCATGAGGAAATAACAAAAGTGTTGTTGAAATACTTGATTCTTAAATCACTTTGAAAACTGATTAGCTATAAGCTAAAAGCCTGGAAGCAACAATAACAATCATAACCCTTGTCTGGTTGACCTCTCATTCACCTGATTTGAACAAAACTGATACCTGATGACATGGATAAAGAGTTGACACAATTTATTGAAAATCAATTGACCATCACTTTCTATTGACATAATAACCTTTTAACGAAATGTTCAAATTGAAATGAAGATTCGAAAAAGAGAAATGATAAAAGAAGTTGACAAGAAAATAGAAAAAAGTTCTAAACACATTCGAGACATTTACTAATACCATCAATTCGAGATCGCAACTTAGATTTTCAATGCAATTAGGTAAGAGATTGGACCTTAATTGTTACGATTTACTTGTAATTAAAGATAATTAGTAATTAGTAATTTAGTAAAGTTCAATTCAAACAAAGGGAATCAAGGAACAAAAAATAATCCAAAGTAAATTACTTTCAAACTGATGTGCAGTTAATTTTGATATTTAATCACTTTCACTATCAAAGTTTAATTGCTTCAGAACTTTGTTAAAGTTGATCTAATGTACTCGAAATGATTAACCAAGCAAAATGTTACTCGATGATTAGTCGAGAAGTTAACTTGAAATTCATATCTGATAATGATTCTAAATTAACATACGAATTGTTAATATATTTTTTAATCATTTGAAAGTAATTATCAACAATTTAATATCTAAAAATCTAATCTTTATATTCATTTTTAATCAATTATGTGTATCGTTTTCATCTGTTGAATATTTTATCATGAAATTTTAATGATGAAGATAAATGACTCGGAATAACTGTAATTGAAGTTACATTAGTTTCTTATAAGTATAAATAGTTACTATTAAATTATGAAACACTCAGAGAATGTGAAGATTATCATGTAATGATAGACGATTATTATTCAATTTATTAATATTTCCATGAATCTCAATTGATTAATCTGGTGAAAGTAATAAAAACATTCAGTATACTGAAGAAAGGGATAACCTTCTAGTAACGAAAGATTATGTTATCACCATGAGAGGGGAAAAGTTTCAATGGAATAAAAATTTTCACCATGAATTCATAACGAAGCAGATTACTTACAAAAGAAACTGAATTGGACCAACTGACACTCAGCAGATATTATCACTTGCTATCGATGCCAATTAAATAGATATTATTTCAATTGTGAAGATAATCTTCTTATACAAAACGCAAATTACGGTGATCAATTTAATCCTGAAATAAATCATATTTTTATCAAAGATAATCAGTTGAGCTAAAAGAACTTGGAATAAAATTTAATCCATTCACTTGATATTAAATCAATTAATATATCGAGTGAAACTGTTCATATTCATATTCATCCAAACATAAAATTTAAATGATAATCAACTGAACTTTTCATGATAATATTACAGAAAGTGAACTGAATCATTACATAGATATCGATTGCAATCAGAGAACTGTTGATTGGTGGATTGAGATTTATGATAAACCAATATGATAATATTGTTAATCAACTATTTTCTCCATGAAAATTTCAGGATTATGAGGTCGATCTTTACCTGAGGCAAACTTGGCTTGATGAGAGACTGAAAACTCCACGATTATCTAAACCATTAGATCTGAATGATGCTAAACTCGTTCAAATGATTTGGAAACCAGAAGTTTTTTTCGCCAATGCTAAACATGCGGAATTTCAATATGTTACAGTTCCAAATGTTCTGGTTCGTATAAATCCAAATGGAACAATACTTTACATGCTAAGGTAAGTTGGAATTGAGTCATAAAGTTACAATCTCAAGTTCAAATTCTGTAAATGCATAAACATCAATGGACATTTAGCTCTGAAAATGCAAATGAAAGATCCAGAAATCGCATGCAAATGAATCACAATCGTCATGATATTATTACTTTTCGTTAATCAATATCCATGGGTCATCATTTATGTTTATTGATTTATATCCGGTAAGATAATCAATCATCCTTGAGGATTGAATTAATTACCCTCTCAGTCAATTGATATCTTCAACTTTGAGCTCCATCAGTTTTTTTACATCATCAACAAGATCATTAAACTTACTGATGATATAAAACTGTTGACATTATGTTGAAACATTACAGTGACCAGAAAATAATGTAGTTTGACCAATTGGACAATTGTTCAAGGTCAACCATGATATTATGTACATGATACTAAAAGCATAGAATAAAAATAAACTCAGTTAACAATGAAATTGTATATATACAGTTAGTTTATGTTGATTTATTGACTGAAAAAAGTTTCGAACTGAAAAGAATCAAAGTTAATCAAATAATCAAAGTTATCAATTGGTCTTGACAACCTTTGCATTTGATATTTACTCTTATTCTTTGTGATAAATAATATCACAAATCAACAGAAACCATTTCTCATTCTCATTTTCATGATAAAATCTGAGAAAACTCTTGAGCTGTGAACTATTACATGAGAGAAAAATAAGTTTTCTCTCTGACAATTGAGATTTTGATCGAGATTTTCGTTCCATCCAACTCCAATCTCTTTTGTATACTTGGACCTGAGAAAATTGAAAATTCTGTCTGTAATTCTTGAAGGATAAACATGGTAGATTTACATGCAAGTCTCTATTTATTACTTGATCTCCCACATTTCCATAGACTTTTTAAATAGAAATTTAAATAATAACATGGTAACAAATTGATAGAAACAAAAAATAAAGTTTTCCATCAACATTTCAATTCCCTTTCACTGGTTAGAGATAAATTCTCAGGTTTATTTACCTGAACAGAATTGGAAATCATTGCCTCTTGAAATTAAGTTATCATCCTATTAGATTTTTTACTTGAACAACACAGCACTTTGCATGATGATTGATCTCATGAGATTTATTTTCATCCATTTTGCCAGAGTAAAAAAAAATGATAATAATAAATGAATTCAATTACTTGATCATGTATGAGGTCTAAATGATAACATGGATTGGCTAAGATAAACATGGAAACTTTTTCAGGGTTAAAAGGTAAAACGATAAAGTAACAAGAATGATAGAAACCATGAGTTTTCGTATAGACAGAAAATGTTATATAAACAGAAATTGGTAAACTTGAAAAATGAATTAGAATGAAAAAGAATCAATGAAAATATGAAAGTTCCAACATTTTGTTCAGATTAGATAAAAAATCGAAACTTTTTAATGACGATTAGAACTTTTGAGAAAAAAGAAACAATATCATTTCGATAAGCAACAGTTCCAATCAGAAATCAGTAGCGAAAACTTTAACAATCGTTAGAAAGTTTGATCTCGACGATTATTATTGATACTTTTAAGGAATGATTGATTAGTTTCGAGGTTTTTTTAGAAGTTTAACAATTTGAATATTCGATTGATGAAGTTAATCATTACATGGAATCATTATCAATGTAAATGTTAACAAAACTTGAAATTCGAAGGCTCTTAACTTTTTTTCTTAAAGAAATCCATCACTTCGATATGTACAATTTTTTTCTTTCATCTGATATCGTAAGTCTATCAAGTGATCCATAAAATTGAACAATTACCAAGCTGAATAATCATGATAATGATGATGGTAACAATGGATGGAACTTTTTTTCATTTCGAAGATAAAAATATGATCAATTGGTTTTTATTTGATCAATGTTTCTGTCATTGGCAGTGGATTGATGAAGAGAGAGTGAAGCATAAAGAAATGAGTTGTGATGATTATGAAAAGGAAGACGATCATCACCACCATGATTATGAAGATCTCAAGGCAACGGTGGTGGTGAAGGTGGTGGAGGAGAGAAAAAGATAAATTTCCACTCGCAAGGGTAAATGATCTATTTAGAGGATTTTTCATTCTCTCCTTCGATTACTGATTGTTGATTATTCTGGTTTCGTTTTTCTCCATTATTTTCGGTCAACCATTTGAAACAATCAACAAACTCCAAGTAAAATGTTTCCTCGAAAATGGTTTGCAACATTTTTCATTCTTGGGTGAGAAAAAAATTCCACCAACACTTTGAATCTTCAATTCGAGCTTCACATGTTTCCTCAATACCAGAATTCTCTGAGTATTTTGTCACTTTCTGTCTACATGAGATTCTCTCTTCACCTTTTACCTCCTCTTCTTACCTTCCTCTGTTCAGATTTATCGTCCAATCAATTTCCGTTTCCCGAATTGAAATCAATATGTTATCTCATCAAACAATCTAATTGATCACATTCAAGTCAATATAAACTCATCAGTGATTTTATCGCTTCTGATTTCATGGAATTGAGTTTCAATACATCGTAGCAAAATTCTGGAGTGGTCACTTTCTGATGGTCGCTTCCACTTTCTGGTTGGACTTACGAAAAGATGGCGCGAAATGTACACAACTTAATGCTTTCAAATGATAATGATGAACTTACCTGAGAAATAATTTATCAGTTGGAAGGATAAACTAAATTGATTCTAATAAGTTGATGATAATTTATGAACTTGATAACAAATTGATTTAGTCCTTCAGTTCAAGAAATTTACTTTGACGTCAAACAGATCAGTGTTTACAAAGTCGAAATCTATTTAATCAACTGTTGATTAGATACTAATTTCTAAATTACAATCAATGTTTGATTAGTTCATCTTGGGACTTTTTCTAATTATCTTCCATTAGTCGTCATCTCGATCATAACCATGGTAGTTCCAAGAATTCATAGGGATTATTCATGACACAACTATCATGGTAGATTGAAAGAAAGTAGTTTTAATTTCATTTGGTGAAACTCACGAACTAAGAAATAATTTGGGATCATAGAAAAATAGTTGTCAAGTTTTATCATGAACTTTTTTTCTCGAAAATGTTCAGAATTTTATCAACTTATCGAAATTAAAAGTAGTAAGAAATGTTCATTGCGTGACTTAAACTCTTCCAGAGTTATAATGAATTTCAAGTTTAATCTCAACGAAAATATTGAAATAAGTTCATGAACAAAATTGCAGAATCTCTGTGAAAATCTTGAACAATACGAAAATAAATGAACTGAATAAAAGATAACAGAACTTTTTTAGTTCTCTAAGCAAACTAATCTCAAATTGTATTACTAATAATCACCAATATGGAGTGAAATTTATCACAATCATTATTATCATAGAATAACTGTCAACAGGGAGATAAAATATCTCTTTCTACAGATTATTCATTTGGATGGGAGCAAATGAATGAATTGAGAACAATTGGAAATTCCATTGTTCTGTTATCAAGATATTAATGATTGACCCTATTCCCTGGTCAAGAATAAATTTCCAACTCAAACAAGATCTACACCAAGCAACTAGAAAGATCATCCTTATCATCATCATGCTTCTTCATCACCAGTGAGATGAATAATTTGAAACGATAATGTTGGGGCACACGATTGGTATTCATTGAGTATTCACTGGTCAAGCTCATTGTTAAACATTGGTCAGTTCATTTCATCTACATGGTGATATAAGTGATGCATTTCCAGTTAACAATCAGAAAAATATTCAAGGTTATAATCATGTGTCTTACATTTGATATTTATCATCATGAAATTTATGTCATTAGCCATGAATATTGTTCATGTGGGAATCAGAAATGCATAACGAATAACATTTTTCACTGAGTAAATTAGTTTTCATCAGGGTAAAGAAATGAAATTTCATTTCCAACTTTAATACAACAATCAAAAACATGTAAATAAATTGTCGATATGATTTTTTCAACTATTAATAGATTAATCCAAATGAACAGTTCACCTCAATTCGTTAGCAAAAGAGTGACAATTTTTACCATGAAAATAGCTTAAAATATTATCATCACTCTGAATTATTCAGTTTTTAACATTTCAACTAATATCTAACACCAATTATAACCATGATTTTGATTCAGAATTATTCATTTGCATGTTTAAAGTTTATATTGGGTTATATTATTTGGGCTATGATAAAATGTATTCCTTGTATTTTATAACAATTACATCAGATTCCTGCTGGGAATTTGATTTCTTTGTTCATTTTTACATGATGAAGAGCAGTTTAACCAATGAATTTCAATGATTTCTCCTGTTTATTCATGTTTATCATGAAAATAGCGGTGAGAATTAGCATCATGATTTTTAAAATGAATTTAATCATTTCTCTAAATGGTGATAATGGTCTTCTTTTTCAATCGCATTTCAGTAACAAGGGACATGAAAATATCGAGAAAAAGTATTTTTTTTCAGTGTCAAACGAGATAAAATTGGAATTGCAAATTGCTTTTAGATTATTTTTTACAATTCTCGTGAAATAATCTCTAGAATTCAGAGGAAGGAAACAAAACTCGAGGAAACGTATACTCAATATGGATGAATAAGTTTCTCATGAACAATCAAATGATTGCTGAGTGTCGCGAGCTTGTGTATTCATCATGATCAATTTGCATTTGAATTAACTGTCATCAAGATTTTGTTAATTATTACAATGATGATGATCATTATCTACAATTGTACTAACCATTTAGAGCTGAAATGATAAATGTTAATCTATTAGTAACTGTGAGATTATAATTATTTACATAGATTTTCATTGAATCGATAGACTCGAAATGAAGATTCCTTAAGCTAAAAACTTTGATAACGAGGAGCAAATTAATTATCTAATAGCAATTAAATAAGTAATGAATTGAATCTGTTTGTTTGACTAATTAATTGTAATATTGTTATAATGTCATGAGATGATCATGATTATTATGCCTTAATTCCCTGAGCTGAACACTAGTAGATCTTTATAGAAAATTAATTTTGATCGGAATTGACCAGAAATCAAGTTTATCCAATCAACTGTAACTATTATCTCAATATATAAGTAACTTTTATAAGCAAGATGATTTGTTCATAGACAGTAAATATTAGATTCATGGTTGATGTTTCAATTGACTGAGTAGAAAGTGTCAAACATTGTATCCAAAATGATTCAGAATTGGATATTTCATTTAATCTCAACTAAGATATTTGCTGGTATTTTCTTATTGATGATGTTTGATTTCACAAGTGAAAGTGAATCACAAACAATTAGATTCTTAGCATTTGATTGGATTCTGTTGATTACAGAATAATCACTTTTCTCATTAGGAGACACATTATAGCATCATTATCATGGCCAATGCTCTTATTAAATCCCACATTTATCCTGAATTCTGTTCCAGTTAAGGCTCTCTCTCTCTCTCTTTTATTATCTTCTCTTGTTATCTTATTACATTGATACAACAATATTCCATTGAGTTATTTGTTTTCCATGAGAATCAAGTAATTCCCAGTAACATGAAATATAAGCCAGAAAATATAAGTTCCATGATGAAATAGACTGGATAAAAAATATTCCAATTTTTTTCCATATTCAGTTATAGAATTTGTTTTTACGTTAGAGTTTACGGAAAAGATTTCAAGAGTTGAAATATTTTCATGGTAAAAGAAAGTCGATTTCACTGAAATACGAAATATTCATACTGCAAGTGACTGAATTTAAGTTATCAGATCTGATTTAATATTTATTGTTGATCAAATTTCAAGTTTATTTTGTTTCAATGTAACTGTAACCTTGAATCTGATAGCTGAGTATCATTCGTGTGAAATTTTATCACATAATTCCGACTTCATGGGCTTCCATTAGATGTTGAAACCGATTGCAACTCATTTATCCTCATCATAATTACCAATAAACTTTTCCCAAGCTTTGAACTAAAACCATTAAATTTTTTGAATTGATGAGGTTTCATTGATTCAGCTTCATATTGAAACAATGGTTCAACTGGATCATTACATGTTCATCACTAACAGAAAGTTATTTTGATAAGTTTCCAAGGGTATTCTATCATGGTGATATTTTCTCTATGAATGAATGAATAGTTTAGGTGAGAATGAACCAATAAGAAGGATAATTTTCTGATCCATCAGTAAACTTGCTCAACTATTATTTTCGCCATATTCAGGAACCATAGAGTTATCATGATCATAAATCAAACAATTTGTAATATTTTTGTTCTGTAAAATCATTTACAAAATCTCATGAAACTAACATGAAGCCAAATGAAATTTCAAGACGATTTTCAATAAATAAATTTATCGATATGCCAACGGCTTCAAATTAAATTATTAATATTTAGTAAACTATCGTTTCTATTGGTTGAAATGTCGATTCCATTTCCGATTCAATTTCTTATTTATCATTTACATGGAATACTCCAGGTAATGTTGAGATTAAGAGGTTGATTCATATTCCATTTCCATCACAGTTATCTGATCGTGAGATTTATAAAATGAACTATTTTTAAAAGTAATCGGATAACTCAAAATGCTACTGGAAACTTCATAAATCCAGGTAAGAACAACAATAAGCCCTGAACTTGATTTGTCAGAATTTCGTTCAATTAAGTGAAAGTTTTCAGAGTATTAACTAAATGAAATTCATTTAATTCTGATTCTGTTACTGAGTAGAAATTAAATGAATGTAAAAAAAGTCTGAACTTTATCAAAGAAATGTTATCGTGACAATTACCAGTTTCCACTATATTAATTCACTTGTTCACTTTGCTGATAGAAATCAAGTTGTTCTGTGGTTACTGATGGTTCTTAAATTGTTTCGAATTGTTCATGATAAAGAAAATTCTGACAATGATATAGAACTTTTCAGCAGAATCATTCGATTTTTTTTCGCTTCTGTTGTTCATCATAGTTTTCCTTTCATCTTCTTTCAGCAAAAAGATGATTATAATGTGGAAAATGATAAAGATTTTCATGTCAATGATGTTTAACTTTCATCAGATTGATTGGTTAGAAAAGTTGGAATCATTTTTTCTCAATTTCATCATTTCTATTCATTGGATCTTCCATTCATCAACTACAACATGAGAGTTCAAAGTAACAGGAAACCCAATGAGTCTTAATTGTATTTACTTTTCTATCTAATGACAACAATTCCAATGACTTTGTACTCCGATAAAGAGTAAATATAAAGAGGTAGTGAACTTTTCATGGAGCTTTATCTGAATAACATTCTCAACAAAAGAAATTCAACTTTTCGATTATTATCTCATCCTTCTTGTGGATTATTTCATGTGTCTTTTAAAACTTATATCTTAATCTTTCTCTTTTCTCTTATCATTATATTGATAATAATCTTTATCACTCTTCCTCTCTCTTCATTGTTCATTCATGTTGCCTCACAATAATATGAGAGATTAATTGAAACTTTTCCTCATTCCATCATCACCTTCATGTATTATCGTTGGTTGACCTTATTCTTGATTCTTAGTTTAAAAGTTCCTACGATAATTAGACCCAAATTTAAATCGTCTGAAGATAAACAAGATCAATGAGCTAAAGATCAATTTCTCAGTCGAAATCTTTTGTTTTTTCCTGCAAGTGGGAAATGAGGATGAGGAGGAAGAGGGAGAGATGGATGAAAAAGATGATGACTATCCAGAGATTGACTTGTAAGATTATGTAGATAATTGGCATTTCCGTTATTCTGTCTTCGTTTACTGTTATTCATACTCGATTGTGAATCAAATTCCCCCAATGAAAAGTTCCATTGGCTATAACTAAATATGAATATTTAAAAAAATTTCATGAGATTTCCTACTAATTGTGAGACCGTTACGTCAATTATTTCTCATGAAAAGCTCAGTTTGATAAGATAACAACGATAATCTCATCATTTTAATGCATTTGCTGATTTTCATTGTTATCATATCAAAGTTGAGATGATAATCAAAAATGATGATAAAGTCATTTTATCTCATCATGATCTTCATTCAAGGTGACACTTTGTACTTGAATTCTTATGAATATAATGAAGATGAGCATGATAACAGCATCATATTTACAATGGATATTCATATAAGATGCAATCGACGGAAGCAGTTGATGATATTTGGTGTTGATATTGAAAATTTCCAAGCAATTGTTACTTGTGCTAGAGATAAGATTATTGTCCATGAGTTTATCAACATAAATACAATTTCCTTGCTTGAGAATTGTTATTGAACTTGTATCTTTACCTTAAGATATTATCGTTGATGCAAAATTTGATCTTTCAGATTGAAGCTTCGATTCTCGTGCATGATGGACTTATATCGATTCCCAATGGACTCACAGGTTTGTGCAATTGAACTTGCTTCATGTAAGTCCTTTAATTTTATGTATTTTCCATTCGTTCATCTTTCATCCCATGATCGATATACAATCAGAATACTCTTGAAATATCATGAAATCATCATTCGCTTTTATTTGCGAAAATTTCACCAAACCCATTTACCTATTTTGGTATCATTTTCCTTGACCATTTTATCCTTTAGATTATCACCAAGAATAAATAATGGACTGAACTTATTTCTTATGAGTTATTCAGAACTTTGTTCCGATAAAATTGTCTGAAATATCTCATAACCATCAAACTTTAAATTCTTATTAACTTTTCTCGTAGAAAATAAATTTTAGATATAAAATAAAAAAGTTTTCACGAAATTCACATTTAACCATCATGAGGATTGATCATCAACCGATTGATGTTTATTACCATAAAGTGACTTCATTCATGGTGAAAATTCAGATGAAATCTAAATTTCTCTAATTAAGGAAGTGGTAGATTCTTATTATTGTCACAGAATCAATTGTCAAAATGAAGATTATTGAATTAACTTCCTAAACTAATCCATCATCTTGAGACATTTATGCTTATCAATCAGATTGATTAATGAACAGAATCACTCTAATGAGCTCAATATGAATACTAAATCAACAGACAAAGAAAAGATGATAAAATCAGTTGATATCCTTGAGATTGCGATTGATTTATGATTAAATATTTTTGAATAAAACATAACATTCAAATGATTAGATATCAATCTATCTCATTTGGTGACTTGATCTTTAAACTAACAAGAGAGAACAGGATTAAACTGTCAACAACAATCAATTACAATCATCAGCTTTTAACATGGTCAACAATTTATCCACCGATAAGTTATCATTTATATGATAGTTATTCCCAGTGTTTTCATACCGATGACACTTGAATGAAAACAATTGAATCTCATGAAATGATGATGACATTTTTAATCATGTTATCATAACTTAAATAGTGATGTTAATATTATGACAACATTGAGTTTGGTTAAAAAAAGTTCAACAGAGCAAAATTATTGTAGCTTTGATCAAAATCAGTAATTTACTTGGTGATTTCATGATGAAGAATCAGTTGGAATAAGAATTGAAAACTGATTCGTTTCTCTTTTATTAGCTCAGGGTATTTCCCATGAAACATATATATCATTTCAATCATGTTCCTGAGAAGATGATCAACTCCCTGAAAATTGTTATTATTATCATGATGCTTTCACATTCCAACATGATATTATATCTGTAGTGTCACCAACAGACATGAATATATACCTTTTCCATCCTGTCTTATTAATCTAATAAAATCTTATCTTGCCAATGTCAATGGCTAAATACTGACCAATCTGACCACTTCCTTAATATTACATTTCCTATCCATTGTCATCACTTAATTTCAACTCATCCTCTGCCTGTTTATCCTCATCTTTATTATCATGTTCATCTCTTTTTCCTTATCGTTATCTGATTATCATTTTTATTAATCTAACAGTTTCAAAGACAACTGATGAACTGCAACTTAAATGGAAAGAAACAAATCCAATAGTTTTGTACGAGAATCTTAAACTTCCACAGTTTCAAATTGAACATTGGAACACCTCCTTGTGTAAAGAAAAATTTCAATTCGGTAAGTTGATCAACATTAATTAGCTAATTGTCGCTCAGATTGTGTAAACATTTCCATAGTCAATCAGCTAATCTTAAATCTAAACTGAATCAAGCCAATTAGCTGAATGACAAATCTAAGAAATTGATGGTAAGAAATTAAAAGGATTAGACAAACAATCAACTGTAATCAGTGAGATAATATAACAAGATTATGAAAGAAAAAAAAATCTGATCAGATATAATTGGATTCTAAAACTAAATTAGTTTAATATCCACAGTTTGAGCAATTAAGCTCTTCTCTAATAATAATCAACTAATTTACTTGATACTTTATTGTGATCATAACTTTTAATGAATACACAAAAATCATCGATTTACAAATCAATTGATTCCTTGAGAATTGATTGATAATTTATTCACAATCAATTGTCTAACCATCAACAAGATTTGAAAAAAACAACAAGAAAACCATCAAAAAGTGAATGGAGGTTTATCAAAGTTTTGAAACAAAAAGATGAAAAAAAGTTGACAATTCATTTAGTTTATCATTTAAAACAGTTGACAGGATGTAACTTACAATTGATGATTCTAACGGTAAATTGCTAATGAATATCATGATTGTTGTCGAGTCACATTCTTCCTGGTGAATTTTACTCGAGGATTGCCATGTAATACATCCTATGCAAAGTGTCATGTTTGCAAAGTAGTGATAATTTTTCCCATTCATCTGTTATCACAACAACAGGGTGACACCGAAACCTTGTCTTTTTCTGTTCATCATTTAATCTGTGCACATACAATGAGAGTAGATGGTTTTTTCTGCCTCTCTTCATACTCAAGGTCTTGTCTTTTTTCACTGGATTATTAACCTCATTCACACTTTACACAACATGAGACATATAATTTTTGCCTTCCATGTAAAATCCATCAATCATTTGTTAATATTATCGCTGTTCAGTCAATATTATTATGATTATTATTCGTAAAGGGTGAACCTTTAAGCATATACAGTGTTGGTTTGCAAAGGGAAACTTGGAGAGGAAAAAAATGCATTAGGTAAATATAATAACATACTTTCGACTTTCGATAGTTTTTCGAGATTTCGAAGAGAATTGGAGTGAAGAAAAAACTTTGATTTTTGCATCGAAAGTTCTTGTTTTTTGCTCTTCTATTCTACGCCCTGAACTTGCCAGTTCTAATGGAAAAGTGTTTTTTTTATATCTGTCAGCTCTTATTTTCTGTGCGATGTTCACGTTATCAAGTTCGAAGAAAAAAAAACAATGAAACATGATAATCTAAATTCAGCATCTTTGTCATGTCTTCTCATTTGTTTAGCTTGATTGCTCTCAATTTAATAGTCGTTTTTATCTGGGTTAATCAATGTCATTTGTGAGACTCAATAAACGATTAGTGCAATTGGATCAGAATTAATCCTTTGATACCTGATAATAGTCACTTTTTTTTCCTTCATCACAAAAACTTTTACTCTCAGTCTGAGTGCAACTAAACTCGAGGAAAAAGTTTCACACTCAGTCTATTATTAGAAAATAGTTTCATCTGATAACTAATTGATTATTAATAATGATGATTTACCTCACAATTTGTGCGATTGTTATTAGACTTACACAAGACTGTCCAGATCAAGATCGTTTATCCTGAAAGAAATGAATCCAAATATTAATACTTTGAACATGAGTTTCTTTTGGCTACGATATTAATGGACTACAATTTCAATATCCGTAATCAAATACGAAGACTCGATTGGGATAAGATAATGTGAAAATCACTCGATGTTCATGGACTCGAATTGAATTTTATCAATATTTAAGGAATAGCTGATAACCCATAATTTAATCAATCCATGTAATGAAATCTGATCTAATACTCTAACTGATTGATTATCAATTGCTTAGGATGAACTAACACTTTCCTTGATATTGTCTGCAGATTGATTTGCAAATAATTGACCTCTTTCATCTCAAGAGTTAATCTTAAATTGTTCACTAATGTTTTCATCAGTCTTAATCACTATCCGATTATTATAATGTTCAATTACGATCATCACTTAGCATTTGAGGCGAAAACAACAATCTTGAAATTGAAGCCATGTAACTTGTTTTCAACGAGTTTATGTTATTGTAAACAATCAACTTGATCAGAAAATTTTATAATCGAGATCATAATTGTTCATAATGTGATTGTTATTAGTATAATATTCAGTTTATTGATTAAGGTGAGGAAATTTATCAAAACAGTGTAACGATTGAGCATAAATCAATGGACATTCGATAAGTAATTCAATGTGACAATTAAGGTATGTGACACAATGAGAGATTGGACTGAACGAATCAATTAATCTGTGACATTGTTAAATTACTTTGGATGTAAATTATTTAGAAACAAGAATTTCGGGCTGACCACAATGTCCAGAGAGAAAAAAAAAAGTAATTCGAGATGATGACATGAAATGAAAGAGATAAATGTAATAATAAGAATGGTATGCATGGGATTCATGGGAAGAATTGTATAGATTGAAGAGTAGAATTCAAGAATGCATGAAGGTGTGAGACAAGAAGAGATGAAGATGAAAATGAGACCAAGTAAATACGATTTTCGAAAAAGAAATTGTTGACACTGGACAAAAGAGTTTTCCCCTTTTCTTTTGTTATCGAAAAGTGTCAACACTCTTTAAAGAGATGATAATTTTACTCTTGACCAGAGTGTCCAAAGGGGTTGGAAGATTTTCTCAAGTCTAATCAGCATTATATTCACATTGATGAGAAAATGTCGCAAATCTGATTCATTAATTGACGAAACAAAAGAGAGAAACTCATAATAGGCTCTGTTACAATGAAGAACCATGAAAATCGGTCTGAATCATTTGGAATCAATAGAATCTTGAAAACCTACCTTGGGATTTGATTTCCTTTAGATGAGGTGATAATATAGACTGGAATTAATCATCTTTATCCATTGTTAATCTTTCTTTTAATGACATTGATCATGATGATATCTAATGTCCATAACGGTCATCTTGATAATCTCTCATCATTTTCACAGCTTCGGACATTTTAGCCTCTCTCAAGCATTGGAACTTCATCTCACAAAGATAATTTATCTTCTAATATGAATCTCGATTTGAAAACAGATTTTTCACCTTCGTCGATTTCATTCTGACCACAAATCGAATCCATTATCAGGAAAATGAACAATTGCTAATAAGAATTGATAGTATTCGGATTATCTTATCGTAACAATTAATCGAATCAATCAGCCTATCAAATTACCTTTGGTAGTTATCAAACTATTGGATTGTTTTGTCAATTGATTACATTGATTACTTTTTGATGATTCATTCATTTGTCATCAATCTGCTTTTTGGAACTTTTTTTTCTGATTCCATGTCTCATGAAGTTCATCATCTAAACTCATGATACTTTGATTCAATGTAAGATCTTTATTGATTTACCATCCCAATCATTACTAATTTAACATTGATTAGATTTTAAACATTGATAATCAACTTTTATTATCGATGATTGAAAAACATCATTTACTAAATTGTATCTTTTTGTTGATAAATAGGAAATTAATTATTTCCAGAATTCGAGAGAAATTATTTCAAAGTTTTCAGTTCTTTTGAAATTTGATCATTACCTTTTTCATGAGATTCCACCGGATGAAACATGAGATATAAATTAAGATAATGAGACATGAAATTGACATTCAAATGCTTCGGTATTTGGGTTATTGTTTCTGATTAAAATTGATTAATTTATAAATTCTGCTGATCCAATAATGTGAAATATTAATAATCTCATGATATTTTAAAAGGATATTAAGTGGAATTGAATATCAACTATTTTTTTACTACCTGAACATTAAATTGATGATGATTAGATTCTGTCATGAGGATATTTTGATTGGCAGTAATGTGAGTTGTAAATAATTAACAAATTGTCATTATGATCAACAGTTAATCAAGATTATTTCTAGTTTAACATTGAACAGAAATAATCACTTAGCATTTATCAAATTATCTTCAGTTTAACATTATCATTGACGATTATGTTTAATTATCCTAAGCTAATCATTATATTGTAGTTAAATTTAACTGATTGTCACAAGAGATTATCAATTTTAAATAATAGATAATAAATTGTGATAATAGTCAAAGATTGAGATAAATGTGAGTCTTAAAGATTTAGAATCAGGATTGATAAATGTTACAGTTCATTCATTGGTCTGATTTAATTTGATTGTTCCCATTTAAGAAAAAATAATATTCCAAATTAACTGAATCATGAATGTATTCAAGATTCATGATCGATTGTGAGTTATTGATTGTAACTTAATAATCTGATTGGAAAAGTAGACAATCCATTGACTATCTTATCTAATGTAATCCGATGTGATTAATGATAACTTTTTTTGACTCTTTCTACTTATTATCACATTCTAATGTTTCCATGGGAAATTGTTCAGCTCTGATTTTTGATTCAGAGCTCTGAACAAATAAAGTTCTGGTTCACCTCTTGATTATCGTTGATATCATTTCAATGTATTCGCTAAAATTACTCAATACTTTAGTCTTAGATCTAAAAGATTAGAAGATTATCTTCAGGATGTATTGGACGATTTTCGAGAAATTATCTTCACCTTATCCAAAGGTGCCCATGAAATTTCAGTCAAGTTCGAGTTGAATGAAGTTTCTTCGAGTATTCAAAAGAAAACAAATATAATCTAAATAATTAGCTAATTCTTAGCAGAAAAACTTTCAGATTCTCTATGATTTTATCGAATATACAACAAGAATTGTGTAAATGTATTTAATAGATTATCTAAAAGCCTTTATTCCAGGTGAATGGAGGAAAAGTAGCTAAGGTGAAATAGATGTTTTCAGGAAACCGATTCCGATTAAGGAATTAAAATTGATTGATTAGAAATCATTGGATTGAACAGTTTTCTATGACGATAAAGAACTACAATCAATCAAAGGTACATAGAAATCAAATAGAAACAATAATAAAAAAGAGATTCATTAAACAGATTACAAAGAAATGCCTGATTTACATGATTCTAATCAATCAGAACTTTCATCCCTAATGTTGATCATCAAGTGGATGAATCAATTACATTATCACCAATAGATGAATATGAAAAAAATTACATGTTAATTTCCTGGTGAATTCAATTCTCCTCATTGTTAAATATTCTCGGGAAAATCAGAATCTCAGATGAATGTGTTGATTTAAGATTAAGAATCAGCCATGACCACAAGACTCTTAATCTTATCAAAAATAATCAGATTAATGAAATAATTACATTCATCATAAAACGAGTTTGATTATCAGAAACAATCAACCTCAAGGTCTTAAAAGTGATTACATTGATTGACCATTACGATTGATTGGAAATTATTGATTACTTGTCATGTTGATAATTACATTCATTTGGTGATTATTCACTAATTTAGTTATAATTAACTCGAAAGGTAAAAGTGCCACATAACTAATTACTTTATTCGTTGGTTGATTATTTATGTAATCTCTCAATTCATTAATAGTAAATCAATCAACTAATTGTTTAAGGTTATAGTTGATCGTTGGTTGTTGATTGTTGTTGAGAAAATTGTTTCTTTATCTCATCACGTTGATAAGCTGATTGTTTGTTGTTAACAATTGTACTTTGATCGTTATATCGGTTTCATTAATTGTTGTCGAGTAAAAATAAAGCAATTAAAGTTATTTTAATTAGATGAGAAAATCTATCATAATAATGACAATAATAAGAAATTGATTCCCTATTGTCTTGTCCATAGAAATCATTGATTCTAATATGAGAATTTGTTGTTTTCGTTTTCGATTCATCATTCCCATGGTTCTGAATAGGTGAATATAGCTGCCTGAAAGCTGAATTTTATCTGCAAAGATCACTTGGTTATCATCTGGTTCAATCTTATCTTCCAACATCATTAATTGTCTTCATCTCTTGGGTATCATTTTGGTTGGATATTGATGCTATTCCGGCGAGAGTAACACTCGGAGTGACAACTTTGTTAACAATCTCATCTAAAGGTAAACAATTATCAAGAAATTTTATCCTATCAAAAAATAATTCGAGAAACTTGAAAATTCTTGACATTTTCAGGGAATTCAAGGTAATCAGACTAATTAATCATTACAAATTTAATGATTAACATAATCAGCTACTTAGATCTGCTTGTTGAAGCTTAAGAAGTAGACTAGAAAGTTTTATTTAAATGCTTTTCCAATTCAGTTGAAATCATGAAGAAAACTAACTTTGCATGTTAATTGTTGAATCAATTTAATTTCAAATAAATGAATTAGTAAATTTCCAATGAATTTCATATTATGAGTCGATTATTGTCTCTTGCGTTTAATTCACTCATCAGAATTGAATAAACCTCTTAAATGTAACAGAACTTATTACATGGTAATAATGTTCCAACTTGAAATTACTCTGAATATTTACCATGGAGAAGAAAATTTCAAAAGAAAAGTTTAATTGGATAGAATTTTCCTTTTTATTGTTCTCATTTTCCACAATAATAATAATATTGTTAATTTTTTCTTCAACATTTTCTTCATCATTTTCGTGAGAATTATCAAAAATAATCATGAATAAGCTTTGGTTAATTTGGAATAATGTGAAAAAAGTTCATTCCAATTGATTTTATTATCGTAATTATCTTAAGTTTATGAAATAATTTCCCGCTAAATGTAATCTAGTTACGATATTAAATTTAATTGTTCTCATGATTTTCTAATTTAATTCTGTTTCTAAATCGTTTACTCATTAACGGTCTAATCATTATCGTCACTATGGTGAACATCCATTTGTTAAGATTACCCTGTTTTCACTTGTCGAATCATTAAGTCGAATCTCTGAGAGAATAAAAAAAAGTTCTAACAATTCATGAGAGAGAAAAAATCATTACCATGATTGTTGAACTTTTTTCACTCCAACTAAATGACTTGAAATTTTAGATTGGATTATAATCATTGGCTTCGAATAGAAAAGGAAAAATGTTCTAATTTTTTATTTTCACTTGGAAAAGTTCATTTTGTAAAGCGAATCTTTTATAAAGGAAAATTGATTTGTCCACTTGTATTAAACTCTAGTGACCATTAGCTTTCCACTTCCTTATTTTCATTAAGTAAATCATTTCTTTACCTTTACTCTCGTTTCGGTAAACTGACCAGCTCTCAGCTGATTGAATAACATCATTTATCAACATGACCTACAAATGGATTACACTTTCTTTGTCTAATAAATAACAGATTAACAGTTATATCTTATTAATATGATTATTGTGCTTGATTTACCCACAAATCCATATGAGTTTCATGGGTGAGATAATGAGATAGTTAATGGTCAATACTAATCATGTAATATAATATTATCATGATCAATATTCACATGATCTCAGCTATTATACATCATCATGATAACTGAAGATAATATGAAACAACATGTTCATTATTTTACTTTATTAGATTATCGAATAGTTTTTTCCGCTTATTCTTGGACTTCAAATGTTTCAGTTCAAATAGATGAGTATTTCTAATGGTAGATGTTCATTTTTTTATTCCGATATTGAAAATTTTCCCTGTAAAAATTCAATCCTCATGAATATAATTCGATAAGACTTATCCAATTGAAACTATCCAATGTTCAGTTGTCCATGAGATAAAAAAAATACTATCAATGAAATTGAATCCATGGTAAACTTTTCTGTTTCCTCTGTTATTGTACAGATACATTGAACTTTTTTCACTTGTTCCCTGTTCATGGTAACATTTATCACTGTTGATTTAATCTCTGTTTGTTTGATACAATATTAAGTTTACAATGGGATGAAAAGTTTCCTCAAATTGTTCAGAATTGGATTGTCCATGTCATCTAAACCATGTCACTTTTATCATTAGTTTGATTGTTCCCATTGTTTCAATGACAATTTGATTGGCTGATTGGCCATTGAGCAAAAACACAAGAATGAAAAACAATGTAAATCTTATATGAATCAATGGATTGAAATTAATCTACTATCATTACTAATTCTAGTATCACAATTTACTCTTTTTCCGCTAGTAGTTGTAATATATTAATTTACTAATAAAGTAATAGTGGATAATATAATCTTCTTGTTGGTGAAATAGTTAATTTAGTTGATCAACTTTCTAATCAATATATTCATTCATCCATTCATCTTACAATATCAATCCAGTTAATCAAAATCCTTCAACAATAAACAGGGAAAAGAGTACAAACAATAAATTTCTTTGGAAATCATTTAATTTAATCAGATTCAATTTGAGAGAAAAAAGTTCTTGGCTGGTTAACATTATCCTCGATTACGATCAACTTATTGTTAGCAACAAATTGTTAAATTCTTACAATTATCCCTTTCATTTCCTCGAAAATGTGAATTTGTCTTTAAAAAGAAAAGAAAAAAAACAATTAAGACAATAACAGAAACGAATGATTCGCAATTCGAAATCACATTGATCATTTCGATATATCGAAGGTTGTAAATCTGTTTGTACGTTGATTTTCATTGAGAAATTAAATTGATTGTAATTAACACTAATCATGATATCATTTTGAATGCTTAAATTGTATTCATTTCAGATTCATTTTTTACCTGGCCTAGACCAGTAAGCGTCCATCTCCCTTGGCTTTCCCATCAACTAATATTTTCGAGTAGGAGTTAATCTATTGTTTTAATTGTTGACCATTAATTGTCCTGTTTTCATCTTGCATCTTGTACCTTTTGTGTGTATTTACCTTTGTGATATGTTTAGTTGTTCGTTGGCAATGTCCAAGCAGAAAGTTTATTCATTTACAAGAAGATAATTAATAAAACTTTTCATTGGGTTGTTTTTTCTTCCTCTTCGTTTCGACCTCAGGTTCGGGAATTCAAACAAATCTACCCCCAGTTTCCTATGTAAAAGCCATTGATGTTTGGATGGGCGCTTGTACTACATTTGTGTTTGCTGCTCTCCTCGAATTTACTTGTGTCAATTATTTGTGGAGAAAACGATGTAAACGGAGAGCGAACCAATTTAGACAAACAATCGCAAACCTCAAGGCGAATCACAATAGCAATTTAAATACTTCAACTACAACTAATTCTGATCAAACCAAAGTAATTATCTAATGAACGAAGCTTAGCTGGTCAGTTCTCGTTTTAATATTTCTCTTTTTTCTTGACCATTCAACTAGAGGACGAAGTGAAAGGAAGCAAGTTACAATTCAATGGTCCGTCTGATGAATCGATAGGAATCGCCTTGGCACGATTCCAAGCAGGGGGTGGACATGGGTCAAGTGGAAATGGGAATGACCATTATCCAAATGTCCGTTATCAACTCGGTGAAGTGCCAGTGGCCTCAGGAATTGATCGGATTTGTCGATTCTTATTCCCGATGTTGTTTCTCTTGTTTAATACAGTCTATTGGCCTTATTATATTTACTAAGAAAACAAAAAGTTGATCAATTAACTTGAAAATCATTCTATTGCTTAAATTTGTTAATCAGATTAAATTGTTTTGAAAACAAATGAGATGAAGATGATTTCAATAAATTATAATGCCAGTGAAAACTAAATTGTTACAATTAACTCGAGACTTTGATCCATCCTTGACCAGATCCCCTTATTTATGTAATGAGAAAACAAACTGACCAAGACTGCGAATGAATTTTTATCAGTGAGAATAAAATTGTACTAATTCTGTCCTAATCATGTAAACTAAATCAAATTTAATGTTTAATCATTTCATACAAAAACGTTGTAGCAGAAAAGATTAGTTGACTGATTTTGCTGATTCTCAATCAATTGATTGCTCGCAGATTCATATTATCTGGGTAATGAGAAACCCACCAGATCATAATCATGTATCAATCGACATAATTTGATTAAATTGTATATTAAATTGTCCTTCATTTACTCGCCGTATTCAATTCACTAATCGAGTAGAGTAGATAAAGATTTCCTTGTAGTTGATCATTTTGATAAATTGTTACAACCACAACAAGTTGTGCATAACTGATCAACTAATTGTCATTATGTTTCTACAATTAGTTGATCATCAAGATACGGGAACAAGTTAATTCCTTTACTATCGCTCACTCGTTCCTTGGTCATATAAACGTCATCTTATTGTACGATAATCCTACTTTCCTCAATATTGTTTGCAGGCATACAATTACAATTAACCAATCTAATTGTTAATTGTAATTAAAATGAATAGCAAATGGTAAATATTAAATCTGAGTGAATCTAAAGGAAAGTCACTGAGTTTTCTTGATTTAACCCTAGAGCTCAACCTAATGCTCGCTTAATGGCTTTTTAATTGTACGACACAATCTTGGTGCAATTATCCATAAATACCATCAATTTGTTTTTCCTCATGAATAAAATCATAATTAAGATTTTAACATGATTCGAGCTCAATCAAACTTCGTAAGACTTATTAAAAGATACTATTGCAAACATCGGCAATAGAAATCAAAGAGATTGTTCATCAGTCGATGTTAGAACTCTGAATCGATCGGATCAACTTATTATTATTCATGATGCTGTGAGGGTAATTGATTGTTTTCTGAATAGCCTTCACAATGCTAACCGAGAGTTCAACGGAGATAATTTCGATCGCTCTGGGCCACTTCATGTTATCAGTGCGCAATGTGGCCAGTTTTTCGTTGATCGTTCTAACTTGGTATTATTATGTCCATAAACCAGTGTCCAGTTTAATCAACCAGATTTACCATGCTCTCAGATTTCATAGTGTTCCGAGTCACCCAATTTTCGGTCATATAAAGTATCTCATACCGAAGTTTCCTAATCCGTATTACGAGTCAATCGATGCATCGAGTAAGTAACTTTCTTTCATAATTTTCTCTGTTTTTCAAACACCAAATTCATTGTTGGTCAATTTTCGCGATTCTTTTGGTCATAGAAAATTATTATAACCTTATGATGGAATCTAATGACCCGGTCAAAGGCTCAGAAATTTCCGTTGTCTGGATCGGTTGGTATCCAATCTATTGCATCTCTGGCGCTGCTGTGCTCGAGGTATGCATGGGAATATGATCGATTAACTTTTCATTTCATGAATTTACTCAGAATCTTTTTTCTACTTGACCTGTTCTGTCTCAGGCTGTTCTGTCAAAATCCAATGTTGCTAAGCCCTCGTTCTATAAATACATTGGACTTCGAGATGGTTTAGTTACATCCGATCCTGATAAATGGCGATTACATTGTAATCTGATTGAGCCTTTTTTCATCGCCAAAAGGCAAAAGTATTTCGCTGAAATCATGAACAAGGAGATCAGTAAATTACCACAGCACATTAAGGGAAAAGTTGGTGTTCCTTGTGATATCAAACAGCTAATTAATTTGAGTGCGATGAATATCATCACCGAAGTTTGTTTAAATATACCAAGTGATGAATTAATTGATATAAAATATTCTTGGCTGGATAACATTGAGAAAGGTAAGAATTGTTTTATTCAATTCGTTTGCAGTTCACTTTTCTGGTCTAGAAAGTTATTCCTTAAGACTCAATTTGGTCTCTAACAAACTGAATATTTGCAGGCAAAGGAATCGAATCAGCACAAATTATAGCAGAGAAATATAGACAAGCAGCATTGGAACGAGGAAATAATAATAACGAAAATGATTCCAAGAATAAAAGAAAAGAGTTCGAAAGCTTATATGAGTTGTTGACCGAAAAAGAAACGAAGGAGGTAAATATGGACAAAGAGGAAATTTTCGATGAGCTGATGACCATTATAGCTGCTGGACATGAGACGATATCGGTTGCGATGCAATGGACATTATTTCTTTTAGGTGAATACAGATTTTCCTCGAAAATTCTATTTGTATTATTCTAATCCAATCCAATTCTCTTTAGGTAATAATCCTCAGATTCAAGATCGACTTTATAAAGAAATTGTTGATCTATTTCCTGGAGATACTTCGGTTGATGATTTAGAAAAAATTTCTCAGTGTCAATTCCTTGATCAATGTATCAAAGAATCGCTTCGACTAAAGCCCCCAGCCCACGCAATTGCACGTAAATTGGAAGAGGATGTCATCATTAATGGATCTAAATTGTTAAAAGATTCGATTGTAACAATTAACTTAAGTGCAACGCATTATGATCCTAAATTTTTTCCCAATCCATTGAAATACGATCCCGATCGATGGTCGTCTATCCAAAAAGATACTTTGCCGAAAGGAGCTTATGTCCCCTTCTCTCTTGGGCCGAGAAATTATATTGGTTATCGTTTCGCTTTACTTGGAATGAAGGTTTATCTAATTCATATTATTCGAAAATCTACTTTCAAGTCGACCCGTAAAGAAGATGAGATCGGTCACAGATTCGAGGCATCGCTCAAGCCAACATCTAGTTTGGAACTTGTATTCAAAATGAGAGAATAATAAATTACCAAATTAAACGTAGGTCGTTAGTAAACGACCGAGAAATTTTCATAATTGATCGTATGAGAATAATAATTAACTCGATTGTGTGATGGAAAAAGAAGGGTTAATGAATATAAAATTAAAATAATAGATTAGATTTGGATTATTAGATTAATTTGGTATTAACACTTATTCAACAAGTGATTTTCCATTAGAAAATTGTTTCGTTGTTACCTTTAAGAGAAATTTTCATAATTGATCGTATGAGAATAATAATTAACTCGATTGTGTGATGGAAAAGATCGTTCTAACTTGGTATTATGTCCATAAACCAGTGTCTAGTTTAATCAACCAGATTTACCATGCTCTCAGATTTCATAGTGTTCCGAGTCACCCAATTTTCGGTCATATAAAGTATCTCATACCGAAGTTTCCTAATCCGTATTACGAATCAATCGATGCATCGAGTAAGTAACTTTCTTTCATAATTTTCTGTTTTCAAACACCAAATTCATTGTTGGTCAATTTTCGCGATTCTTTTGGTCATAGAAAATTATAACCTTATGATGGAATCTAATGACCCGGTCAAAGGCTCAGAAATTTCCGTTGTCTGGATCGGTTGGTATCCAATCTATTGCATCTCTGGTGCTGCTGTGCTCGAGGTATGCATGGGAATATGATCGATTAACTTTTCATTTCATGAATTTACTCAGAATCTTTTTTCTACTTGACCTGTTCTCAGGCTGTTCTGTCAAAATCCAATGTTGCTAAGCCCTCTTTCTATAAATACATTGGACTTCGAGATGGTTTAGTTACATCCGATCCTGATAAATGGCGATTACACTGTAATCTGATTGAGCCTTTTTTCATCGCCAAAAGGCAAAAGTATTTCGCTGAAATCATGAACAAGGAGATCAGTAAACTACCGCACCACATTAGGACAAAAGTTGGTGTTCCTTGTGATATCAAACAGCTAATTAATTTGAGTGCGATAAATATCATCACCGAAGTTTTTTTAAATATACCAAGTGATGAATTAATTGATATAAAATATTCTTGGCTGGATAACATTGAGAAAGGTGAGAATTGTTTTATTCAATTCGTTTGCAGTTGACTTTTCTGGTCTAGAAAGTTATTCCTCAAGACTCAATTTGGTCTCTAACAAACTGAATATTTGCAGGTAAAGGAATCGAATCAGCACAAATTATAGCAGAGAAATATAGACAAGCAGCATTGGAACGAGGAAATAATAATAACGAAAATGATTCCAAGAATAAAAGAAAAGAGTTCGAAAGCTTATATGAGTTGTTGAACGAGAAAGAAACGAAGGAGGTAAATATGGACAAAGAGGAAATTTTCGATGAGCTGATGACCATTATAGCTGCTGGACATGAGACGATATCGGTTGCGATGCAATGGACATTATTTCTTTTAGGTGAATACAGATTTTCCTCGAAAATTCTATTTGTATTATTCTAATTTAATCCAATTCTCTTTAGGTAATAATCCTCAGATTCAAGATCGACTTTATAAAGAAATTGTTGATCTATTTCCTGGAGATACTTCGGTTGATGATTTAGAAAAAATTTCTCAGTGTCAATTCCTTGATCAATGTATCAAAGAATCGCTTCGACTAAAGCCCCCAGCCCACGCAATTGCACGTAAATTGGAAGAGGATGTCATCATTAATGGATCTAAATTGTTAAAAGATTCGATTGTAACAATTAACTTAAGTGCAACGCATTATGATCCTAAATTTTTTCCCAATCCATTGAAATACGATCCCGATCGATGGTCGTTTATCCAAAAAGATACTTTGCCGAAAGGAGCTTATGTCCCCTTCTCTCTTGGGCCGAGAAATTATATTGGTTATCGTTTCGCTTTACTTGGAATGAAAGTTTATCTAATTCATATTATTCGAAAATCTACTTTCAAGTCGACCCGTAAAGAAGATGAGATCGGTCACAGATTCGAGGCATCGCTCAAACCAACATCTAGTTTGGAACTTGTATTCAAAATGAGAGAATAATAAATTACCAAATTAAAACTTTTTCTTTTGAAAACAACAAATATAGTCAATTGAGCTATGTTGCCAAGTTGGCTCATCACTCACTAGAATTAAATTGAATTTTTCCAGAATATAAACTAATCCAGCCGAATTTTTGTTCTTTGAAAGCTTGCTCCACGTCCAAAAAAGACATTATCGATATTAAAATCTCAAGCTAGAATCAAGCCAACGACAGGTTCAACCCGCTGAGAATTCAAATCTTTTCCACCATGAGTGAGGAGGTCCAACCCAGCAAAAATCATTGACCCCCAAACAGTTAGACTAAAATTTGGCTCTCGGTAGGAATTAACAATTCATAACCGAAAGACATTAAAACCAAAAATTAAAACATTGAATTTACTCTCAGTTCCTATTGTGACCCTTTGCGATGAGAGCTTTTTTTGGGGATCGTAATCAACAACGTAGGTCGTTAGTAAACGACCGCTGCCAACAAAGTCTGTCTTTAAAATTCTATTACATGTGAATCGTTCGGTGGAAGGACCAGCAGAGCTATTTACCCTCCTCTCCAGCTTGGCTCCGTTGCATTCCTGAAAAGCTGCAATGAACTTGAAATTTTTCTCTCTATAACTTTTGACGGTTCCTCCGTGCAATTGATACTACCCCGCATATTTTGAGTGAAAAAATTCAGTAACATTGCCTATAGGAAGAAAAAAGAAGGGTTAATGAATATAAAATTAAAATAATAGATTAGATTTGGATTTTTATTAGATTAATTTGGTATTAACACTTACCTCTGATTAAGTTGTTTTTGAAACTGAGATTAAATACTGGGCGTTTTTTATCCACGACAGCTTTTACACTGAATATCTCCAGAACTAAAGTCATATGAATGTCAGACTTGACCAGAGGACTGAACAGAATAGAAGCGCTCGACCTAAGATTTTCAAGGTCATTGAGACCTTAAAATGACCTTTGGACGCTGCCTCCGGAAAATGACCTTGAAAGTCTTAGGGTCGAGCGCTTCTATTCTGTTCAGTCCTCTGGTCAAGTCTGACATTCATATGACTTTTAGTTCTGGAGATATTCAGTGTAAAAGCCGTCGTGGATAAAAAAACGCCCTGTGAATATGCAATATTTAAAACAATAAAACTTTGGAGCAATTAAAATAATTAATCTGTTAGATTTGTCGTGAGAAACAACAAAAGACTTTTTTGTAAATTAATTAAAACAATATTCGCATGATAGGTCGATCAATCGATATCGTCACTCTACCGAAAAACTGGCACCTTGAAGAGAAATTTGCCTAATTTATCCTATGAGAATAATTAACTCGATTGTGTGATGGAAAATTTAATAAAAATAAACATTTTCTTGGATCTTAAAATGATCAATTAACACATTCAACAAGTGATTTTCAATTAGGAAATTGTTTCGTTTTACGATAAAATTACCTGTAGACTTGTTTCGATTCGCATCAACTTGATGAATACAAAATCAGATTAAGAGAAAAAGTTATTTATTGATGAAAGTTTATAAAATTTACTCAATGAGTGTGAAGAAACACAAGATTAACAAAAAAATGAAATAGGACAAAAAGATTGACTAATCAGATTCGTTACAAACTTTTCTCACATCATCTGTAGCTTTCCAAAATCTCGCAATTATCTCATCTAGTTCTTGATTAAAGGAGGGTGAACTTGTTGGTGGAGGTGGTATTATTAGTGAGCTTAGGTAATCACAGTCATCCTTATTAGATTCGTAACCATTGTCATAATTAGATTCATCGAGGCTTAATGACATGGCTGTTGTCGGTGGTTGAGAAAAGTCAATCATTCGAAATTCATTTGGATCAATTGATTGTGAATATGACCAGGGGGCAACTCTAACCAAATGTTTACCATGATAACTTGGAGCTAAAGAAAAAAATATTTAAATATTAGTTATTAATTCACAATAACAATAACGAAAATCAAATAAAATGAACATGCAATTAACTAATGACACATTGAAACCTTGCAAGGGAAATAAAATTAAATAAAGAAACCTATGGAGTGATTTAATATAAATAATATTAATGAAATAACTGGAGTTATGATTGTAATAGTATTTAAACATGCTATCGAGCGAGAAAAAAATGTAAGGGAAAAATGGTTAAAACGATTACGATGATTATGATTAAGCTCCTACTCTTACCAATCATTGATTCACTTAAATCTTGACTTAATAGTTGACTGTTTTATTTTTACTTGGTTTCATTGAATAACAGTCTTTTGTTGCTTGGAAATTCAAAAAGAGAAAGAGAAGTTAACATGAAAATGAGAGCGAAAGTTAAAGTGATTTAGAATATAATATTCATCATACCTGAATCAGTCCACCATGAAGGTCCCACATCCCAGTAGACGGGAATCTCTTTGGAATCATTTTCATCTCCAGTTTTTGTTAATAATTGATGATAACCTTTTAGAACCAAGGTAAACTCCTCAGCGTCTTTCTCGTCCAGAGCAAAATGTAACGGTGAGGTTTCGATTGAACTACCAGTACCTTTTAATTGTATTTCAACGGTAAAACTAAGATCATCGTCTTTGGTTACTTGAATACTAGTCACATCCTCTATTTTGGCTAAGGTTATCGGTGATGATTGACGTCCATGGGTAACATGACTAATACCATATTTTGGTGATATGAGTAATGCTAAATCAGCGGTTGAATCACGGATTATAGTTGAGAATAATTTAGCTCCATAACAGGGCAATTCACTGATGATGGTCAGATAATGAATTTTGGTTTGTCCTTCGGTCAAATGTTTCTGACCCGTTGGAATCAGGGATCGATTCTGTTTAAGGGAATGAATGAGATACTTTCGAAGTTGTTTACGTTTCATCGTTTCCGCCAAAGAATATGGCACAAAGGGTTCTAAACCATATTCCTTTTCGACTGCTTTTAGATTCTCTTTTCACTCGGTTATTAACCAATCCATTGACTAAAGCGTGTTGATAAAGTTGTAATGCACATAACCTTAAGGCTATTTCATATTTCAATTCGGGTGTAAATCTTTCCTGAATTACATCATTACATCACTGCAACATTGTCCATATAAATATTCAAAACTATTGGGATCCTTTTTAAATAACTCATTGGTATCTTTTGGCACAAAGGTCATCCTGAATAAACATCTTAAATTGTGAGCACCAGGTCGAGCAGCGATTTTGGATAAAGTATCTTTGGGATCTAGAATTGTTAACTTGTTCCGTCTTATTGATTTAATATGTTCCGTACAAAGGCTATAATATTCTGGACAACGAAGGTCAAGTTTCTCGGCCAGGGAGTTCAGAACATGTAATAGAACTGTCATATTTCGGTTTGACCATTTTCCAGGAAAACCTTCATGATGGCATGATAGGTACATCTGATTCAAATGCGGTTGACAATATAAAGGAGACTCATTAATAGCAACTCCTTCAGCAAATCGAACCCTTGATGAATTACAGATGTAGATTTTAATTTAGCTTTCTTGGCGGCTACTAAAATGGTTTACGAGTTGAATAGGTGAATTAAAGGTAAAAGAAAGAAAATGGAGAAAAGAAATGAAACAAAATAGAAACTGTAATATTCAATGGATAGTAGAAAAAAAGACAACAGATTAAGAAAAAAGAAAGACAAGAATTTGGTGAATTTGGTGAATTGGTGAAAATCGTTGCTAATATTTTCTTACCTTGATTGGATCATCAATCCTCTCATTATTTACACGAACAAATAATAATAATAAACTTAAATGTAATCGTAAATCATTGTCTACATTAAATAATAATCAGTTGATTACAAATTGTTCTCACATTTTAAGCAATTAAATGACAATCAATCAAATCGTTGAAAAAATTTACTCTCTCAGAAACTTCAACAAGTCAACAGCTATTCTCAAATTTGCTCTGCAAATAGACCGACTTGCTATTCTCACTACTTTTCTTCTTTTAGTGACATCTCTGGCTCACCAATCAACTAATGAGTTCCTTTTCTTTTTTTGATCAATCATTTTCAATTTAATTGTTTCGTCAACTCATTTAATTAGTCAAATTGTGATGAAGCTGCTGGTTGGCTAAAAACTTGTTGCTTATTGTTTTCTGAATCAGGTTATAGTGATCAGTCAACTTGTTATACGTTTTCAAGGCCAAGGTTTGAAATTGAATTGATTATTGGTCTAAATTGTAATTATAACAACCAAATTAGTTGCCCAGTTATTAAGACAATTAAAAAAATAACCAATTTTCTCATTTAAATCAACTCTCAGTGTTGCAATTATTTTGTTTTTCTTTTCTGGTAAATTTGGTTCTATTATTCAATTGGTAATCAATTCTCCAATAAACTAATTTGTTGATTGTTCCACTTCGAGAATGATAATTAGTTAATCTATTCTCGGGTATTAATGATGATTTAATGATAATTTGCAATATTTCAATAAAACTGTTTATTTTTCTGTAACTAATTGTATCTGATTGCTAATTAAAGTTAATGAGAAATGATAATAACGATGACGGTGGAGTAATTAACTTTTAATTGTCATCTTCATGTAATATAATCAACTAGATGTTTCTGTTAACCAGATTCACTAATTTACCTCGTTGTCAATGATCAAAAAATGAGGGATTTTATTGATTTACTGATTAACTTTAATTGTTACCGTTCACCTGGTAAATCAATTCGAAAGGAAGATAAAAGTTAATCAGTTGAAGAAAATTAGTAGAAAGAGAAAAAGAAAGAGAAAAAAGAAAGAGAACAAGGAGAAAGAAAGAGAGATGAAGATGAAGATGAAGATCCATTGAGAGGATGTTTGAGTTGTTTCATTTTCTAATTCAGTTTACAACAATTCCATCACCTGATAGTCTAATTGTGACGCATTTAATCAATTAATTGTTCGTCTTGTATTCTAATTGACTCGATGATGTGTTAGAACAATTAATAAGCTTTGGAATTGTCAACAATTAAGAAAATAGAATCGATTGTTTTTCTTTTTCTTCTCAAAAAGTGTCAATGTTTCATTCCTGTTTTCCTTTCTTCTTCAACGTGTTATTTATTTAATCCACTGTAACTGGTTTAGTGTGATGAGAGTTTTCAATTTCCAGAATTAATATCACAATTATGATTATCCTTTTCATTGGTCCAGTATTAAAGGAAATCAATCTCATCATAATCAACGCTTTAAACAACAACAACAACAGTTGATCAAATGTAGGATAAGTTAATGACTCGCTAATCTTGTTATTAGAACCCTCATCATATGGTTTTCTTTAATCAATTATATTTGTTTCTCTTTCTCAATTGTGATTAATTTTTCTTACATTCTAATCTATTCATCTAAATGGTAGAGATGTAACATCGATAATCACTGATAATCAAACGTTAATTGTTCACTGATGGCCCTTAATTTTGCTTATGCTGGTCGTGTCTTGGTTGGTGTTGTTTTTGTTTGGTTACTGTTGATATTTTTCATTGGTGGTCCTCTCCTTAAACGGACTGAAGGTGATTATAGTTTGATTAACAGTGAAAATGGTGAATTAATATTGGCCAGATTATCTCGTGCTACCAGTGAATTGGACTCCCTGAAAGCTCAAAATGAAGAGCTTCGAAATTTGTTACAAAATTATATTCCATTGGATTTCCAGCTGAATAAAGCATCAGATCTATTGAAGGACAGTAATGGTCCATCTCCTCAATTGCCTCTTGTGGCTGAGGCTCAGAATCAGAATTTACAGTCTCCCTTGTCATCAGCCTTAGTACCATCATTGTCTTCATCATCTCCATCATCTGTACCTTTATCATCACCTTTTTCATCAGTACCAAATCTTAAATATGAACAGGCCAGAAGACGCCTTTCATTTAGCTACAATGAACTTGCATTTTTCCTCAACAATCAATTTAAACACAACACAACTCTCCTTAAATTTGTCAATGAACATCGGGCCAGTTTCATGTATGATCTTGGTAAGTTAACTCACCTCCAACAATTGTATATCTACTGTTACAATTTACCCATAGACTCTTGAGATTAATGATCAACAATGATTGTAATGTTTTCTTTATTTTTTCCCCGTTGTTTTGACTTTTAGGATCTCTATCGGATCGCGATTATGAATGGCGTAAAAATGAGCTTAAAAAGCTGACCAAATTTTTCCTTGATGTAGTTGACAAATTACAGAATCCTGTTGATTGTGCCACCGCCAATAAATTGGTTTGTCGTTTAAACAAAGGCTGTGGATTCGGCTGTCAAATGCACCATGTTTCTTATTGCATGGTTGTTGCTCTTGCCACCCAAAGAACGATGATAATTGATTCAAATAATTGGCGTTATGTTTCAAATCAAAATGCTCATGGGACAAGAGAACCCTCTTGGAACTTAATCTTCCAACCAATCAGCAGAACTTGTCTTACCGCCGAGGGAAAATCTCGTAAACCGTGGAGCGATGGTTCAACAGCCCAGGTCAGACCATTTTCCCACCTTGATTCAAATCTCACTCAGATCAGTGAATCAGCTTAAAGTATTTACAATGAATACTAAATGTATTCAAGTAGAGTTACAATGAATATCATCCTGAATACGATTCAGATTTCACCCTGGCACCTTTGCCAATTGTATTCACTCACTTCCTTGCATTGGATTGCAAGGAAACAAACACTTAAACCAGTCACCTTGAAAAAAAAACACTCTATCCAATTCAATCAATTAATAGAAATTTATCCTTTTACATTTCACCCTAATTCAGTTGACTGGTATCTTTTGATTGAAGTTTCAGTGAACATGAATTAGAGATGAAAACTGTAACCATCAATTAGACTCTTTTGTGATATTCACTGATTACTTTTTATTACATCTCTATTATTGTACTAGTTTGAGTTTCAACTCAATAGACTCAATTTTTCCTGTTCATCTATTTTTTTTGCCAACAAGTTAACATATACTTTAGATTCTGAAAAACATGAAGAGTCTTCATTCAGCGGAAGTCGATTCTCGAGAAATCTCAATCGTTCAAGTGTTTCCTTTATAATCCTCACTGAATAACAATTAACTTAAACATGCATTAGACTTTGTAGCTCATCTGAGACCGTTTTTAATAACTTCATGTTTAGAGGAAAATCCATTAGCAGAAATAGTTTTTTTTCTTGTTCATTAATCAACAACCATTTCAGCTCAATGAAAACCCCATTAGACTTTCAACTTTAGTTTACTTTCTAAGCTCGAAAAAAATATATTCTAATTGTATGAATATCTTTGGTTCCTTTGAAATTGGAGATTTACCTCCTACTACTTGATAGAAGTATTTTTAAACTTGATATTCTACTCTCTGAGAATTCAGGTCTCAACGGGTTCCCGTTTCGTTTGACATTGTTGTTAGCGACATCGAAAAATTCTGGAATAAAACCATAGCGTTTAAGTACATATCGATAGTTGAGTATAGTCTTCTGAGCTTGTTCAATGTCACCAATTAGTGTCTGAAAGATTAAGATGCATACAAAGATTATTAGTTATCTCATTAGAAGAAGTGATTATGAACTGACCAAAAGACCAGGGAAAAAAGATTCTAAGGATTGAAAGACAGGCATAGTTGTTAATCCGTTGTTCATGTGGACGACAAAGTACCAATCCTCCCTTCTCATATATTTGTTGATTGCTTGGTGATAAACTTTTGAATGAAATTAAGAAACATTAGTATTCAGATAATAATTAATTGATTATATATGATAATCTTTCGGTAGTTTTTGTCTTTACCATTGAACATGTCCATTAGTTCAGGCATTTTAAGAAGCAAAGCTCCTTTGACTAGATATTCAAAATAAGAATCTACACCTGAGCCAATACTTGATTCGATTGCTGTCCATTTACCGTCAGAGGTGTTGATATGATTACCGACTAGATTAAGGTGAGATCTATATGAATGTAGAGCCCTAAGGGCATTTAAGGCAGTTGTTTCAAAAATAGGATCACCGGTTAGTCGAGAGAGTGTGGCAAATTCAACTATAAATGTGCCCACTCCAGCGGTACAAGTGACCGGTGTCTCTTCCAGAGGTACACCATATCTTAGATTAACAGTTCCATAAGGCATTCCAGTTTTCGTTTGAAAAGCTAAATCGATGAATAAAAAAACAGAAATTAACTTGACAATAACGATGATTGAATTTGATCCAATTTCTAAAGCTACCTGGTAATAATTTTCTTCCAACTTTAACAGCTAACCGAAGAAGAGGACCTTCGCAAGGCCAACCAGGCTCGAGTTCCATGCCACTTTTATACGACAATAAGTGAGCGGATAAAAGTCCTCCAACAACTATAGAAATGGAAGATAAAATTGATTAGAAAATGGCAGAAGAAAATTCATTGGAATGATGCAATGAAATGGGAATAACCATTTACCTCTTATATTTGTTTCGAAAACAGAAACATTTATATTCTGATTAAAATCAACATTGTCAACAATATATCGAGTAACACGTTCAAATTCCGAATAATTTTGAAACAATATAAGTGAATCCATTGAGTCAATTAATGTCAATGAAAAATTACCCCAAGTTTCAACACCTTGACAAGTAATTGGTTTAAGCTCATCATAATTACCAGCATTTGTAGCATAATTTTCATAAGCATAATTAAACATAGACTTTAACTTATTTCTAAATAAAAAAACAAAGGGAAACAAAAAAAACAAAATCAATCAATGAAAGTAAACGAAACAATTAATTACAATTAACAACAACAAACTTACCTGTAAAAATGAATCTCTTCAATTGTCAAATGTTTAGCAAAAGAACCGGTCAATAGATGAACTGGAATTATCAACAAAATAAAGATATTCCATCCTTTCAGTTCCATAGTTCATGATATGGAAATTAGAAAGATATTAATTGAAAATTGGTTACAAATAAATTAAATTAAATTAAATTAAATTAGTAAATAAAATTAGAAAAATAATTTTGTTTAAATGCCAACAAGTATTTCGGTTTCCATGGAAACCGAGACACTGCCATCTATTGGTTTGCGAAATAACCTTTGATTAGGTTTCCATGAGAATATTTGTTTTAATTGTTATAATTAAAAGAAACAATTAGTTAGAATGGATTAATTTTCTGAGTTGATTGTTCATTAAGGCTGATCGATTGGAGAAAATGTTATTCTTTGGTATAGAATTGAAAAGTTTTCAAACAAATCATCTGATTTAAAAGTTTCATCTTAATTAATTTGAATCATCTATTGATTATGATTGATTTAACTCTGATTACAATCAGTTAATTGATTCAAATGAAATGTAAAATTCCCATGGTAATTGTCATTCCAAGGATATTAATCAGTTTCGATTAACAATATTATTATCAAAAATTTCTGGTATGATTGATTAACCATAACAATCAAGGTTGATTGTTGATTTTTTATATTACCAAACACGATGAAATTTAAAGCGATTAACTGTTAATTTATTTTCACTCAAAGTTAAATTTAACTTGGAAAAATTAACTCATCAATATTATTCTAGACATGATTACCAATTAAAGGTAAACAATTAAGAAATGAACAAACAACAACCAGGTAACAATTTCGATAACTTTTTTATTGTTATATATTAGAAAAGCAAATTTCATCTTAAAGTGAATTAATCGTGACAATTACAATTAATCACGTTAAAATGTTTCATTTTTCTGCAAAATAATAGACAACGAGGTCGAATCATATGAATCATTACAATTATAATTCATCATTTAACAATTAGAAAAACAAAAACAATATAAGTTTGATCAACGATTGTTATTTTTACTCAACTCACTACCGATTGATTTGTTTACGATTTCATCCAAGGACCAATTAGCCAATATCATTGGAAATACCAAGAACAATTAATTAATCAACAGAATTCAAGTAGAATAACAAAATTAATTCATTCAACCAAAATTTATTGATTCCTTTTTTTTGATTAAATTAACCAAAGGAGAGTAACAATATAAATATGAAGCAATTTGTAACAATCTGATCAGTGATTTAGTTTTGTCCAATAAGAGTAACATCAACAATCAAGATTCACTTTTACAATTTACCAAAAACAACAATCAACTAATATTTTAGATCATGAATCCATTAATTGTTTTAACTGCTCTCACCACAATCAGGTTAGTAAAGTGAATTGGATTAATTTAATTCAATTATTTGAATTTGTCAATTGGTTCTCATTTGTTTCTTGTCAATTTAGTTTGTCATTCGCTCAAAATTTTGATCAATTTGGTATCAATGGAAATGGAATGGCCCCTGGTCAAGCTTCACTCTACCCTTTCTTACCACCTCCACCACCACAGCCAATGAACGGAGGTCCTCCACATGGACCAGGACCCCATGGACCTGGACATGTTCACGTCCCTCATCCTGAAAGTGAGTTACAATTACTAAACAATCAGTTTCCATTTACCGCCAATCTAACCTGTGATTTTTTGTAGGTCCTCTTGACCTGTTCCGACAAACCCCCAGACATGGAGGACCTGCAGGTCCCGCTGGACCCGCTGGGCCTTCGGGTCCCTCTGGACCAATGGGCTATCGAGGACCACCACCAGTTGGACCTTATTCAACCGGATTGCGATTACCTGGTGACTTCCAATTTCCAATGGGATTACCACCCCAATCGCAGTTCCGATTACCTCCTCCTTATCCTGGTCCAATGGATCAACTTATTGCTCAACAAGTAACTTCGACTGTTGAATGTTCTTGCTCAATTTCCTTCGGAATTCAAAATTCTAGCTCATTAGTACTTCCTCGAGCCCCTCAAAGCCTTTTCCCAGGAATCATTTGTGGTCCTGGTGCTGTTAGTCTTTGTAGAATTCAATGTATGGCTCAGGTAAGAAATCAGATCAATCGAATCATTTAAACCAATCAACTAATCGTAATATTTAAAATTCCTTCAGGCTCTCAATGCAAGTTTCGATCTAATCAATCAAGCAGTTAATCCAGTCGATGGAAATGGAGTCTCACTTCAACAATTCGTTTGTGGTAATCAAGTGAATACCACCACCGAAATTGGCTCAACAACCCCTGAGAACAATAGTCGAATGGTTAATATTAAATCTGAAACCTCATGTTCTGAACAATCAACCGATTATTCATCAACTAATCGACGAACTGAATCAATCGCCTTAGGGCCACAAGAATGTAACACAATCGCTAATATTGGATCTTTCCAACTTCCATCAATTCCTTCATCTGCTGTTCCATCAACAGTTAATTAGTGTAACAATTAACATGCGACAAATTATTCTAATTTATTATCATCAGTAATGATTGTATAAAATCAACGGTTATTAATTCAATCTGCAAATTGTATTCAAAGATGATCAACAAACGATTAATTTGAAAAACTAGTTGATTAGATTCAATTTTTCTTACCATTGATTAAATTACCATTAATTAATCAGCTGAATAACAATTAACTATTGATTTGCTTTTTTAATTTGCTATTGATTTAACTGTGATTGTTAACCTTTAATTTGATATTTAAACGATAAACGATTAATATTAATTATCTTTCAATCATTTCTCTTAATTTAATCATCACGTCAGCAATTAATCAATGATTAATTGTTCATAGAGAACAATTTATAATTAAAATAATATTAAGCGGTTGTGAGCAGTTTAATTGTTTACATCATGATTAACTAATTGCTTCGTCAATTAGTTTTAATCTGGGTGGTAATTAATGTAGATGATCAACAATTAAGTCTCAGAATTTTATCTGTGGCAATTAGTTAATTTTGATTATTTACTTTTTGTCAACAATTTAAATCAACTTTTTAAGATTGTTAATTGTGTCAATTTTTGATTAACTTTCTCAACAATTTAACGATAATTTGATCATCGAGACGGAAATAATTATAACTATTCATTTGTCGCAACAATTTAGATGATCATTAAAGATACAATTTAACTACTGATCGATTACAATTAACTAACAAATGAGAGCAAATTGTTGAAATTTTAATCATTTCAATCTAATTGTTGATCAGTATTAGCAAATCTTTGAAACAATTATGATTTAATTCAATGCTGATGAGATGTAAACAATTGAACAGAAATTATGAATTCCAGTTAAGGTTAAATGAGTTCGTGATTAATTTTGATCTTCATGATTAACAACAATTAGTGAATTAACCATCTTCATGGTCAAGCAATTAAAGTATCAAACAATAAATTGTAAATCATTAATTTAACTGATTTAACTTTAAAAAAGTGACTCTGGTCATTTATTAAATTAAAACAAATACAAGGTTTTAATTGTGATCAAAAATTTTAATTTCTAATGTGATTAACTAAATATTTTAATAAAAATTTCCTGATTACAATCAACAATTAAAACTCAGAGTAGCTTCTTAACTGACTAAGTAATTAGATACTCAAACAAATTGTTTCTCTTTAAACAATAATTAAAAATGGAAATGTCAACAATTAACAATCTAAATGGTTGAACAAAACTAATCAATTCCTTAAACAATTAGCCTTAAATAGATTACAATTCAACTACGCATCAAAACAGATCCGGTTGTTTACTATTCAACAATTAAATGAATTTGGGATGATCAATGTAACTATTAAATTGCTAGAACAACTGAATTAACAATAACAATTAATATCTAATCACAATGAGATATTAAATCTTAACCTTGTCTCAGCGTTTCTAATGTTTATCCATAAGAAATCATCTTCTATCCTCTTAATTATGTTTCAAGTGTTTATCGTAATTAAAGTGAATAGAAAACAAGGTGATCTTGATGATTCAGTTGATTGTTGATTAACCGAGTGGGTGGAACAGGTTAGCATGTTAACGATAATTTCCCATGTAATTCGGGATCGTTGTGAGTTTGCAATTCGCCATCGAACTAACAATTAACGTGATTTGAGATGTTCGTTGGCTCTTCCCTTTGTTATTAATTCTGATTGTTCAAAATTTCTGCTTAATCATTGCTCTTATAAGTTTCCTCCATTCTGATTGTTATTCCGATTCTCGAAACAATTAACCCATTCAGGGTACATGATAAACATTATCTGTTAATGATCGTCACTACAATCAACACCTAAACTTGTTGATCACTTAAATTGTTACCGTTCAACTGTGAACATCAATAAATCCAATCGAAGCTCAATTCTAATCGAAAATGTCGCCAACAATTATCCTGATTTTCGTTTGTTGTTTAATCAACTCAGGGTAAGATTTTCTATCTATTTAATTTGTTTCTTCTTCTTGTTATTGACTAATTGTTGACAATTATTCGTCTTTGTTTATTTCTAATCTATTAGTTGGAGTGCTACGATTTCAACTACAATGTTCAATTATCGACCTTTCGACAATTCTTTCGGTGAACTAGAAATCGTTCAACCAAATGTTACAATTAACTTAAATTGTTCTTGTATCATCTCAACACCAAATCCACAAAGTTTTTCTGAAACAATTCCTGGATTAACTGTAAATGGAAAATCAGATTATCGGTGTAACCAGAACTCTTTCAATGATTGTAAACTCTCTTGTCTTTCAAAGGTAAGAAATTCTTAATTGTTCATCAATCATTCATCATTCTGATCATTTAATCAACAGAAAAACGAACCGCTATTCAACATTGAATCTCGATCCATCGGTCAGAATATGACCAATGGTGTTAATCTGAACGATTATCTATGTGGCCTGAGGGGAAAAGGCGATTCATCAACGATGGTCTTCATCACAACCCAAATGGACTGTATTGAGAAATCAACGAACTTTGAACTGTTCAATTCAAAATCGCATTCGTTTTCCATGTCACCATCATCGTCATCAGTTAATTGTTCAAATGATGCAACATCAACATCACCAACAATCAGTTAATTTCCCTGGTGAATGAAAACAAAAAGACTTTAATAATAATCCTTATGAAAGGAAAAACTTGTTTAATTGTTGGTTAACTTTTCAAAGTTAATTGTAACAATTTAAATTTCCGCATCTTCAGATTTGTCTTTGTTTCATTTTAATTATGATGATATAATTTAATCAACTAATTAACTATTGTCTCTCATTCAAGTAATAATAAAACTTTTCTTCAATCATCATTAATAAATTGCTCTTTCTTATCATAACAAAATTTAACTAATCAACGATTAACATTATAATTAGTTAATCGCCAATTAACCAGGTAATAATTTTATTTTCCTCGTAATTTTAATTGCTAACAATTTAATTGAATATTTAACATTGAAATTAAATTGTTGTCTCTCTTTCCTATGGGCTTTTAATGAGAAACAAAATGTAAACAATCAGTTGATTATTAATTGTTAATAGTTAACTGATTGCGTGCAATTAATCATCAAACCACAATCAATGATAAATTGTTTTCCTATCACCACAATTTACTCAATTTACTAATTGTGGTAGTTAAATTTTCCTGCTAATTTGATGAACGAGATTTTTTTTATAAACAATTAACCTTGAAGATAAAAAACTTTTCATTACAATTAAAAATAAGATTTTCTGGTTAAACCAGAAAACCAGAAAATCGGAAATCAGCTGATTGATTGTTGATCTATTTTGGTGATTTATGTGATTAACTACGAGTAGAAAATGCTTCGAGTAATTAGTACTACTAATGACGAGCGAATGTTAATCAGATTTATATTCGTTTCCATGTTAATCTATCATCATTTTCGTTATTTAATTCAAGTGAAAGAGAAAATTTCGCCTCAGGGGTTAACCCATTTAGGTTACTTTCTTTTTCGCTTTGATAACCAGTTTTACTTTTCTTCTTCTTCTTAATTGTTAATCTTGATTGGCGCCTTCCAACGATTTAAGCCCAACCCTTAATCTAGAAGATTTGACCACTCGGTAGATGATTCGAATGTTTATCCATCATCTTGTTTTCTCTTCTTTCCGCTAGAAGAGGAAAAGAGAGGGAGAAGTAAAAGAGAGAAAAGAGAGAAAGAGAATGTGAGAGAAAAGCTCATTGGTTTTATTTTCTTTTCTCTTCAAACTTTTCTATTCTCTTTAGTGTCTCTTCTTGTTCTCCCGTTATAATTACTCTAATTATTTAATTAACTCTTCTAATTATATTCTCTTTTTGTTACCTTGTTTTCTTTTCTTCTTCAATTTGTTTTGTGTGTTTGATTGTTCCTTCAACCGATAAAATGGCTTCAATGCGTAGTCCGGATATTAATTTAATCCATTTCATCTTGAGACTGTTAATCGCTGTTGGAAGCTTTGTCTCTGCCATTTTTAAGATTCCCTTTGTTATTTTCGCCATTCAATTTGTTATTGATTTTGTTCTTAAAGGAACATCCGCCGGTGGGAATACTGATGCAGGGGACAGTGGAACTGCTCCTGGTCCATCTCCTGGAAGTAGTGACACTTCACCAAGTGATCAACCGGCTTCCGATGCACCCAAACAATTTGACTGTAAGTTGTTACTTTGTTTTTTTCTCCTTCTATTTCCATGTGTCTCTGTTACTATGACTCCTTTTTACCTTTTCCTCTGTTTTAACCTTTATGACCCAATGGTAATTTCTTTTCTTTTTTTGTTCTCTTCTCTTTCGCCCTCCATTAACCATAAACTCATTTCTACCAATTGTCTCCTTGCTCCCGCTCATTTCCTTCTCTACCAAACATTACCGAATTTTGTTAATATTCTATTCTTTTAATATTTTCTTTTTGTTCTCTTCTCAAATAGTGCCCATGGTTGAAGTCGCCTTAAATGTTGTCCTGTTGGTTTGTCTCTTCACCTCTGTCATGGTTGTCCTTTTCCGAGCCATTTACACAGTTGCCTTGGGTCGACTACTCAATGTATATTCATATCTAATAATTATGGGATTATGGATCGTCTTTGTGCTGATTACCATCATGACTAATGGTTGGAAAGGGCCATTAAATTGTAAGCGTCCATCTTGTTCCTTACTCTTAATCTGTTCTTTTTTATCTGATTACTATCAATAGGTTTTCTCGAGATTCGCTCTAATATCTAACAAAACTTGAGCTTATTGGCTTTTTTTCTGTTTTCAATTCTCCATCGAAACTCATCAAATAGACTGTGTGTTCTTTTTATTTCTACTTGTGCTTATGTAGACATCAACCTTTCAATCTTCTTGTGTTGCTAATCTATCTCGTAATAATATCAGCAAGAGACAACAAGATCGCCTACGGGGTTTACAACAAGCTACACTTTTAAGTGCAATCGTCCAAAAGAGACTGGTATCTTTTTTTTATTCTTTCTACCCTAGAGTTTGATGTTTCTTGCTGATCAAGTTTTTTTTCTCTTCTACAAAATTTTATTACTTCCAATAGAAAATCAAATGTTGGGAAGAGACAATTTCAGTGAACTTGCCAGTCAAGTGAAAAGTTTTCTTTTTTTCCTAATTTTCTTTTCTCTTGATTCTGATTCAATCTAATTTTTTTCTGTGTAGTTTACCTGCTTTTCCTTTTGTTTTTATTTCTATTCTTTGGGCTTGATTTGGTTTGCGATTGTTTTAATATCTTTCTATATGCAACTTCGTGACTAGTTTAACAGTCGGTGTATAAATTTACCTGTTTATATTCATCTCTTTTCTCCCACTTGATTAAAACAGAGAAGAAGAGGAAAGAGCTTCTCTATCTGAATCACTTTTCAAAGAATCTTCTTGTTCTTGATTTGTGTGTGTGCATGGTTCAGGTTGATTTTAATGATCGCCACGATGTATGCCTGATAAATACACGATCACGCTTTGGTTAGGTCACTAACAATGAATCTACTCATGAGTATATGTACTCGGTTAACCTTTCCATGTGTTTCGTATCTATTACATGTAATAACATTCAGCTGAAGATTCTCAATGATAATCAGTTACCTTTTCATTTTCATTTACCCTACAGCGTCTCAAACCTTTCACCTCCATCTTGCTTGGGTGTTTACTCTTTTCCTTAAATTATTTATATAATTAATTTTATTTTAGAATTTTCTTTTACCTGATTTATATCAAAAAAAAAATTGAGCTCATCGATTATCGTTGGCTTACATCATCGTAATCAAAATTGCAGCATCAGTTTTACATTTCGTTTACCACCAACTTATCATTAAACGATATGTTTACTCTCTCTCTCTCTCTCAATCAACTCTCTTAGTTTTACTTGAAAAGTTATATAATTGAGAGGTAATCATGATTACGATGAAAAGTTGATTCTTCATTCTGAAGGAGAAAATAATTGAAAGTTACCTGAGGATCGACGAGTCTGATGCAGGTTGTGTTTCCACTTGATCATGATGATGATCATTTATTGATGTTTATGTTTCTCTTTGTTTAATTTGACATTTATTGTAACAATTTAATTATTATATTTTTCCTTATATGTTATCATTGGCCTACAATTATGATAATATGTAAGTTAAACTTACCTTTTTAATCTTGAAAATCTAATGTATATCCGCACCATCATCATCATTATTGAATTAGTATTATACTCGAATAGAGTAGGAGGATTGAGGAGGGATAATGACGACGATGAATTAAGACTAAGGGAAAGTAAAGAAATCATCTTATACCAAATGATTATCTTACGATTACATCAAATAAATTAATTACGATTATGTTTGTTATGATGTTGCTCTTTCTCTCCTACATTTTCCTTGTAACTTTGTTTTCTTACCTGAGATTAGCTTATCCCCTTAATCAACTTGTTCTTATCTTCTTTATTTAACCTGCTTATCTGAATGAATATGTGAATCTTTTTCTCTTTAATTATGATAATCATTCAATAACAGTTTTAACCAAATGGTTTAATCCCAATACAACAATTAAGGAATCATTTTCAAGTTTATCCGCAGGGAAAGAATGAGAGACTCGTTAATCACTGGATTCATTTTTAATTTGATTTTCTATTTGTGATTGTTTCTCACATTGTTAATTTTCACATTCATGATTAGCATCATACAATTTATTAAAGTATCGTGAGTAAATTGAGAGGGTAAAGTCACTTCATCATTCATTTTTGAAAGGAAATAAACTTTAAACATCTCAGATGATCATTAATCTGTAAAGATAATCAACAAAAGAATCGACTTATTAATCATGAGAAATTAGTTGATCACTTTTGTTGATTGTTTGAATTTATTTAGATTGATCATGTTTACACTAACAATCAATCCAATGTAAATTATTTATGTGTTTAAAGAAAATTGTTGACATTACAAGTTCATTGGCAAAGTTACGATAACTTTAATTTGATTGATTTAATTTGTCGAAACAAATTTGTTTCGGTTCTCACAAAGCTTTACATTTGCTCAATATTGACCTTGTTCTAATTAATTATCATCTTTTCTCATCCATTATTTAGACGCTATTCTTGCAGCTCGTGCATTGCTCGTTGGATGGTTTGTCTTCACCGCTCCAGCTACTTGGCATTTTGTTTTGCTTCGATCTTCAATAATAATCGACATCATAACCTACCCTGCAATGATTGGAATCGCTATTCTCAATATTAAGTACAATTTTCTGAAAGTTGGAGTTGATCGTAAAATTGGTGTCTGGACACGATATAATAACTTAATCCGAACTTTATGAACTTAATAGTCGATTTCCCGATCATATTTAAATTAAACCTGTTCAAGTGCTTATCAATTTAATATCAAGTAAATGGACATTTGTTGTTTGTTCAGTGTATCCAGAATACAAATTATATATATAATGTCATCACTAATGATAATCAACAAGCATCATCGTTTCATGGCTTGGATTGTACATTAGTGTAAAAAAAGTTAAATTATCAATCAATTAATTGGAAGCACGCAAACACACAAGTAGAGTACGCAGCCCCTTCACCCACATTGACGGATCTCACTGTTTTCCATTTACAACATGATAAAACTTATGTAATATAATCAAATCAATTCTTGTGATGTTCATTCATATCTGCGGTTATTAATAACAGGACGATCTAACTAAGCTCAAGACAAGCGAAAAATTGACTCAAGAATCAAGTTTAACGGCAAATTGACGGCATTTTAGTAAACAGACATACACCATCTGTATCAAGCTTATAAACAACAACAAATTCATGTGTACATCCTTTCATGTTTACTACAAAACAATAGCGTATCCTTGAAAGAGAGTGATGGTTTACTTCCGTTTTGTAAAAATAACCGTAAATACTATTTAGCTGTGTAAATGTATACCTTATGAAAGAGGAACTCGATCAACAATGGTCTTAGGGCCAAGCCAAAAATAAATTGCCAAATGCGTTAAACTAACCATGTAAAGTTCACTTCCGAAATGAGAGGCATCACTTGAGTCAAATGCGTTCGCCATCTATTGACCTCTAACGAAATTGTTATTTTCTCATTTTCTTTCATAATTTTGATTCTTAACTCAAAATTGGTTTTGTATCTAAAGTATTTCCAATTTTCAACAATTAAAATTAATCATAAATCTGTAAACAATTTTATTATCCAAAAATAATCATCCCATTTCATTACTATTATCCCAATGGGAAAAATTGTACATTTCAAGTTAAACGGGAAAATTGATCATGTGGATTAAGAAAGAGGATTAATCAGCATGAGGATTATAATTGATTAAAGTTTTAATTGTAATAATTGATAACGAAATATAATAATTGTAATACAGAAAAGGATTTGATTTGAGTCCATGTTTGTTTTGATTTCTGTTGACCATCAATTGGAAAGAGACAAAAGTAAGAATTTTTTTACAATAGTAATCAAGAGATAGTAATTTATTTACATTGGATTCGTAATCGAAAGGATTACAATTTGTCAATCAATAGTTTGTTTTAATTGTTAATAGTTGAGAATAATAAAAGATTTAGATTTAGTTTTGACTCTTTTCTCTCTCTCTCTCTGTCTTTCTTTTTCTTGTTTATAGTTTAAATTGTTTTTATTTAGAGGGAAATGATTAACCAGCTTGATAATATTGTGAAGATAAAGATAATTAGTTGAGAGGAAATGAAGTTCCCTGAATTTTCACATGCAACTTGATCCATATTTCTCAAAATTGGAAGGAATTTCCCCAATTCTTGAGTATAATCAGCATCTTCTTCGAGAGCGACGATTGAGTTCGTTGTATCGCCGAAGAGTAAATTCGATTCTCCTTCGTAATGTCCAAACAATTTGAACGAATATCGAGCTTTTCCAGTGAAAACTTCGGAAAGACTCGAAAGGAACGAGACTATGTGCGTATAGTTTTCGTAATTTATGTTATTTCGAGTCACTATGAATCTTGACGGAATTTGAGCCATGTGACATTTTTCATATTCGTTTATCGAAGCCTGTCCACCCGACGCACAAAGAAGACGGAAATCATCTGACCTTAAACTCGTAGCCCAATATTCATTTGCGTTGAAATTATGACGATCAGTGTAACGAAGAGCCGTCGAATGGCCTACAAAAGCGACATCACCTTTACGTTCAGCTAAACATCTGAATGCTCCGGTCTCACCGGAGTAAAGTTCAAGAGCCGACTTCTCGCAAATATGACCTCCTTTACCGTCGCCAGAGCACAAGCGACACAAAACATCAGCACCCGAAACGTTGACATTATAACGGAAATCACCTGCCCCTGGGACACACATGGAACGGAAAAATCTTGAAACTTCTGAAGATCGACTACAAGTTTCTCTCGCGATTAAACCTTGCGAAATGAGAGTTCCCATTGGTGAGATCCAACCTGAGGTATCTCCGAATCCCGTTGAGCAAACTGAAGCGTTCGCTAATTCTTGAGAGAATTGATCTCACTTGGGACTCGAACAACAGCAACAGCGTACGAGGCGATATTTGTACCATTATTACGCTCACGAGCAACAGGCTTAAGTCCACGATATCTATGGTTGATCGAGAAAAAAAAATTAATAAACAAATGGCCTAATTGAACGAAAGATTAACCCTCAAGGTCAGAAACAATTACCTTGCGGCCTTGTAGAAATCACCAGCTTCAAGACTAATCAAATCAGACGCTCCTGAGGCCACAGATCTAATACAGCTTTCCAAGGAATAGCCTGGATTTTCACATCGAATCTCTGGTGTAATTCGTCGGGAATAGGCCACTTTTTGTAAATCCAAACACTTGAATAGTTCCGCTTGCGATGAAGTACATAATCGGATGACCCTTTTATTACATCCAACAGGTAAATTGATTGAATTTGCATAATCACCTGAATGAATCAAAGAGAAAGGATTACAATTTAGCTCAAGGCGATTCAATTAGTTAGAAATTATCGACGATTTGTTTTGATTAACTAACCCAAATACTCTCCATAGGTCATCGTATCTCGTCCACCAGGACCTACGATTTTCAAGATGTTCGTGACATTGACACTTGACACGAAAACTTTGTCAAACCAAAGAGGAGGAAAAGGTCGAGTTGGTGTCACCTTATTACGGAAGTGAATTTGTTCTAGGAAATTGTAAAACAATTTACGATCTTGGGCTATGATCAATAAAGAGAAAACGGAGAAAAAAACATTTAGAATTAACAATTAATAATAACATAGAAATCGACAATAATATTACCTCGTCGTGGATCTTGTAATCTGTCAGGTCGTATAACCCAAACATTATTAGGCCGTTTTCCCCAATCACAAGCGTTATAATTAATCTTTTCCCTGGCACCATTTGGACATAAGAATTGATAATTATCAATCAAATCGGGTGACAATTTACCAAACAATTGGACAACAGCTTCGATAGTTGTAAAGGCGACATCACCTCGACCATCGACAAGACACTTAATCGCTCCATCGTAACCAGCGTATTCGTCAGAATCAGAACATGAGAACGGATCTTTACAAAGCTCACAAAGCTTTGGATGTTGTCGTTCTGATGAAAATCGAAAAACAAATCAATGAGAAATAATTTGAATCGCAACAATTAACATGAGAAATTAAGTAAAAAAAGGTAAGATTCATTTTCGTTCAAAGTCAATTAAAAGTCCCCTAAAGTTTGAAGACAATTAAATAAGCACATCAGTTGGTCAATATAAAGAAAGTGATCAATAAATTGAAGTTAATTTAGTATTTTTGATAAGTTGATTAATCGCCAAATGATCAAGATAACGATTAAATAGTTCGATCCAAGGTCGAACCTTCGATAATTTGATTTGGTTGAGGCCATTTAAACGAAGCTCAGGTTAATTCATTTTCTTTTGTGAGGTAAGTTTGTTTTCTTTGCTTTGTTTTCGATTCACTATTATTATCATTTAGAAAATGAAAACAAATCGCCAATGATTGAAGTTAATTCTCGTAGAAGAAGAGAAATTAAATTTTTATCGTGATTTGCAATCGCAATCAGGCTTAAAACATCATCTTCTAAGGTCATCATCATCCTCTCGTTATCTTCATCTTTCGTACGCACGAAATTGTCATTCATTTTCATTTGGAATTTAAAACTTTCTCAATTCATTGATAATAACACAGTTCAATGAATTAATGATCACCAGTAGGTAGATGATTAAAGGATTTTTTCATTATTATCCTAATAGTTATTAAGAAATTGTTGTTAATGATTATTGATGAAAAGTAAAAGTTATCATGTACATTTGAATATGTTGAGGGTTTTAATTCATTGGTTCATCAACTTTAATTATAGATTGTCAATTGATGAATCAATCATAATCATAATCATTGAATATTTTATTTTATTTTCACCTTCTCATAGTAGGAATTAGTTTTCATGTGAGTTAATTGTTACCTATTGTGATTGGAATCGTTGAAAATAGAACTGGTTAATTCGGTTCCATTTAGAATTGAGTTGATTGTGTTTTTCATGTTGAAATACAAATGTATGTAATTATCTTGTATTCGGCTTGTTAATTGTGATCATATTTACAAGGGGTTTGTGGTTTAGTTAACTAATTGTTGGTTGTTAACAATTCAATTTGCTGTCAGTTTTGTTTTGTATTTAGTTTTTTAGTTCAGGCTGACGAAAGGTATTGATATTTATCATTAGTTATGGAGGAGATGATTAACTGATACGTAAGTGATTAGTAAATTGTTTCATTAGAGACTCTGACATATCTAATCACTTGTCTAATCAATTAGTTAATGATGATGTTACTTTTCAATACCTACAACTTTTTGTTTCTGGTAAATTTTTCATGATTAACTGTCGCTTAATTGTTGAATATGTCACTAGTATTATCTTGATTAATTTTTTGACCAATTAAAGTTAATTACTTTCAACAATCATTGAATTTGGTCTTACCAATGTTGATTCATGGTAATGATGATTTTGTGATTTCAAAAATCAAGTTAATTGTTCAGGTTTGTTTCTTAATTAAGAGATAGGTTTGGGAATTTACCAAATTGTTGAAAAAAAAACACTAATCACAATTTAAACCAATCGGCTAAATTGTCGTCATTACTTAATTTCAATTGATTCATCTTGGTTGGTAAACCATTAATTTCTGTACAAGGAGCAATTAAACTACCACAGTTAATTAAAAAACTAACCAAACAAAGACTAACCTTAAACACGAATCGCAATTCAATTAAAACAATCAAAGAGAAAGATAAAAACAATTGTTTACAATCAAACAAAATCAATATAAAGTAATAAAAATGATGAAAATGCCTAAGGGCAAATTACTTATCTAAACTCGTTGATTAATTTGATTGCTTATCAAAAAATAATCAATCAATTTAAAGAGTAGCATAATTGACAATCTGACATTTGACACTGATTAACTTGATCTCGAGTGATGATAATCTTTAATTAGTTGACCAGAATTTGATTAAGATACAGAAAACAATCAACAAGATATTAATCAGTTGATGATGTTCAAAGAAGCGAAATGATAATAAAACCTTGATCAATTTTGTTTCCTAATTAACTTTAATCTTTCATATCAAGATCATCAACAATTAACATCATCATTGACCACACCAATACATTTAATGGTCAGTAATCAACCTTACCTCAATTAGTGTTACCTTTTGTGATTAATGAATGGATATAACAATAATAACAATCAGTGAAATTATTTGTATTGTTAATGTCTGATATTTAATGTCTAATGGCCTCGATAATCTTGATTACTGTGTGTAAATTGTTGTAAATTTAGTAACAATCAACGAGGCTCAAGAAAAAAGGTAAGTACAATTAAACCATTATCGGTTTAACTACATATTTTAATTGAGATTAAGGTGATGAGGATTTCTGGTTAAGGATAACCCACACTTAGATGAAGGTAAATTGGGTGCGACTTTTTAATTCTCAATGCTGGTTGATCAACAATTGAATTAATCTAAAATATATTCAATTTAAATTGATCACTAATCCATGATGACGATCATCATCATCATCTATTATCACCAATTCATTTAAAAGTTAATGAATTATGCATAACAATCATAGCTCTTGATGGGAATCATTTAATTTCAAATTGACCGCAAGAAGTTAATTGTAGAGGTTAATTTGATTTACTCACTTAGGTGTCTGTCCACTAACGGATCTTTTGACCATCTACCTGGAAGGCAACTTTGCGAAAAGAAACCAGAAGCAGTGTGTAATAGACTTCGACAATCTTGCTGGACAACTCGCTCGACAATCAACTGACCCATCGGCATGTACCAACCAGCATTTCGTCCATACCCAGTGTGACAAGATCTTTTACCCCTAAGGTCATTTACCGATGTGATCTCTGAGTTTTTGGGTATCAAAACAGCAGCTCTGTATCTGAACCGTTCTATGGAAATAATTGATGTATAATTTAGTTGGAATCTTCTAAACAATTAAGGACAATTTAGAGAACTTACTTCGTTCATATTCCTCCATTAGAAAAGGTTCTAATCCAAATATCGAACCTGCAAGGTAAAGATCTTCAGGGTCAACGTTCATCGTATCGGCTTCGCCTCTTGCTATTGTTCCCATGCATGCGAACCTGAAATCGTGGAGTAAACAATTAGTTTTACTCTCTTATCTTCTTAATTGTTGGTCAATTATTTGATTACTCGATTTACTAGATTCTTAATTGAATCATGTTCAACCACCAACACCCACTTGATCAACAAAATAGTCATGAAAATACACTTTCAATTGTCGATGACCATTGAATTGACCGTTGAATCAATCAAATGATATCGTTGCGTTTTTTTTTACTCAACAAAACAAATTCAAATTAAGTTAATTTTGTTAAAATCAACTGATTGTTGGAAATTATTTCATCACAATTAATATATTAATATGTCAGTTTACAGTTTATTGGTCAATCGTTAATTGATTGTTATCATTTTCCTTTGACCATCTCAACTACTAATAAGCTTAATGACCCAAAATGATTGATTGTAACAATTAGTGATTGTGATAATTTACTGATTATCATTATTGAATTTTAACAACCGTTAATACTGAGACCTAAAAGTTGATTAGTATCATAATGAAAGTTAATTGTTACTTGGTAACCTGATGATTTGACCTCTAATTGATTTCTCATATTTTTAATTGAGGATAATCATTGATGATGAGAAAAAGAAAAGTTAACAACAATTAACAATTAAAATGGGATATTAACTGTTGGAGATTTATTAATTTTTCAATAATCAGAATGTGAGAATCTTTAATTACTAATCAACAATTAATGAATAAAATTAATTGTCAACCATATATTCTGAATAACAATTTATATATAAATAAAAGGTAAGAATTGCCAACAATTAATATAATAACATTTCTAATTGATCACAATTAGCTGCGAAAACGTTTCATGATTAAATTAACAGCAACTCTTAATCATTACAATTTGTATTGTTTAAATTGTATTTAAATCGTGAATCATTTGATTGTTAATTAGAAATCGTTGATTGTTAATTCACCCAGAACAAAATTAACTAACCAACTAAACTTAATAAACTGTTAATGATTTTTTGTGAGCAAAAAATACAATCAGTAAGTTAATTAGCTTAACAAATAACAATTAAAAGGTGTATTATCACAATCAACTAATAGACTTTAACTAATTAGCTTCTGTTTAACTCCATTGTTAATAAATTGTAATCATCTATTATCATTTAGATTGAAATGCTAAATCAACCAAATGGTTAACTATCAATTGGAAAGTGATTAAATTAAACAAGGTTACAATTAGAAAAAAAATCAACCATTGATATTAAGTTAATCATCTTAATTATTTCAACGATCTTGAATAGTTAATCATTTCCTATCCACTAATCATTCAAGTGGACGATGTTTCTGTGATTGTAAACAATTATTGTCTTATCGTATTACTAATTGTATTTATTAATTGAAAACCTTGTATGTTAGTTAATTGTTATTAGTTGGATAGAAAATCAATTTTCATGTTTTCCATTGCAAGGTTTTCATAGTTAAAGTTGAAATTGTAAACACAAGTTCACTATTTTTGGTAATATTAACCAGGTAAACAATCAATTGATTTAATTGCTACCTTCAAGTTAATCCTCCTTCCAAATCATAATTATCTTAATCATCCTCTTTTGCTATTGGTAAACTTAAGGTAATTCAACTTAATATCATTCAAATAAGTAAACAATTTAACTCTTGATTGTTATATGAATTTTTCTGAAAAAAAAAACTTTTCTCTTTGACGTTTCGTTGATTGCTAACGATTACAATTGCTGCTAATTATCATTTAATTTATTCTTAATTGTGATGATTTCGTGACTTACTTATCTTTAGCTGAGATACAGGTAATCAAACCTGGAAATAGATTGGCCATTGTATGACATTCATTGATTAAATCCTCTGGAACACATAATTGGATATTTGCTGTGATTAAGAAACAAAAAACAATCCGATTAAGATGGTAATCAACAATTAAATTAAAATTAAATTTAAGATTAATTATTGTAAACAAATGAGAAAATGAAAAGAGGAAAAATGATTAAAAATGATATGTTTAAGTATAATTGACATTTGTTTTATTGGAAACTCTTGATTAAACCATTGGGAAAAAAGTTAATCAAAGTTAATCAAAGTAACAATCAAGGTTAAACTAATTTTGGGTTAAGAAATGGGTTAAACCGGTTTCTCATTGATTAATCTTTTACAAGATTAAAATTAATTACTTATTATTTATTTATTAATACAATGAATAAACAATCATACTGATTTAGTTGTTATAATCATATCCATCTATAGGAAACAACGTTAATTGTGAACGTTACAACAATCAAAAAGTTTGAGTAAAGTTTTTTCAACTTCATTGTCCAAACTAATAAATTGATTTCCAGCAATCAACTGATTGTCATTTGTATTGAAACACTTTCATTATGATTGACAAAAAAAGCGATTTCAATTTCTCAGTCTCATCTTAATGTGAATATGAACTTGACCTGAATTAATGAATGATTATAGTTGATGAAAAGTGAATCTGAAAAAAAGAAACTGTTAATTGTAAACCAGCAGGTAATTTAATTGTTGATGATATTTAGTAGTAGCGAGTAGTTACCGTAGTGTAATGATGACTGTTGATATATTAAAGGAATTAAATTAATGATAATTGTAAAGTATTAAGAAAAAAAAAGCTTCTTCATTCTGAGAAATCATTTACGATGATAATTAAGGTAAAGCTCCTCGAGAAAAAGTAATTACAATCAACTACGTTAATTTAATTTCGTGTCCAATCCATTAGTAATTCAAATAAGTCTTTAGTTGTGTTTTGTTTCCTCAATGATGATGAAACAAGTACTATGTTTGTATGGTCATCTCGTTTCACTGGTGGTCACTAACGTGGTCCATTAGCATGAAACTCGCAATACAAACACACATACATATATGTACATCTACGCAAATGGTCAAGTTAATTGTGATTAATATACTTTCTTGAGCTTTCAAATAGCGTGACTTTGATTCGCTTTTCATTGTAAATATATTAACCATAATAATTGGAAAAACAAAAGCAAGAATCATGGTTAACAAGTTTCATCTTGTTTATCTCACAATTAATTGAATAGAATTGAAAGTTACCATTAGAAACCTTCAACAATTTAATTCTTCTTTAATACAGATAATTTTGTTCTCTCTCTCTCTCTCTTTACCTTTATCATCTTTATCATCTTCATCATCTTCATCATACCCTTTACTATTCATGGGTGCGCCTTGAGCATTTCCCCCAATTCTATCAGGAGCTAAACTCACGCTCGACTTTTTTTCGCTTCTCTTGAGTTCTACTTTAATTTTCTCGCCTCACTTTTTGTATTTGCCCTCCAATCATCGTTTATTATCATAATAATAAACAATAGATTAACAATTAAAACTAATCATAATTGGTTAACATGATTCATCTCGAATAACAAGTAAACTTTCAAAGTTCTTATAATAGAAAAAGAAAAAGTTCTAATGAACTGAGAAAAGTTTTTCTTTCTCTCTTTTTTCTTATGGATATTATTTCCAAGTAGATTTTGTTTTCTTCTTCCTTTCAGAAAATGAATTAATCTCTTTTTCTTATTGTATAATTGAATTAATCAGCTTATCGTGTGTATCATGATGATTGAAATAATCGCCATGAGTGGTCAGGGGAAAACTGAATAGTTGATCGAAATGTTTTGACAGAATTTTTGATTTTCTTTAGTGTTGTAATTGTATCAACAATAATGGAAAGAAATTGAATCAAGACGATTAATTCAATTTCTTTACCTGATAACAGATTAATCATCAACACACCTATTGAATTGGAATCACAGTTTTTGAATGGAAATCATCCCTGTTACTATTGATAGATTATCAAAGTTACAAAACCATTGATTTAATTGTCAAAATTTTTCATGTTAATCAGTTGATTTGAATAATAATATTGAAAGTTGATATCGTTTCTTTTCATGTCGATTTCAATCATCTCGCAAATCTCATTGGCATTTCAAGGCTCTTCTTGTTCATCATCTCAATCATCATCATCATCATCATCATCTTGATCCTCATCTTCATCTTCATCAACACAATCTTCATCATCTCTACTTTGTCTATTGCTTATTACTGTTAAATCAGTTTGGAAACTGATCAACCTTGTAATACAATTTTCAAGGTTTCCAAAGGTCTCAACTGACAACAATTTAAGTAACAACTTATTATCATCTAATCATCATAATCAACAACAATTAAATCATGATTAGACAATAATGTTATTGATGTAATCAAATTAATCATTACGCCTAATGTTTGACAAACCTTTATTTTTCTTGGTATCTTAATTTAATTAATTAACTGACCTGGAATCGTTTTCAATCACGTTAGATTATTTTAAATTGTCATGATTAGATTACCTGTTTACCTTAATTTATATTAATGTTTCATTTTTACCCTGATGATGATCAACTTAATCAAATTGTCAAATTTTGTTGGTTAATTAACTTAATTGTTTGTTTGTAATTATTTTCTTTCACTTTTATCTCATGTAAATGGACAATTAATTAACATCATCAGCATGTTAATTATTCATGGTTAAATTAACTTTTCCTTGATTATTTGCTATTAAGTTACTGACTATTTGTTATTAATTGTTAAATCTATTTCATTGATTTAGTTGTTAATCAATTTTTTCCATGTTGCAATTTAATTTGATAATGAAAGTTTCTTAATCATTTGGTTCAACTGTTGATGATTTTGTCTTAATTATCATGATTATTATTATGATTAATTAGCTGATTAGTATTCTTAATTGTTTCAAAACTCTACTTTGATGAATGAGTGATTCTAATTTCATCTTAATCAACAATTTAACCAAGAAATTAAGAAAAATCTGCTCGGTTTCTTAATTGTTGATTCTTTGTGAATTTTTTTTCTTGATATTAATCATTAAATTGTGCTGATTATTTGGTTACAATTTGACCCTGAGTTAATTACAATCATCTCATTCATAATTATTCATCGTAAATAAATTTAACTAAAATTGATAACAATCAGCAATTTAAACTAAATTAAGGTTTGGTCAGCATTTGTTTCACTATCTTCAAGATGGTATTGTAAACTTTTTGTTTCGTTAATTTTGAAATTAAATTAAACTAAAAGTTTAAAAAAACTAGAAAAACATAATTTAATTAATAATTTGATTACAGTTAAGCATTAAAGTTAATCACACTAACTGAATACAAATTAATTACAGAAAACCTTGTTAACCACAAATTGACCAAGATTGTTAATCCAATTATGTTTAACCTTTAATTGTTGATTTGATTGCAATGGCAAGTCAACAATTAACAAGAAGCCTTTACTTGTCCATCCTTAAATTGTTGTTTACTCATCTGTTTCCGGAAATTAATTGTTTGCTTGATTGTAATTCTAGTCAATTGTTTGTGTGTCTTTTTTTGTTAAATTGTGATCATTTGTCATTGCAATCAAATTAATTCATCAAAAAAAAACAAGATAATTAACTTTGATGAGGTAATGATGACTAAACACCTTGAATGATTTTAATCAAGAAATAGTCTAAGAAAACAAAGGAATCAAATTAAATCATTAATCAAAATCTATGGTTTTATTTTGATTGAAAAAAGGAAAACAATTGTTAAATTGTTAGCTAATCATTAACAATCAGTGATTTGTTTTTCTGTTTTCATTTTCTGTTGATTTTGATTACTTTTGCCTTCCGGACTTGGAACTGTCAACAATTAAATATACAGAATTGTAATTCCCTAATTTACCAAATGATTGAGTAGTTTCAATAAGCACTAATGGTAATCATAATCATTAACTACAATTAATTTTGTTCATCTTGACATTAAATCTGATTAGAAAATTTTACCTCTATCAGGATTATTATAAGTACTTTTCATGAATAAATTAAATTGTCTCACATGGACAGTTAATCGTTACCATGGTGACAAATTATCTGAAATTTGATGGCGATAATCATGATGATGAATATGACGAGATGATGATTATGGCTTATGAGGTATTCATTAAATAAGGGATGGGGCTTGAAATCAATTAACGTGGGTGAAAGGATTGGGTAAGACAATGAGAAGATGATGAAGAAAGAGAGAAAGAAAGAGATTTAAAATGGAGGAAGAAAGAGAGATGAGAGAAAAGTAAGAGAAGTGAATAGTTTGAATTCAGAATTAGAATTAATTTTCGCTCTTTTTTTTTGGTTTCATTGTTTTGTTATTGTTTCGGGTTAAAGGCGAGAACATGGAATTAGATTAACCTAATTGTTACGATTAACTGTCTGGGATTAGTGGGGAAAAATGTAACAATACTGTCAATCTTTTTGGATGATTAGTTAATTGTTGTCAACTTACTTTTCTGTGCTTCCAATGAAGGAATTGCAATCAATAGGAACCAGATGAAAGCTCGTTTAATCATATCCATTTCTTATCCAACAATTAAGATTATTGTAATCAACACAATTTCTCTATAATCGAATCAACTTTACAATTAGTTGATTGATTTTACGTTGGGAAAAGCAAATTGTTACAGTTAATCAACTTTTCTAATCAGATGGATTTACGACACTTTAAACACTAGAAATATAAATAAACTTTAAAAACGAGGTAAAAGTTAATTGTGATGAACTTTTCGAATATAAGTTTATTCTTGATAATCAACAGTAGACCAAATGATCAGCACTGATTGTTATGATTGGAAAAATTTATGTTCTAATATTGTGAACACAAAATCAACTAAACTTCAAAGGCTCAACGTTTTGATTAACAAATGAAATGAAAGTACGTGAGTCTTTTCAACAATCAAAAGCAATAGAAACTTGAATTATTTCAACGCTTCGATGAAAAAAGATACACCTTATCACGCCCATCCTTCCGTCAGAACTTTTTATTACCAAAAGTGTTTTCGTTTATTTCAGTTCTAGAATTCTGATCAGTGTCGCCATCTAGTTTTTCCATTTTGCGGTCAACTTTAATTGTTCACTCGTTTCTGATTGATTGTTTTTTAATTGTTCGGTTAGTTTTTAGCAACGAAAATTCAATCAACTCAATTCTCTCAGAGTTTTGTTCATTATTTCATCGCACAAACTATTAATTAGTGTTTTCTTTTACAACATTTTGACTCACCTTTTTTTCTTGATGGAATCAATTTATATTCTTAATAATCATTAGTAAATAATTAAGAAAACGTTCAAAAAGATGATTAGATCATCTTCACTTGTGAATCTCTTTGTTATCGCAATTAATTTTACAATTTTTTTATTACCTATCCTATTATCTATTAAATCTAGTTTTAGGTGATCATCTCTCTCTCTCTCTCTCTCTCTCGGTGTTATCATTTAGTGAATTGAAGATACAATACAAAAAACTAATCATCCTTTTAATCAATTAAATAGTAAAATAAATAATAAAAAACGTCCACTGGATTGTGACAGTGAAAGTGACAACATTTCAAGAAAAGTCGAACCTCGTTCAGTACTAATGAGCGGGACGATGATTCCGTGTACTCAACCACCTCCGATGGATCATCGAGCCATCGCCATGTAACCTCACCCACCTCAGCAATCACATCAAGTTTGCCTGCATGGATTTACTGTACAAGATACTCGGATAGACCTTCGTCATCATCTCTTGATGTTATCATTTAGTTAATCTAAAATATTTTAATCTTCAACTGATAAATTACCTGTACCTTTGAATATGTAGTCGAAACTAATCTTCTTTTTGTCTTATTTTCTCATAGCGGTTCAAGATCGAGAAAATCGAGAAAAAGGACAAAAAAGCCAACGAGAAAAGGCCTCGAACAGCGTTCACAGCCGAGCAATTAGCGCGATTGAAGCAAGAATTCAATGATAACAAGTAAGTAACAATTGAAACAATTTTCTTTTCCTCTTTTCTTGTTAATCTCAATCGTCGAAACTAATTGTCAATTGATTGTCTTTCTTTCTTCATCCTTTGTTGACAATTGTGTTACAGATATTCAAATGATAAACGTCGTCAAGCATTGGCACGAGATCTTAAGCTAAATGAATCTCAGATCAAAATTTGGTTCCAAAATAAAAGAGCCAAGATTAAGAAATCAACCGACTCACGTAATCCATTGGCTCTTATTGACCTCATTGCGCTCATTGACCTAATGGCCCAAGGGCTTTATAATCATTCCATCATGGAAAAGGAGAATGGAAAAGACGAAAATGAAGATTTTCAAGCTTTTTCTCTTATTCGACGAAAAAAATTCTTCATATTTGTAAACATGGAAGAACCAAATTAATTTGATGAACTTTTTTTATCACCTTTCCTTGGTAAATAGTCAAACAATCAACTGATTAATTGGATTAAATTTTTTCTTCTAATTGTCAAGGGAAAATCGTAATCACCATAAAGGTATTTTAATTGTTACAAATTGATTACATTTTTCCCTTAACAACAACTCATTTCCTAACGTTGACTGTTCAAATTTTCTGGTATAAAAGGTGAGAAATTGTCTCATTACAATCATAGTCAAGAAAATGTCTCCCTCATCACTTTACTAATTGTGTTCTTTTGATTAGTTTTTCCAATCGAATTGAAAAAAAATTTTTTCTTTGTTTCGTTGGTCAATTTTTCTCCCAGCAGATGGCGCTAGTTCCATTTTCTCCACCGCCCTAATGTAAGCACGTTGTTCCCTTAAGGTTTTCTTTGTGAATTGAAAACTCCCTTTAAATATCATCGTTTTTAGGTTAATCAAATTGGTTCGTTAATTTAATTTAGTTTAATCTTTTGTTTAATTAATTGTTCAACTTCGGTCTAAGATAAGGTTGACAATATGACATCCATCGGAACACTTGCCTTCGATGAATATGGTCGACCTTTTTTTATTCTCAAAGAGAAACAAAAACGTCTCACTGGACTTGAGGCTCTAAAGGTGAGTTTATTTTTTGTCTATTTTATTGTTTCCTAATTTGATTTACATTCTTTGATTGGTCTTTCAAACATTTTTTGTATCAATTTGAGAAAATAATGTTAATTCCAATGTTAATTTCCTCTGTTTCCGGTTTATCTTTACTTTCTTTTTCATGTATAGGCACATATTGTCGCATCTCGATCCATCTCAACCATCATCCAAACATCTCTTGGTCCAAAAGGTTTGGATAAGATGATGGTTTCTTCTGATGGTGATGTTACCATTACTAATGATGGGGCTACTATACTTAAGATGATGGATGTTGAGAATGAAATTGCTAAATTGATGGTTCAGCTTTCTCAATCCCAAGATGATGAGATTGGCGATGGTACTACCGGTGTAGTAGGTGAGTTATCTTGACCAACTCTTGACCATTTCTTTGAAGCACAGAGAATTACGATTTATCCTTTCATTGATAAATTGATCAGACACTGTGCTAGATTAATTGATTAGATCAACAAACCGTTGTACTAGTTAATCTAATTTACTCTTACTCTGAAGCTTGACCAACATTTATGATATTGATTCTTTACTATTGGTATCTTTTTTATCCAACAGTTCTCGCTGGAGCTCTCTTAGCACAAGCTGAATTACTCCTTGATAAAGGTCTTCATCCTATTCGTATTACTGATGGCTTTGAAATGGCTGCTAAGTATGCAATAGATCATCTCGATAGTATCAATGATAAATTTCCTGTTCAATTAGATAATTTGGAACCTTTAATTCAAACAGCTCAAACAACTTTAGGATCTAAAATTGTCAACAAATGTTTACGGCAATTTGCCGAAATCGCTGTTAATGCAGTCATGTCTGTTGCCGATTTGGAGAGAAAAGATGTTGATTTTGAATTGATTAAGATGGAAGTTAAACAAGGAGGAAGACTGGAAGACACTGTTCTAATTAAAGGTGTCATAGTTGATAAACAATTCAGTCATCCTCAAATGCCCAAAGAGCTCAAAGATGTTAAATTGGCGATTCTTACCTGTCCCTTTGAGCCCCCAAAACCAAAGACCAAACATAAGTTGGACGTTAAATCTGTTGAAGATTATAGAGCTTTAAGAAAATATGAGCAAGAAAAATTCGATGATATGGTAAAACGTGTTAAGGACAGTGGTGCTACTCTAGTTATCTGTCAATGGGGTTTCGATGACGAAGCAAATCATTTACTTCTCCAAAGAGAATTGCCTGCTATTCGATGGGTTGGTGGTCCTGAGATTGAATTGATCGCCATCGCAACCAATGGCAGAATCGTTCCTCGGTTCGAAGAACTTACCCCAGATAAACTTGGAAGTGCTGGTTTGGTAAGAGAATTGACCTTTGGTACTACCAAAGATAGAATGTTGGTCATTGAAAAATGTCCAAATACCCGAGCAGTTACCATTTTTATTCGTGGTGGTAACAAGATGATTGTCGATGAAGCCAAAAGATCTCTTCATGATGCTATTTGTGTTGTAAGAAATCTTGTTCGTGATAACAGGGTGGTCTATGGTGGAGGAGCAGCCGAAATCTCGTGCTCATTAGCTGTCGCAGAACAAGCTAATAAGGTTCCAACCATTGAACAATATGCCCTTCGAGCTTTCTCTGATGCCCTGGACAGTATTCCATTAGCTTTAGCTGAAAACAGTGGTCTATCTGCAATCGATGTTGTTACAGATCTAAAAGCTCGTCAAAAAGCTGAAAAGAATCCATGGTTGGGTATTGATTGTCTTAATAAAGGAACTAATGGTGAGTACACGTTTCTTTTTCTTCTATTATTTTCTATTGAGTTTTATTGATTTTTCTCTTTTAAATTTATTCACTTGTTTAGATATGAAAGTCCAGAACGTGATCGAGACTCTTACCTCTAAAAAACAACAAATCTCTTTAGCTACTCAATTGGTGAAGATGATTTTGAAAATCGACGATGTTCGTAAACCAGACCAAAGTATGTAAGAAGTTACTCGAACTGGTACAATGGCCCGTGCTTAAAGCTTCGCATCTTCGCTTTCTTTTTTTTCTTACACGAATGGTTACTTTATATTTCTCACCAAGAATCAAACCTAATCTTAATCCTGCTTCGGAATAAAATAACGAAAACACTAATCAACTAAATAATTTTGTCTTTTTTCTTAAAAATTTGAAATTCAAAATCAATTTATTAATTCAAACAAAGAAATTTGCTTGATACAGATCATTTAAATGATCAATTTCTCGTCTTTAAATTGAACAACAGACTCATTGGTCTCATTGAATTAGATCAATTGAACAGAGAAACAATTTCACGAGAAACTAGATCGTTGGACACTTCAAATTTTTCCGACAGTGAAATAACTCAAGGTTGATATTCGAACTTGATAATCTTAGTTGATCGATTTCAGGTCGGTTCCTAATCGAGTTTCAAGCTCGCGATTTTGCTTTTAATTTGTACGAAAAGATTTCCTAGACATTTTTAATGAGAAACAACCATTTGAAAGACTCGAACTAACGAAGGATCAGCTTTTAGTTCTGTTAAATGTTCTCTTATAACCAATTCAAAGTCCGAATTCTAAATGAAAAAGTGAAAGAAGATCGAACATCAGTTTATCGATGTAGCTCTTTGATCGATTTGTGTTTGGGTCCACTATCATGGTATGCTCTTAAACCGAAACTTATGATCTCTATTGTTTGTCCTTAGAGCTCATCCACTCATTGGGAAGGTGATGTTTCGCGAGAGCCATTGCAAAGGTTCATTGTCTCATCTTCGATTCACGTACCCGATCTTGGAAAGAATTACCAATCAAGTTCGCTGATTTCGGTGTTCTCCATCGAAATGGAGTCTCTGGTGCTCTTTCCGGGTTAACGCGAGTCCGTCGATTCCAACAAGATGATGCTCACATCTTCTGTTCTCATAATCAAATTGAAGAAGAGATTGTGAAAGCTTTACAATTCATGCAAGATGTTTACACTACTCTTGGGTTCACTTTCGAAATGGTTCTGTCCACTCGACCAGATTCCTACATCGGTGAGATTGAAATTTGGAATAGTGCCGAAGAAGCTTTAACGAACGCTTTGAATGCTAGTGGACACAAATGGGGACTCAATCCCGGCGATGGTGCTTTCTATGGACCTAAAATCGATATAACTGTGAAAGATGCTCTTAAAAGATCATATCAATGCGCCACAATCCAGTTGGATTTTCAGTTACCAATTCGATTCAATTTGAGTTACATTGGACCGGATGGTGAAAAACATAAGCCGGTCATTATTCATCGAGCCATCTTCGGATCTGTTGAACGTTTCTTAGCAATCTTAGCCGAAAATTTCGGTGGTAAATGGCCTTTCTGGTTATCTCCTAAACAAGCTATTCTCATTCCTGTAGCCGAACCTTTCATTGAATATGCTGAGGCAGTTCGTTCTAAATTGTATGCAGCGGGTTTCGAAGTTGAAATTGGAGCTGATCCTGGACTGAGTTTAAATAAGAAAATTCGAAATGCTCAACTCGACAGATTCAATTTCATCTTGGTTGTTGGAGAAAAAGAAAAGGAAAACGATTCAGTGAACGTTCGTACAAGAGATAATGTCGTTCGTGGTGAGATTAAAGTGGATGATTTAGCGGAGAAGTTCAAATATTTCGTCGAAAAGAGGGTTTTAAAAGCAGAAGAAGATTTCTAATCGTAAAACTAATTATCATTCATTCATTTACTTTCTACTCTCCAATCTATTCACTCGGATAACTTATACCCGATGAAAGTGAATATAATTGACTTGGTTTTGTTTGATTGTTTGATTTAGGAAAAATAAATAAACTCTTTTAATTGAGACAATTAATGTAATGTTAGCTTTCGACAGCTAATCAGCCCCGTTTACTTTTATTTCATTGTTGAATGTGGACTAACATGTACCCTCAAAGTGTCCAATAATCTCAGATTGTCGAATTAATTGTTTAATCAATTAAATTGAATCATTTTCCTGAAAAGTCGCAAATCATAAGTCAAAAAGGTCAGCTAAAAGTAATAGAAAAGTTGAGCTTACGGGCACATCTTGAGATTTACCGAAAAGTTTATAATCGAAAGAGATTAGGTCGTTGATTAATTTTGGAAATTGATGGTTATTGATTGATCAGCGATTCAGATGATCAATTGTTGAGAAAGAAAAATATTTCGAGACTTTTTCGTTAATTTTTTAAAGTAAAAACATGATTTTGTTATTATTTCTTATATATTGTTGACAAATTGGGTAAATTGTGACAAATTAAGAGCAGCAATTAATCAGTAATAATCATACTAATAATAGGTTACAGTTTTCCTTACAATTCTAGTTGAAAATAATTGAAATTAAAAGGAATTAAAATGGTTACATGATGAAAAGGGAAAAAGTTAATTGTTGACAATTAGATTTAGATCGATTAGACAATGTGAATGGGCTTCGTGTTGAAGGCTAAAGTAATTAATGGATTCATGGTATTGTCAATGTTGAACCTTCGTAATCGTCACATCCTTTTCGTGTTGTGGGCTCGTTTGATTATTAGAAAAAGAAAGCAAATTAAAACAATTAGGGGAAAAGAGGGAACAATGAAAAATCTGATTTTGAAAATACATCATTTCAGTTCCATGAGAGATACAATTGAATCTGATTCCTTTAGACTTTGCAAACATATTGAGAGAGAGAGAGAGAGTTAGGGATTTACATTTTTATGGCTTTGGAGAAATTGAATATCATTGGAATAAGAGAGAAAGAAAGAAAGAGAGAAAGAGAGAGACAGAATAACTGTGAATTCGTTGGCGTGTATTGTTCAAAACCAGCGCGAAGTGCACAGGGAAGTGATGAGGAGGGTCGAGGTTGATAAATTCACTTAGAATTTGTGAATTACAATGATGAAGATGAAGAGAAAATGTTGAAATAATAATTATCAGGACAAGAAAGTAATACAAGGGGTAAATGGAATGATTTAATTGTTGACTTGATAATCATCTTTAATCATGATCATGATTAATTGTTGTGACCGATTCTTTTGAAGAGTTGGGAATGTTTCGATGGCGATGATAATGATTAGTTAAAATTGATTTTTGGTAAAGCAAAGGGAAACAAATTACAACAATTTCATTGATTGTTGACATTATACTTTGCTCATACCTCGAATTATTGTTGTCAAATCGTTAAATTAACTGTTAATTGATGATTATCGATTGACGTAAATCAATATTCGAATTAAAAAGGTAAAAGTCGTTTGACAATTACACTAATATAAGTATCATTTGATTAAATCATGGTTATCATAAAGAGGATGTCAAGAGATAAAATAATAATATAAATGGCAATTAAATGGTTGAACACAAGGTTTCTGGTTGTTAAATTGTGATTAAATGGTTACAATTAGGCGGATAATTAATTAAACTTGATTTGAGGGAATGCAAAATATAAGGAAAACAAAAGAAGAGAAAATAAATTGTGAGCCTAATGAACAATTTAAGTAGCGAATTCAAATTCATCGAGATGATCAAAATCAAAGGCATTGGCAGATAATCAAATTAATTATTGTGATCTGAATTGATGAGAAAATAATGAATTGGGATAACATTTTGAAATCATATGACAAGAAAAGGTTATGATATGAAAAAAAGTCATAGGAACTTAAGTGAATAATCTGGTAATCACCAAGAATCAGAATTACAATTCAATCTTAATGTAAAAGAAACATGAAACTAGTTGAATTGAAATAGCGGAAAAGAGACAAGTATAAGTTGGTGATTAACGTCATTAGATTTACTCTTTCAACTGATTCGGTGAATTAATATCAAATAAAGCGAAAGTGATATTGAGTCAGGTAAGAAAATCATGAAAACGTTTCCATGTTGAGTAATTACTGAGGAAAAGAAAGAAAACATTTAGGGTAAATTATAAACACGGCTAATTGTGATGAAACAAATGACGACGATAAGCAGCATCATTATTAATTTGTCTAGTTAATCAGTACTATTCAAATTGTGATGAATCTTATGTCTAATTGTGGACCCTTAACATTACAGCTAATAACAGAATTCTCGTTGAACTGAAAGACCAACAAGGTTACATTTTTTTAGTATTTTCCATTTTTATATTGAATAGAAATCTCGATTCAGGTGATTACCATGGATTCACTTATATTTTTACCAAGCGACAGGTAAATGATGAAAGGAATTAAAGGATTGGGCAAGATAAAGAACATTAATTAGTTTTTTCTTCGTAGAGAAGGTAATTCGAGCTAATCGGTCAATCTTGATCTTATTCAGATAAAAAAGAACCATTTTGAAGAGAAAGAAAAAGTTACGATTAGGTGGTAATAGTAATAAGATGAGAGAGATGCGAGATGATGGGGAGAGAGGGAGAAATGAACAAGTTCATTAATTTGATGATTCAATTCATCATTAAGTTGGTCCTTCACCATTTTGATATTTTGATCATCTTTAGAGTTTCATCTTCATCTTAAATATTTATCTCCATTTTAACTTTTCATCAATCTGGGTGTTTATCATCAGAACTCTAATTATCAGTATTATATCTTTGATGATTCGTTTATACTTGAATTTAAGTCCTGATACATTAGAAACATTTAGAAAAAGACACAGACAAAGACACCAAATCTCAAATTGATGAAAGTTTTCCAATGCATTTAATACATAGACAAGATAAAAGCTAAGAGAAAATTGAATTTGTAGAGAGCAAAGATGAAATATGAAGATGATGAAAATGATGAGAATAGAGAAGGAGGAGGAAAAAACTCATGATAAATTAGTGAATTACTATTTTCTTGGTCATGGAAATGTCAGTTATTAGTCTAACAATTAATTCAATATTTATCATTGAGGAAGATGGAGGGAGCAAGAGAGAAAGAGAGAAACACAAAGGATTTATCGAAATGAAGATGTTGACAATAAGTAAAGATCAATGGGTTCAAGGGCTTGGAATAATACTAATGAATTGTTAAGTAATTCAAAGAAAAAGAAATGATAATCAAAAGGTAAATCAGAAACAATTAAGTGAAAATTACACAGGGACTGCGAATGATTTGCTTTTTGATTGAAAAATTTAGATTTTGTTGTGGAAACAAATGAGGAAGAGGAAAGGCAATGGTAAGTGTGTGAAGGGAAGGAGAGAGAAGAGATTAGGTTATTATGGCAACAAAAGGATTCGATATTCTTGTATCGAGTTACTTGGTTTGTTTTGGGTGTGAAGAGTTTGCTCTTGATTTTGTTAAAATCGATGAAATTAAAGTTTTATCCACTCATTCTAATCATTATATGATATTGCGATGATTTAGTTTCGAGAGTCACAAAATACTAAACGTTTTTACTCTACAAATTCAACCGCTCAATTGATGAAACATCTACATTTAAATCATTAAGTATGAGATGAAGATGCATAAGAGAAAGCGAAAATTTGAAAGTGGATAAATCTTTAAGGTGAATCAGCAACACCGAAAACAAACTGGATAAAAGTTAATAAATGAAGATGCGATTTTTGTTGCTTCTATTATGTAGTTGATCTGATGTTAGATCGTCGTGGCTTTTGATAACTCAAGTTATTTATAAGGAGATTAACGCTGAAGTAGAGTAGCTGTAGTGGTTTGGTAGTGATGACGATTCTGATAATGGTGTTAACGGTGATTATTGATATAAGATTATTGTTTAAGCAGATTGAGTTTCAAAATATTTGTAGGTTGGATTTTCGTAGCCGTTAATTTGCATGTTGGCAACATGTCTTTCCTCTGGTGATGCGGCTTGGTCAACCTCGACGAATCCTTGACTTAATGGTGACCTTTGTCGATGATTACGAAGTAGAACAATTCCAACAACGGTGGCCATTAAAAGAGCGATACCAGCAAAGGCCAAAGTAATGTAAACACTTCCGTTCCATTTAATTGGATGGTAAGGCTCTTTTCTCACTGAATAAGACTGAAATAAAGGAAAAAATGATTGATTGATTAGCTCGAAATTATTACGGAATATTTCAAGTTATTCTCAATAAGAAGACAAAGTTAGATCACTTTTCTTTCTGTTCTAAGAACCAGAAAACAAGTTTGAACAGTAAAAATCGTTTGTCATAGTGATGAATCTTTTATCCCTAATTCAATGAGTTAAATCGATCAATCAATCGATTCTGACTCATTTGTTTTGTTTTGTTTTGTTTTCTTATTCTTATAAAACTGATCACAATGGATAACTAACCATCTCATTATGATGAAAACCTTGATTATGAATATAAGCTATTTTGGGAGTTGGCAGAATCTTATGAACTGCATTAGACTCCTCAGCATTATCTTCTTGAACTGGAAGAGTACCAACACCTCCGTTCAATGAGGTGACCGGCGATTCAGTGATTGGTACTACTCCTCCTGAGCCTCCTGAGACTGGTGGTGAAGATGTAGAGGCACCAAATGGTGAATGATTGGTTTCAGATTCATCGCTCTCTGAGGTGGTTGAAAGTGATGAAGAGAACAATGAAGATGAAGAGGACGAAGCCGAAGAAGATGATTCCATGGGCTCTGAATTGATTGAAGATCGATCATTTAAAGCAGAAGCCTCACTAGCCTTCTTTTCTTCTTCTAACTCTTTAAGTTGTTGACGTTCTTCTGCCAACATCTTTTGTCGCTCATGTTCTTGTTGTTTTTGTGCAACTTCCTCTTCGTATCGGTCCATAATGGATTGTTCAGTTTCCCTGGAAATAATTTCATCGACACCGATTCCTCTAAGATTATGCCAGAAAGCGATTATTCGTTGGCGAATTTTAGATGAAATTGAAGGAACTCGATCCAACATAAGAATTGAATGATTTCCCATACGAAGAAGATTCTCTAAATGATCCAACATGGCTGTTTTTTCTCGAAGTGCTTGCTTGGTATTAGAGGTGAGAAGATGTCGAAAATGATGAAGAGTATGAGTTCTGTCCTTTTCCAAGGCTCGTAACAATTTCTCCAAACACTTTTCGATTCTCTTTGTTTTCAATGGACTTTGGTCGAGGGCTTGAGTGTAACAATCCATTGCTGCCTTTTTCCTCATGTTGATAACCGTCATTACCCTTTGTTGGTGCATTGAGATCAATTGTCGCCTCTCAGCTGATCCTTCTTCCTCCAGGGCTTCAACTGTCTTCTGGAATCGAGATGTCATCTTACGTTTAAACTCAGCTGCGCCCTTTGGGTCTTTTAATTTCATCTCTTGATATCTTTCCTCCAGTTCACTCCACTCCTTCATAACCTGTCACAAAGCACAAAAGAACACAAGAATAATCAATATAAGCAAATTATCAAACATACAATTACTTTTGTGAAAATACTTAACTAAAAGAATAAAAATCTCTCGAGATCTGATGTAAGTATAACCTGAGGCGAAAACCCTAACAAGCTTTATTCTCATAGAGATAAAAGAAAAGAGTATAAAATGGCGACGAGAAGCTCATCTTTCGTCGTAACTTGTTAATTACGATTAAATCTCAATTTTATTCTATTTTGGATTAAACTCATCAGTTCTGTATTTCAATGTATTTAAATTATAACATAGTAAATGAGTTGTTCTGCTTAATAGATTAACTATTTAGTTGATTTTTGTTTTACTTCTCTTTTCTAATTTAGTGGTGAACTTTCATCTTACTGATAAAATAACTTTTCTAATTAATTTACTAAGTGGTAATATGAATTAGTTGTAAACTAAAGTCACAAAATAAGCTTCTTTATATTCATTAAGCTGCCATCATTAGCCAATTCCAACTAGACAACACCCTGTATATATTTGTGTTCAATCTTACCTTGGTTACTTTATCTCGATGAGATTCTTCAAGTGATTTCTGAGCAGCTTTGTACGAATCATGTTCATGACTGGAATCAAAGTGACTCAGATAATGATCAATGGGTCTCTCGGTTGTAGTAGTAGTTGTTGTAGTTGTAGTTGTTGTTGTTGTACTGGTTGATTTTGCCTTCAAAGCAGATTCTTCGTCATCCTCTTCATCGTCTTCTTGATATTCATCGTCATAATACTCATCATCTTCGTCATAATTTCGATCATCTTTATCGTCTTGGCTTTCGTCACTATCTGAATCTGAATTAAGATGAAAACAAGGAACATTGGAGTCAAATAGCAAATTAAATCATCATAATTTATGACAACAACAAAAGTTCATTTTAAAGAGTGAAGACCAATCGAAGAGGAAAAACCAACTGAAACCAGAAAACGCACATGACATTTAATATATTCATAACTCTTTCAATTTTCCTTTAAATCGTTCACATATGAGATTTATCATGAAATATATTCATTGGTTTACGATGAAGCTCAATTTTGCTCGCTCTCTATCTCTCAACATTTTTCTTACCTTACTTGCGATACAGAAAATCGATTCTCTAAGTGACCTCAGTTTGGCTAATTAAACGGTTATAAAAGTGATTAACTGAATATTGATCAAACATTTTGCTGCAATCATAAAAATCACAGATAAATAACGACAATGATTTTGGCAAAAATAAATACATTGAATTAGGAGATCAAGAGAAAAGTGACTTAGACAAACAAGAAAGTAGATTGGTAAAGATAATACTAATGATGAATAATCCAATGGTCAATTCAAATGAGGAAATAATCTGACCAGGTAAACATTAGAAGGCAGAAAATTCAACAAAGTCTCTTGATTGGGATGGAAGAGAAATGAAAAGGAAAGGAAAATGTGAGTGATTAAGTTAATCAACAAGGTTTATTCAAATGTTGGATAAGAGAAAGAAGAGAGAAAGAATTATCAACCCATAGGTTAATCATTTCTTATTATCGAGCATCATTATCATCTTTATCTTAATCATTCACAGAATATAATTCATCCTTTTCTTGTGTTCATTTGATTAACATAAACAAGTCAAATGGTAATGAAAAAGCTGAACCATAAAAATGGAGCATAATAAGAGAAAGAGATGATAAAGATGATGGTAAAGAGAAAACGGAAGTGACTATCAGAATTCTAGTTCAATCGATTCTAGTCTTCAATTCAGTTTCTGCTGTAGATGAATAAGTTTCATTAGTAAATCAAGAAGGATAACTCAATCTAAGAAAATGTTGATGATAACGTGAGGCGAATACAAGGATAGATGATAATGAAACAGAGAGAGAGAGAGAGAGAGAGAGAGATTGTGATCATCCTTTGGTATGCAAAAGGAAGATGAAAGAGAAATGAGAAGCAAACAGTTGATGATAAATAGATTCAGTTTGATTATATTTTGATTGTAATGATAATAATTTAATATAAACTCAGGAGAATGAGGCAAGGACAATGTATTATGTATTAGCCTGAAACCATTGATATAAAATTGCACATTGTAATGAGTCTGTAAGATTTCTGAGATGATCAAGAAGATTTCATGATAGTTATGATAATGTTTTTTAGCTTTTCGTCATCTTCTTCACCAGAATTGTATCCATGGTTACAAACTGATTGTCAGAATCGAGTCTTTCAAAAGTCCAATAGAGTTTAATGTCATTATAAGTAATATATTTAGTATATTTAGTTCAATAAAAACTCAGCTAACAAAGGTAATGTTGAGTTTATATTTTTCAATCGTCATGATAATATCGAATACTATCATTATTACGCCCACAGTTATCATGACATAAGCATTTTTACCTCATTTTTAAGATCGATAGTTAAGAAAAAAAATAATGATAAACAAACACATGAAATTTCATCATGAAAATTGAGATTTCTAGAGATTGAGAGACATGTAAAGAAATGAGATCAAGATTAGGATGAGGTTCATGGGTGTAGGCTACTGATTGAGAGGGTGAAAGGCCATTGCCAGGTACAGAGTTTAACACAATGATTTATGTATTGAATGAACTGTAATCGCTGAAATCAATATCAGAGAGTAAAATGAAAGGTACAGAGACTGTGGAGATAGAAGAGGGAGAGAGAGAGAGAATACAAAAAGGATCCAATATAATGATAAGTCTCATCTTAAAAGGAAGAGGGAATAAATTCTAGCATATATTGGGTTTTCATACTACTAAACATGAGAGATTTCAAAAGGAATGAGTTTGCGCTTGTAAAATCGACAGAGAACTGATATTATTTAAGACTATCCCGGTTCTATTCAATTCAAATTCAGAATCAAAATATTTTTCGTTATCTTATCAATTCTTTTGCTTCTCAATTCTTCCTGTCGATCTCTTTACTTTCTAGTTGTAATAAGAAATTGTAACTCAGTAATTACCAGAGTAAATTCAAATTAGAACGAATCATGATATCAAATAACAATACTTGCTTGCAGGTAAAGGTATCACCGGAAACAGAATAACCGGAAATGTTCAAAGATGAGTTACAGTATGATGAGGTAAAATGAACATCACTAATATGATGGGGATGTAAATGTGTTGAGTAGAATACAATTTACTCTGAATCAAATCATAATCAAAAATTGTAAATAAGATGAAAGCAAATTGATGCACAAAATCGTATCTTATTGATGAGCTTTTCCTACAATAAGAATGTTAATTAAATCAGTATAATTACTAAATTGTGAAAGAACAATTTGAAATCAAAGTAATTGTGTCAACTTTTCAGCTGATATTAAGCCTGTTATCTAATCTCGGTTCTAATCCATAATGATAATCTAATGGTTTTTGTTGTAACAATTAATCAACTGGATAAAAGGTAAATACTCAACAAGGTTAATTACATTACTTGACCAAATTGACTTTAGGTTTTGTTTGACTCAAGTTAATTGATTGCCTGCAAGTGTTAAACTTAATTGTAAGCTATCAACTTAAACAATCAGTAAAACTAATTGTATATACTTTACATTGAATAATCATAAATTTACTCAATCAAAATTCGTACGTGTATTTGACTAAGTCGATCGACTTAGTATGATTAAGTGATTCTATTAAAATTAACGATCAACAGTAAAAAGTTAAAGCATAAAAGTAAATAGAATTAAAAAAAACGCAACAAGAGATTGACTTTACCTTAACAACCAGAAAATTCATTTGGATATAATCATAATTAAATTGTATAATCAAAGAGTAAGAAACAATTGCCTATCACAAGTTGATTAATTAAGCAAAGTGGCATGACCACAGTAATTAACAACAACCAATCAACCAATCACTACATTTAATATAATTGATCAGGTTACTCAGTTATAGTTTCTGGTAAACATTATAAAGCTTTTGATAAAATAAATAAACCATAGTATTGCTAAATATTAACTGAATTCACTTCATAAGAAATTAATTGACAATTAAAAAGTGTTCAAAACAATACAATTAATCACGATCAATAGATAATCTATGATGCAAATCTATTTTATATTATCAATAGAGTTTACTATTCATATGCAACACTGTAATTCGGTGAAAAGCTGATTAACATTTGATTATATTGCGAATGGCTAAATACTAATGAAAGTTCATAGTCGATCGTTCATCCAGAAATTATTCAATTTCTCACCTTTTCTGTTATAATTTTTTCATGGTTCCAAGTTGCGATACTGAATGAAAGTTGCACCTTAGACAAACACTCAATGGAATATCATTTATTACTAACAAGCTTCTCATCATCATCTTAATACTTGACTGTTTTCATTCAAGTTGTTGAAATATTTTCTCGTTAAAGTCAATTATGCATCAGGAGAAAATAAAGGTAAAACTATCATTATAATCTCAAATAAGAATAAATTGATAAAAGAGAAAATAATAAACTTGAATTTCTTTTACTCGAAAAGTCAATGGAAATCTTTTTCAGATAGTTGATGAGAAGTTAATTTCGACTACAATAAATTCAACAGCTAATCAGTTTCAACAGAAAAATCAGCCATCAGAATTAGCGACAAGTTTTTTTCATCTAATTCTTAACATGGTTTAGTATTTTCTTCTCAACATCAAAGTTAAATTCAAGTCTTGTCAACAAACTAATGATAATATCGAAGATGATGACAACTTAAGAGAAATTGATGTTGACCACCAGGACGCAATTGAGTCGATATCGAATCCGATTGTTAATATCAATTGATAATCTTCTGTCACAATCAACTAACCTTTCAATTATGTAAAGTTTGATAATAACTCTGGTCTAATTATGTATGGAAATTATTTTTCAGATAATAAATTATCAGAATGGTGATAATTTTTACCTATGAGACAATGGGTCAACAATTAGTTGATTCACTCTCAAGATGAATTGAATTATAAAAGATTCTTCCTAATTACCAACAATTAATTTCATCAATGAATGGATAATAATGAACTTATTCAATTTCATTTCAATGTTTAAATGAGAGAGTAGCCTCAAGGGCCAGAGGTGCGTTTGTCATGATAACAGCAACGAAACTAAACCCAATTAGTTAAAATATCAAAACATAAAAGAGAAGTAAAAAAGAGGAATGAATTACATGTATCTTCAGATTCTGAACTTTTTTTTTCAGTTCTCATACTAATCATTGATGTAAGTTCAATGATTGTGATGATCATGAGCATTAAGAAAAAAAGGTTCGGTTATCACAAGTATTAGTTGAAGAATCTAATCTATCTTTATCTTCACTGGGTTAACAGGTATACGACGATATGACCACCTACTTTAATAAGATTGTCGATCAAGATGATGTTTTATCATGTAAACTTAAAGAGTGGGGATAAGATGAGATTAACCATTTGGTTAATCTCAAGTCACTTCCGGGTTGTAAGTTTATCAACAAATTTTTCAATGTTGATCATTTTTATATGATGCAAGTTCCAGTGATACAATTATCAACGATGAAAGGGTAACCATTCACGTTAATTGCTAATTAATGAATGATTGCCTGACTGATTTGTGCATTTGGTTTGAAGGAATAATTTATAGTAAAACAGGAAAATCATAATAAATGATGAGAACACAAATGAACTGAAACAAATTTTCATCAAGAAAAAAAACAAAACATGATCGATGTATTATAATAGTTGATTTTTTAATTAGATCAACATAATTAAAACACCAAAGAATATAAAATTGTGAAATCAACATTTACGTTAACTGTTGGCAACAATGAGAATAGTAATTTGATTAAAATTAATGTCCATTTATCAGTCTTGTATATCAAGAAAACGAGCTCGATTATTAATAAGTTTACGAAGGTGAGAGAACTCAAATGTAAAGCATTCACCATGATTCTGGAAACATGAAAGTTCATAAATACTCAGTAGGATAATTAGATACAATAAACACTTAACAACAATCGATATATTTACACATTAAAATAATCAATCAGAATAAAAGATTCAATGAAGTGGTGCTACAATTAGCGATGACTGGAGTTTACAATTAGATTGTTCAAGTTTGTAGGTGTGGGTGGAAAGGAAAATGAAAAGTTCTGACTTCCTATAAACATGATGACTTCTTATGTGATCGATTTAGGATTGGGTGAGTTAATTAAATTCCTCCCTTGAGTCTTCATTTGTTTTACACAAAATTAATGGCAAGTTGATAATTTGATTGTTGTTGAAAATGTTATTGTATTGTAACAATTATTTTTCCACTTGTAATTCAATTGTAGTAATTGAAGATTAATCATGAAACAACAATCAATTTCTCAGAATTTGTAACAATTAAATTTTCCAAATTTAAGAGAATAAAAATTTCCGAGAAAAATAGGTCAGCTTTAAAAAGATTGTCGATTTAAACGATTATCTTCATGAAGACATTAGATCATTAAGAAAGATTAAGTTGCAGTTCGAATGCTAACAAAATGAGAACTACCACCAATCACATTTATTCGTGTTTTCTCTGTAAGTTTAAAGTTCGAAAATTCATGACAATTGATAAATCTGATTGAAATGAGAAAAATGAAAAAGTTCAGCAATAGAAATTTCTTTCTATTTTCAGTTCATTTTCTTCGTAATTTGGTCATCATTCATGAACTTTTGATTCGACAATTGAGAGACGATCTGAAATATCCAATTTTCTGTCAAGGTTATTATCGATTGAATCAATGTACTTACCATTATCTTCAGCGTCTTTGTAGGTTATTTGATTTTCTGAATAAAAATGAAAAAGAGAAACAAATGAGTTTAGTTAGCATCATCATTGAATATTAAATAATGAGTATGATGGAAGAAAAGTTTGAGAAAATGAGCAAAGAAAAAGTTTCGAGGAATAGAATTGATAAAATACTAAATTTATCATTAATCTTTAATTTTCTATCAATAACATTAGAAAATGAATGTTTTCTTTAATCATAGTTTTTCAAATTCTAAAAGATTATTAAAATACAGAGAAGAAAACATGTAGAATATGTTGTAAAATATGAAATTAGAAATCATCGCAATTCTAATAAGTGATTAGTAAAAAAGTAGACAGATTTCAGCTCATTCGGAATCCTGATTTTCACCTGATATATTTTACTCAAACATAATCAACATCAATAAACAACAAGAACAGAAAAGTAGGGAAAATAAAGGATAAAACCCTTTAGGCGATAAAACCACTATTTGAGCTAATTTTTCTATTTCGTCTTCAATTCTGTTCATTTTCCAGAATTAGACGAAAACCTTGAAGCAATAATAATTACAATAATGAGAACTCTAATATCACAAATCTCACCTAATGCACATTAAATGGAGTTGAAGGAGTCGCAAAAATATAAATCAAAAAGTAGCTTTTTCCTTTTCATCGTTAGTGTTCATTAAAATGATAACTATCAACTCAGATTCATTGGGACGAATTGCAAATATTAACATACCAAAAAATTATTAACATTCATTTTCACTCCTCTGATTCTTTAATAATTTTGTTAATATAGCGAATAATTATTAGAATTTGCATAATATCCATTTATTATTATTACGATTGACATTAGGACAATAGTGGAAACAGTTACAACTAGTTGATAATAGTAAAGTATTCAGTTAATTTTAGAGTTTTGTCAACATTTATGAAAGAAACTGAAAGATGGAGATGATAAACTCTGTCAGATTCATTCAGAATTCAGTGGTGAACAAATTATATTCATTTGTTCAGATCATTTGACTTACTCATTATCATCACAAAGCTATTTAGTTGAACAATAATATTATCATTCTACACGAAACAAGTAAAAATATTCTTTCTGAACAATTTTCCAATGGAACAAAATTCAATTCTAGATTTTACAGGAATTCAATATCCTTTTGCTTTTCGATCTATTTGTTATTATGGTTCATTAAAGGTGAAATTATTGTAACTTAAATTCTATTATTGAGAACGAAAAATCCTAATAAATGGAAGTACATGTAATAATAACACGACAACTTTTCAACAACAATAAACCTCAAATGCGAAGCTCATCAAGATGATACCGAAAATGATGAAGTGACAATTTGATTTAGGTTTTCATAGTAATCAAGATTTGATGTTCACAAGATTGAGTTTAAATTGAAAATCATAATAGTAATTTACATGTGAAATGATTAAATTTGACCTTAATGGACAGAAACTCAAGCTTCGAAACTGGAAGAGTTCATCAAAATCACCATTAAAGGTAATTTTGTGCTCTTTGATGGACGTTGATCATCAATGAATATATTTGATGATAAAAACGGGAAAGTATTTTTACTCAGAGATTTTTTAAATAATGATGATGAATTTTCTAAAGATGAAAAGAAGATGTTCCATTAAAATGATGGAAAATTGAGAAAGATGATGATACCGATCGGATTAATACATTATCGCCGATAGTTTCTGAGCCAAAGTGTTTCTTTCCATGATAATTTTGGAAGTTCTTTAAACCTATCACCATGATGATCGAGAGAATATGAAGCTTGACTGATAAAAGATGATCAACACTAGCCTGAGCATCTTCATCTCTTACCCTATTCAATATTTTTGATCAAGATTATGATGACAAGAATGATGATAATGCATTAAGCAAGCAAAATCGGTAAACTATTGATCATGAAAGAGACTCACTATAGCTCAATAAAGGATCATCAGCATTTTGCTTGTGAATGTTATTAAGATTCAAGTGATAAGAAGGTAGAATAGACTAGGAGATAAAAGTAAATATATTTATGATGAAATTAGCTCAAGGTTGATATTGGAAAACGATGAAATGTCACCTACCTATTGATAGAATAGAAAAAAGAATCGTATAAATGTAAGAGAAGAAGATGAAAGTAAACAATAAATCAAAACCAGGATAGAATCAGAATGTAGAGATGAGAGCTCATCGAGTAATAATAGTTTCTAAATGCAGCACTGGCATGGATATAAAGTGAATAAGAACATGGTTACAGAAAATTTGATACACGGAATGATTGAGCTAGAAACTGAGAAAAAGGATAATGAATCAAAATCATGTTAATAAAGTGCGTTCATTGATTCTGATTGATGGTCAAACCCTTACAATTCAATTGAAATAACCAACATGCATCATTGTTACTCAATTCAACAAAATCAGATACATTACACGTCATGAATTATGTTAATCAACAAAGAAGGTCTAAATGATTACAGGTAAAGAATTTTCTGATTGGCACACATAAAGAAGTAGAAAACAATGAAATTAAACAATTATGACAATAAAAGACTTTACAATTAATACAAAATGAGTTTAACGGTGAAATTTCAATGTAAGGAAACGACAAAAAGAATGTGCAATGCATGAAGTGAAACATGGGAGAATAATGTTGAGCTTGGAATCTTGAGAATGATGATTAAATAGAGAAAAGTCAAGATTAGAGAAACCTAAATGCAAATAGATTTTCAATGGAGAATATGAATGGACAATCTTTTCGTCTCAACTTGTTTTTAATATGAATACCTCATGATAGAGATGATGATGGTTACAAAATGATAATCAGGATAAAAAGTGAAGATTCTGCGAATCTTTTATGACTATATTAACTCAGTCAACCTCGAAAGAAATGAAAATGATTTCATGGGTTTCAATGTTAATACTGATATATTTCAAATTAATCACTATTAATATTCAGCTTGTGTTATCAATTTTAGCTTAATACAATTAGCATAAAGAGGTAAAATTATCAATTACTAACTGTTAGTAATACAAAATTGTGGAACCAAAATAAACTCTGTTGGTTAAGATAAAATAGTTATTTTAGTGTTCCCACTCACTAAGGAGCCTGAATGCTCATGGAGAGAGACCATGAAAATCAATAGAATAGGAAGCAATAATAATATAATGATGGCTCAATCATGAAGAAAATGATTATTCACCATTGTCAATACAATGTAGGTAATATTTATCATGTTCATCGTCATTATCATGAGTTTTCATCATTATTGTTCATTAAACACCAAGGATAAATTACAATTAATCTGTTCTCATTTTTAAATATCATGTCAAAAGTAATTTTGAAACGGACATTATATAAGCGGAAGATATTAAATACAATTTATATTATATAATAGTTTACTTAGTTTCTAAAGGAATCATTTGTAAACCCTCATCACTTTAAGACTATTGTTGAAACGAATTCTGAATACAAAAGTATAAATACAGTGATAATATATATTTACTAATATTCTTGAGCCCTAAGGCCATGTGATAAGTTGAAAATTTTCATTGTTGATAGTTTCATGCTCTCATTGGATTGAATATTACTTCAATACAGATATGAATGAGATACACATGTAGTTTTCACTCAAGATCATTGATTTTTGTTTGAAACAGTCAAATGGAGTACATTTCAAATTATCTCCTTAATCATTGCTCAGTTATCTTTAGACAGTTGCAATGTTGAATTGGTGGTTATTTATTTATTCCAGTGAGTCTCTAGAATACTAATGTTATTGATTTACTGACAAGGTTATAATTGTCATCAAGAAATATATTGATTAATAATTTCGATTTACTGAGCTTTCTCCCGGTTCTTACTGGAAAATATTAAGGACGAGTCATAACCAGCTAACCTTTCCTATGACATTAAACTGTTAATATAAATTAATTTATTATAAGACTTTCCGATAATTGATATAGTAGTTGTTTGATTGATGATTGAATTCATCAAAAACACATTGAATTCATTATAAGATGACACCGATGAATATTTTGAGAAATGAATACGAACTCAAAGATAGAAATTGAAAAGGTTTGAATGAATCAGATAAAATAATCGATGAGTCTGTTGAAAGCAAAGGGAATGAAAAACTATCATCTTTGGATCTTTACTATTGTAGTTACTCGAATTTTTGAGAATAATGTAAACGGTATTTACTAAATTCTCAATAATATGAATGAAAATGCGAATATTGGTATTAAGGAGAGTTGAAACCAAGAATTACCACCACTTAACATCTTCTCTTGGTCGTTTACTTTCATCAGCTTACAGAGTTTTCATAGAGAAAAATGAGAATAAGGACAATCGATTCTAATGAGGGAAAAGATAGAATGAAAGAAATAAAGAGCAAGGGAGTGGCAGGAGAAAAATGGATGATAAGATGATAGAAATGAAGATAAAATGAGTAAAATGGAAGAAAACGATTAAAGAAGATTAGAAACATGTCGTTATCATCACAATACTTTGTTTTTGCTTAGAATCCATAAACTATATGCATAGACACATAGTTCGCGTCATCATATTAATAATACTCGAGACTATTTGCTCATCATTCCCATCAACCTCATCGTTTTATTCACCATCATAACTATGAGCTCTTCGATTTCTTTCACTCTATTTCCATTGCGGTTATCTTTGTTATCCTCTTCAGAGCTTTAAACTTCATCTTCATCTAACGGGAGTTCGATAAATATCCATCATTAAAGTACATCTTTTTAACCAAAGAGAAATAAGAAACTAAATTCATTTACTCCATTGAAATAAATTCTTTATTTCTTCACGTTTGCAAAATTAATCTTAATTCACGCTCGTTGTCCTAGTAATCTTAATATTATTCCAACTTTGTTCCATTAAACTTTTGTTATCCGAAAAGAGAAACAAAAATTGTTCATTAACAGTTCACATGACATGTTGAATTCAGTTTCATTGTTTTGTGTCTCCTGAAATATTAATTCCAACATTGTACTCATCATGTTATT